TATATTATATAAATATCATACTGATTTATCCTTATCCATTTTGTTCAGCTAAACTAGGTTACTTTCCTATTCATAACCAGAAGATTCACTAACTTGCATACTTAACTTGTTGATAATATGGGCGTCGCCCCTAGTCAGACTTTAACAATGGATATCCATGAGAAATGCTTATGTAATCTTAGTTATTATTTTGAGCATACTAAAAGCATACTAAAACTGCAATATGAGTATATTCAAACATATTTTTAAAAAGAAAAAAAATTCTCTCACCCCCACCCCCAGGATTTGGTGGGGGGAGGGGATAACTGTAATTTTTTTTATTGTTCTAGTGGACCAAAAAAATGTCTCATGCTCTTAAATCAAAGATAAATGTATACTGATGATATATGGAATGTTTCACGCTTCGTTCCAAGAATGAACTATTTTGACACTATTTATCTCGCTATATCACATGATAAAAAATCATAAAAACTGTTAAATATCATTGGAAATGACAAAACATTACATTAGTTTTTATTTCAAGAGCATAAACATGTTAGTGAAATGTGATTACATGTTTATCAGCAGTGTCAGATAATATAAAGTACCACTTTAGTTTGACCCAGTTTCTTTTAAACATTCAGCTGTTAAGGGCTCTGTAGGTTAGGAGCCATTCATTTTGAATCGTAGGGGTCATTTTAATGAAGAAATGTTGCTATAAAGGACTTAGTTAAATTCATTGAGAATTATGTGTAATATTTCATGAAAATAAAAGAAATCAGTTTCAGTTTTGGTTTGGACAAAATAGTAATTTGTCTGGTTTAATCTCACCAGGAAATATTTAGGGTGTGGTGCAAACATCTTCCGCATTATCGTTCAATCATAATAAATCATATTTATATTTTATTATTTTTACATGCTATTATTGTATACTCAGTCAAGTTTAGACTGGGAGCAATCATGATTTGCCAATAGGTTGTGGTGTGCACCAAATAAACTGGTGCTGCACCAATAGACTGGTGCTGCACCAATAGACTGGTGCTGTACCAATAGACTGGTACTGCACCAAATAAACTGGTGCTGCACCAAATAAACTGGTGCTGCACCAAATAAACTGGTGCTGCACCAAATAAACTGGTGCTGCACCAAATAAACTGGTGCTGCACCAAATAAACTGTTGTGCTGCACCAAATAGACTGTGATGCTGCACCAAATAGACTGTGGTGTTGCACCAAATAGACTGAGGTGTTGCACCAAATACTTGCAAATAGACCGTGGTGCTGCACCAAATAGACTGTGGTGTTGCACCAAATAGACTGTGGTGTTGCACCAAATACTTGCAAATAGACTGTGGTGCTGCACCAAATAGACTGTGGTGTTGCACCAAATACTTGCAAATAGACTGGTGCTGCACCAAATAGACTGTGGTGCTGCACCAAATAGACTGTGATGCTGCACCAAATAGACTGTGATGCTGCACCAAATAGACTTTGGTGTTGCACCAAATAGACTGTGGTGTTGTACCAAATACTTGCAAATAGACTGTGGTACTGCACCAAATAGACTGTGGTGTTGCACCAAATAGACTTTGGTGTTGCACCAAATACTTGCAAATAGACTGTGGTGCTGCACCAAATAGACTGTGGTGCTGCCACAGTCTAAAAGCCTGGCAAAAGCTCTGCCATAATGGTACTCTTTCTAATGGTTTTATTTGAACCTCTTTATCATTTTGAATCACATGTTCGATCATATCTGCTGCATTGGAGATGCAATGAATACCATCTTATCATCAGATCTTCCGTCTGTTTTCCAAATTTGTGTTTATGTTTGAATTGAATGAGGGAGGGGGGGGGGGGCAACAGAGGGATTGGATATAAGACTATGTTGCCCCGTGTTGGTATTTCTGTTTATATCTTCATTTCCCCCAAAACAGCAGTTTTAGATGTGCAGTGTCATGTCCACCTGCCAGATACCAAAACCGCAAGATAAACATCATGAGAGTTATGTTTTAAAATGTAAAATAAAGTGAAAAGGAGTGGAATTAGCAAGGAATAAAGTAAACAGGCATGTAGTCAAGACTCTGAATTATAAGGAAATGCAAGAAAATTAGACAGTTTATTCATATTTTAGAGAGAAATATGTTGAATTAGAGTGAGCAGACGGACATTTTGGGGTCTGGAATCCTCTTCCATTTCCCACCATGTAAGATGAAGCAAGTTTCTTGCATGTGATTGAACCATTTAATGAAATACCATGAAGTCACGGTTAATCCTCTAATTTCTCTCTAAAATTTGAATAAACTCCCTAATTTTCTCTTATTTCCATATAATTTAGAGTATTGACCACATTCCTGTTATGTTCATTCTTTGCCAAATCCAGTCATTTTCTTCCCTTTTCACTTTTTAAGCTCAATGTGAAATTTTATTTCTGGTTATCCATTCCTAACATAACATGGCCTAAGATATGCTATGGACCTCCTTAATGTGAAATACTATTTAGAATATTGTGAAAAGCAAGGAATAAAAGAGGAATAACATAACTTTAAAGGAAGTTTAACTCTTATTTGTAAATGATTGATGTTCAATGTAAAATAGGGAATTGAAGTCGAATACTGATCAAAACCAGGAGTCAATTTTCAGAACTTGCTCGTACCTCTCCAAAAAATATAAATATCTACTTCTTATAGAATTGCCTCTTGTTCGCTTATTATACAAAGCTATATGTCCTGGAGAATTGAGTCTTGATCAGGAGGGCATTTTGGATCCAAGGTCAATATTTTTTATGTTCATGTATCATGCCACTGTTTCAATCCAGTCAAATTTTAAAATACATGTACTATTTATTTTCTATATTAATGATGTGATATCTTGAGCATGGAAATGTCATTTCTTTGCCTGAGGCAAATCTCATATATTAAAAGTTTGAATTGAAATTAAAGGTTTTTATGCAAGGAAAGAATGTGCTATACAGTATACATACTCAGGTTCAAGTTTAGAATAACAGGTTTCTGTTTATGAAATCCATATGTAATTTGTATATACACTCCCCTCCAAAAGTTTAGCATCTAAAAGTCTCCTTCGAACTTGAGGTTAAAGCCTGTTTATGGTCGTGGCAGTTTTAACAAATTCATAATTTGTCTTTAATTTTGAACCTTTTGTAATCTATGAACAAAACCAAGATTCAAACGTATGAATGGTTTCCAGTCTGTCCAATGAAGAATTTTTGGGAATTTTGGTTGCCAAACCTAAGGAGGGGGGTGTATGCTCTTAACTTGTTTATATGGTTCAGATTGTTTTACTCAATAGTGTATATACTGTTATAGATTGTTAATACCCTTGATCCAGAAAAGAACAGTATCTATACTGGAAAAACAAATGTAGCAACGAAATCCAGGCTGTTCAGGCCCGAAGCCAGGATTTGTCAAGGGGTTCACTTTTTAAAAAAACTCTGGGGGGTTCACTTTTGAGAACTTTGGCCCAGAAATAAACCCCCCACCCTCTCTCTCTACAGGCCTACTGTTATGGCTCATAGTGAGTCATATTTTGAAAAAATAAGACCCTGGCAACAGTCAAAGTTATATTCAATAGGTTTGGATGGAGCTGAATGTATTAAAGCCTATACTTTGAGAGGCTTGTATTGTGAGCTGCTCTTATTTCTGTATGTTGAAGTAATTGGAACTCCTACTTATTTTTGAGACTCACTCCTTAACCGCTTGTGAAATTGTAAATCAATATGGTCATATTGTAAGTGACTTTTTAACTTCATAGATGTCATGTTGACTTTTTAATTCACTAGAATTCTGAGTCAGTTTCCTCTGGAGTTCTTCACCAGTTCAATTTATTGTATCAATATAAACCACTTGAAAGTTGACTTGAATAAAAGTAGTATGTGGGGCTTTGTGTGAACCCATTTCAGGACAAATCATAATTTATTTACAATGAGTTTTGATTGATACAATTTGATAGTTCAGATTATAGAAATCTGAATGAACAAGAAGTCTTACTCTGAATTCATTTGGGTTCATTAATTGTGTTACTGTAAAACATGTGCAATTGAATTTTTTGATGATTTTAATTTTGATCGTAAGTAAATAGCGATAAGAAATATAACTATGATCATTAAAAATATGATGATATTTTATTTACATAAGAATGTTTTTATTTACTTTTTTATTTACATCAAATTATATTTTAAGTTGAATCAAAAAATAAAATTGTCCAAAAGTTTTTACAGTAAACAGGTTTTACAGTATAAGGTGAAGATTGATGTAAACCTCTACATAGGTGTACTGTGTTTATACATATAGTAGCAACATTCATTATTTTCTCCTAATTGCTTCCTATGTTTTTACTACATGCTAGCAACTAAAATGTGTACCCTAAACAAGCACTATGCCTGAACTCTAAGATCTCTCCCATGAAGTTAGTTAATCTAATTAAAAGTACAAATAGTATACAGGGGTAGATTTAGGAATTGATAATGGAAATAAAATTGCTTTCAGGTTTTTTGCTCTTGATTTGAAAGTTCAATTTCAATAGTTTAATTTCACTTAAAAGAGAGCTTCGTCGGTACTTACTACAAGTCCTTATATAAGAATAGAGAAAATGTTCTATTATCAACACCATTGGAACGGACCAGCTTAAAGTGTTTGAATTAGATGTTCACTTTTCAAGGTTTGTTTATGATGGGAGTCCGTAGGAGATTATAAAAATGGGGCAGAGAAAAAATGATCACATTGAGAGGAGGTGTTCGGATCGGAGAGGTGTTGGGATTTGCAGTTGAGAGATGTTTGGATTAAAGAGGTGTTCAGATATATGTGTTACTTTTTTTATAGAGATGTCACGGAACGAAAAAAAATCGGAACGGTTTGGTTCGGAACATTTTGCTTCTCAATTTGTGTTCCGTGTTCTGTTCCGAGGGCATAATTCCGCAGATCTGAACAAAATCGGGTATCTGTGACACCTCTAGTATTTTACATCATTATTTTACATTTATTTTACATAAAATCTTTTTATTTGCAGATATATCAAAGAACAGGTTCACCGAGATTCCTGAACAAGTTTGTGAATTCTGTTCCATGGAAAATCTAAACTGCTATCATAATGTTATAAGATGTATCCCAGAAGCTATAGTGCAACTGCAAGCACTGACGCACCTTAATTTAAGGTAGGTGGTCTCTTTGTGAATAAGTGTAAACTGCTATCATAATGTTATAAGATGTATCCCAGAAGCTATAGTGCAACTTCAAGCACTGACGCACCTTAATTTAAGGTATGTGGTCTCTTTATAAATAGTGTAAACTGCTAACATAATGTTATAAGATGTATCCCAGAAGCTATAGTGCAACTTCAAGCACTGACGCACCTTAATTTAAGGTAGGTGGTCTCTTTATAAATAGTGTAAACTGCTAACATAATGTTATAAGATGTATCCCAGAAGCAATAGTGCAACTTCAAGCACTGACGCACCTTAATTTAAGGTAGGTGGTCTCTTTGTAAATAAGTGTAAACTGCTATCATAATGTTATAAGATGTATCCCAGAAGCTATAGTGCAACTTCAAGCACTGACGCACCTTAATTTAAGGTAGGTGGTCTCTTTGTGAATAAGTCTAAACTGCTATCATAATGTTATAAGATGTATCCCAGAAGCTATAGTGCAACTTCAAGCACTGACGCATCTTAATTTAAGGTAGGTGGTCTCTTTGTAAATAGTGTAAACTGCTACCATAATGTTATAAGATGTATCCCAGAAGCTATAGTGCAACTTCAAGCACTGACGCATCTTAATTTAAGGTAGGTGGTCTCTGTGAATTAGACTTGCATCAAAGGTAGTTACCCCTTACCATTTCCTGACCAATGGTAAGACAACGGGGCAACAAAAAGGAAGAAAATTAGTCATATTGGGACATGTTAATATAGAAATTATACTCCTAAAATGTTTAAACCACCACCCCCATCCTTGACAGCATGATATGATGATGTTTTTAATTCTATCCAAAATAATGATTTTTGATGATATTTATTTATAAGTATTTTTCTGTAGAAAATTTGTAATATTTAGAAAACTACATGTAAACACAAATAGTTCAAAAAACAATTTTCCATCTTTAGTAGCTATGTAAATATTGAGTTAATAAAAGATATACTGTATGAACATGAATATGAAACACACATTATATTATTTATAGCCCCTTATATTAGCTAGGGGGATGGGGAATCCTATCTTTTAAAAGAACAATTGCATTAGTCTCTTGGGTTGTCTATGTAATTTACAGGAGATTATTATCATGAATAAATTATATGATTCATTCATGTAGAGTTGAATGAGTGCATTTTTGGATGAAAAAACCTCACAGTTGTCATGTCTTTTTCATTGTTTTTCTCTCTAAAATTTGAATGAAGTGTCTGATTTTTTAGCATTTCTATACAATTTAGAGTGTTGGCTACATTCATGTATATTTTATTTCTTGTTGTTTCCTTTCTTTTCTCATGTATTTTTCATTTCAAAACATGATCCCTCTTTTTCTTAGGGACCCTGATTGGCCTGATATTGAGTGAGATATGATACATAATATTGATCTTGTATATGTACACATTAGGAAAAATCCTGGTGCAAATGCATTATAACAATGGCAATTATAGTTTTTTGTGAATCTTGGAATCAAGAACAATGCATCCTATCTACCAAATTAGATATCAGTCATTCTGATACTCATAACATCTTTCTGTTTCACCAGAAACATCTTAGGGCTGAGAAGAAATGACATGCCATGGATTATCATGATGGATATCAGTGTCTACTTATGGTACTTCATCAATAAAGTTTTGTTTATCATTTTCAATTTTCATTGATGGTCAATCTGAATATGAAGTTAATCTCCCACCAGTAATAGCCACATTGATTTTAATAATTTGTGCAAATTATAGGGGGAATTTAAATTGATGTTTCACAAAACAATATTTTCTAGGAAAATATCAAGCCCCCCTTCCCCGTTCTCTTGCTACCCTGTTAAACACATTGCATAAAAAGGCAAAAACATTAATACATTGGAAAGCATACATTCCCTGCACTATATCTCTTGTCAAGGTCACTTAGATAAATAGAAATGAACCAGACTTGATGCATAGCAGAACCTATCAGACCCCACAATGCCATCAAATACAGGCCCGTAGCCAGGATTTGCCAAGGGGGGTTCACTTTTTGAAAATTTCCAGGGGGGGTTCACTTTTGACAACTTTGGTCCAAAAATGGCCAAAATCACTTAAAATATGTTCAGAATGATGAAAACTGCATGATTTTGAAAGAATTTTTGGCCAGGGGGGGGGGGTTCGATCAAACCCATCGAACCTCCCCTGGCTACGGGTCTGAAATATAAAAACATTATTAGGAGCCTACATTTTTCTCTGCTTTTTATGTCAAGGTCGTGATGAATAGAAAAGAACCATCCTTGATACATCTACATCGCAGAATTAAATATCTATCTGATCTCACACTGGCATCCATCAAATATAAAAATTCTTTGTTAGGAAATTATATTTTCCCCTGCATTCTATGTCAAGGTTAAGATAAATGAAATGAACCAGACGTGATGCAATGCAGAACTGAATAATCTATCAGACTCCACAATGGCCTCCATCAAATATAAAAATTCTTTGTTGAAAAAAGAAGCCAGTCCTATAATTAAAGTACACCAGACATGAGGAATGGTTTTGAGGAAGTCATGGTGCCTTTCTGTATTCTTAATATGATCAACAGACTTGTTAATGTTCTGCAATTGCCTGAGATCAATATCTCTGTGGGACCAGTATGTCTAGTGTAATGAATGTTAGACTGGTGTTCCTTTAGAACTGGGGGGGGGGGGTTACAGTGATCTCCAGTTAGTGCCTTTCTGTATTCTTAATATGATCAACAGACTTGTTAATATTCTGCATTTGCCTGAGATCAATATCTCTGTGGGACTAGTATGTCTAGTGTAATGTATTTGAGGCTGGTGTTCCTTTAGAACTGGGAGGGGGGGGGGTGCTCTTCATGTTTTTTTCAACATGGGTACTAAATCTGATTTTTTATCCTTAGTTTGATGATTATGTTATGGAAGATTATTGGTCAAAATTTTCAGAAATCACTCAAAATTAGCTTGTTGAGCCAAAGTCTTACATTTTTACCAACACTCGTATATAAACTGACATGGGACATTCACAATTATACGAAACATTAAATGAAGTTATTTCTCATAGGAATTCAATCATAACAGGTTCTACATTCTAACCTCTCTAATGTTATATAGAAGATAAGTGATCAGATGGATATGTTAATCCCAGAGGAAAATACCATAGGGGTCATTTTTAAAATGCAAAATACAGTGAAAAAGAGTGAAATCATCAAGGAATAAAATAAACAGGCATGTAGTGAACACTCTAAATTGTATAGAAATATAAGAAAATCAAACAGTTTATTCAAATTTTGAGGAGAAAAATGTGAAATAGGCATGACAGCAATAGACATAATCTCAGAGTTATTCGCAGACTATAATAGAGATTCCTCTATAATCAATACAGCTTGGAGTCAGATACTAATAATAGACATAACGTCACAATAACAGAAAACCTATTTTGATTTTGAAAGCTTCTTCTCAATAGCTAATTCTCTACTGGCAAATTCCAGATTGCAGATTGTCTGATGATGGCTGATAATTCAGTGGCGGTTGGTCTTGATATACAAGGGATTCCAGGGGGGGGGGGGGGGGGTTAAAAGAGGTGGATGGCTCCATAGGTAGAATTGAAACGCTGTTGCATATAATTGTATCTTGTCACTTTTGAATTGGGTTGAAACGAGCATTGTCTTAATCATCATGCTATTCAACTTCCTAAAATCAGATATTATTTCTTGCTTCAAAAAGTTCAAAGTTAAAGTGAGTGTAATTGAAGTGAGTGGTCCATATTTTGTTGATCAAATACATTGAACTAGTTTTACATATATGAGATATAATATCCTATAAGAGGGAAGGAATGGGCAAAGGTCCTTATTCTTCAAGTCTTATACAGTGTTATAAAGTCTCTTATCTTGCCCCAACATTGTTCACTTAGAATAGGTTTTACTGTATATCTACCGAATCCCACTCCAATAAGAGTTAACTGGTCAGTCTGACCTGGAAAAGATAATAGGAAAGATAATATGAGCAAGGATTCAGCAGATTCAATTAGCCCATCATCATTCCTTTGGGCATAAATAATTCCCCAATCTTCTGCCTAACATAATCTAATCTCACTTTTCTTGTTTCCTGGTTTTATTCGTATAACATGCAATTTGGGATTATATCTTTTGTATGAAATTCCTTGGCATTTTCTTGATCTTGATTGAATTCTCCATTAAAAGGAGACACCGTCAGCCCACCTTTTTCCTCCGAAGGGCTAGATTTTGAAATGCTTGTATTCCACAGTCCTTACCAGTTTTTATTTTTCATATTTTTGTTATTTCTTGAATATCTTTGGTTTGAGGTTCTACTCAAGTTTTTGGCAGTGTCTTGGTTTTAATGGTATTTACCATGAAAATGTAGACATTTATCAGACTATGAGGAAATGAAGATATATCATCTTTCAAAATATTTTATTCTTGAATTTCATGATAAACGAATTATAAGATTCCTTCTGTATAAATCACAGGATCTTTTTGGATATGTTAGGACATTTTTTTTCATAGATTTACTCTCTAATTTCTCTCAATTAGGGGAAAACAGAGAAAATATGATGTATGTCATTTTTGACTTAAGAGTTAAGATGAAATATCAGGTTTGGATGTTGTAGGCTGTAGGGGAACCAAGCCTGAAGATTTCTATATGGTCATGCCTATTCCACTCTATTTCTCTCTAAAATTTGAATAAACTATCTGTTTTTCTTGCATTTCTATACAATTTAGCGTGTCAACTACATGCCTGTTTACTTTATTCCTTGCTAATTCCTCTCATTTTTACTCTATTTTCTAATTTAAAACTTGACCATCTTAGATTTCTATCCCAGGGTTGAGCAATCAATAACGGTCTTGTTCAGTTATACCTGGTTACCTGCAATTACAGCAGACGTTAAGTCATGCTTCAATAAAATATGTAGTTAGTAGTCTTTCCATCAATCTTCTGCCTTGCACTTTATTATCTATTACCTAAGCTTGTGTTATAGAGCTGAAGGGGGGGGGGGTCATGTTGAGAGGGGAGTAACGGGTGAACTGTAGTTATACATGGGCACTTAGCACTAAAATCATTCTGTGGGAATAAAATATGTAGTTAGAAGTCTTCCATCAATCTTCTACCTTGAACTGTATGATCTATTACCTCAACTTAGAGCTGACAAGGTGTGGATGGAAGGGGGGGGGGGGTGCATGGTGAAAGTGGAAAAACAGGTTAACTTGGGTGTTTAAACATTCATTGGAAGTCATGCTTCCATTGTGAAGTAATATAATAATAAGTAATATTCTTCCATCAATCATATGTCCCTCCCCCAACTACACTCTCTTTTTCCAAAACTTGTGCATCAAGCCAAGAAAACAGGTAATAAATAAGTTTTGGCATTCTATTGTGATGTGGAATTCTATATATATAATTGAGACTGGACATATGTATATTGCATTTGTATCAATTCATCTCAGAACATATATTTTTCATTTTCATAAAGAAAATATAGCTTTTGATAAAGGCATATTAACCTCTGTATTGCTGCTATATAAAGTTCATGATTTTATTGACCAGACCCAATATCAGTGCTTATGTCTACAATTTCCCTTTCAATTAATGGGCACTTTGGTTTATCCTTGGTATTGGTGAAAGAGCCTTTTACTTTCTCGGTTATATGTAATATAGATGAATAACTGTGCCATTCAGACTGCTTCTTCAGATTAAATCAACTTTCTACCATTTTATCTGTGATCTGGTCTGAACACCTCTTGATGCGAAAACTTTTTCAGTGCCATTTTTGATATGCCATAAATTAACATGTTAATCATGTGAAAACACTTTTAAGTGGGATTAGCTGCCAATCTGAACACTTTTGGCTTGTCCTAGAGCTGTTTGTATTAGGTGTTCGAACTGTTATGTGTTCTCTCACAGGATATTTTTCATTTCATTTGGGCAGGGGATTCATTAGTTGCTAGTAAGGATTTTCTTACATGTTTTCCTGAATTGTATTTTGTTTCTGTTTCCATGTTAACATTATTAAAGTTACTATTTTCATTCATTTTGTGTGTTGTTAGGAATTATTATAATGAAACCCCAGACAGAGTAAGAAATATTCAAAATTTGTAAAAAAAGTCTGTTATTCTTCAACTTGGTATAGGAAGTCTCTAATTCTACAACACAGTCTCTAATTCTTGGGTTCTCAGAAGTCAGTTGCTTCAATGCCAGATCACTGACATATAACCTATTACTGAAATGAAACCCCTATAAACCATTAATCACTGGAATGTGTAAATTGCATATTATTTTAAAGGCAATTTATAAAACGGGGATTAATATTTTCAGACTTTTGATCAAAGGGTCAATCAGAGTGGCAATTACAAGAACAATTTGATTGAAACCCATTAGCCCTTAATAATAAATGGAATCTTGATCTATTGAAAGTGGAAATTATTTTTCAGAATTGGTACGTTGAGTAAGATATCAATAATTGTACAGTAAAACTTGTATTTGTTAACATTCTCTGAAGTGAATAGCCTCAATGTTCACTTTAGACAGGTTATATTCAATGATCAGTCATCACCAATCATTGAAAGCCAGCATTAAATATTTTGGTTAGCTGAATCTTTCAATGTGAACACCTTTGCCTGATCACTGCAGACATGTTTTATTATGTAGTGAGACCTGTATATTCGAACACCTTTCTAATCTGAACACCTATCAGTCTGAACACTTTTTTCAGTCCCAAACTGGTTTACTCCAATTGATTCACCTGTTTGAAAAATCTGAAATCTGAAGAATTTTGACTGGCCTCAGTTGTATTTTGATTATTGTTTTACTGTATTTCTGGATTGAAATATGGCATATTCTTAATATCCAATGTTCAAGTTGAATCGGCCAGATATTATCAATGGTTATTAATAGCTTAACTGCAAATTGCTTCTGTTCTCTGTTCTGGTTACTGCTGTCTTATTAACCCCTTGACTCCCCAGAGTGACAAGAAAATGAGACACAGAATCTCTCACCAAAGTGGCTAAAACTATATTTATCAGATTCAAACATTTTTTGTTTATTTCATTGTCTAAAACTGATTTTTCAGATTCCTTCAAATGATTTGTTCATTTTTATCTTTCAGTCGTAATCAGATGTCTAAATATTCCTCCCTTCATTTATGATACACCATAAAACAGCAACCGTTTTTTGTTAATTGCAGCATTGGTCAAAAGTCTTCAACAATTTAAAATATTCCTTCAAATTATTTTCAGTCGCAATCAGATGTCTAAATATTCCTCCATTCATTTATGACACATCATAAAACAGCAACTGATTTTTGTTAATTGCAGCATTGGTCAAAAGTCTTCAAGATTTTAAAATATTATTTATTCGTTTCTATTTTTCAGTCGCAATCAGCTGTCAACAATTCCTCCTTTTATATACAAGCTGCAAGCTTTAGAAGTACTTCTTGCACAAAACAACAAACTCGTCTCTTTACCAGAGGAATTGGGACGTCTAGAAAAGCTTATGGAATTGGTAAGTTTCTTGTTTTATTTGATAAATCAGTATTAACTGGTGGTCACCCCAGACTTTTTTCAAAAATGGATGCATCTTTTTACTTTCACACTTCTTTCAAAAATTGGTCAAAAATATGAGATATTAATTATTTTTCTCAATTTTTAAGTACGGTATGTACAATAATAACAGGTGTTGATGAAATAATGTTCTAAAAATTCATTTCTTTTAATGTTATGGAAATTACTCTATTATGAATGACAGTATACAAATAGTGACTGCCATTGAGGGCAATAGTATAAATTATTTCCCCCGGTGAATATCCTCTAAAATGTACTATTCCCGAAGCCGCAATACAGAATATCTCGAGCAGAATATATTCTGTATTGCACTTCAAATCATTCAATAACTTATAGTGTTAAACTTTGTATTATTCTTTCTTACACAATGTAACATAGTGTTACACTTTATATTATCATGTGTTACAGGATGTAACATAATGTTACACTTTGTATTATCATGTATTATTCTTTCTTACACAATGTAACATAGTGTTAAACTTTGTATTATTCTTTCTTACACAATGTAACATAGTGTTAAACTTTGTATTATTCTTTCTTACACAATGTAACATAGTGTTACACTTTGTATTCTTATGTGTTACAGGATGTAAGCTGTAATGAGATCAATCATCTTCCTGTACAGATCGGAGACATCGAATCTCTAAAAGTTTTGAATGTCAGAAAAAATTTACTTGTGGAACTACCTGAAGGTAAGTGCATGTGTACTTAATCAGCTTCACAGGCTTTGGGTTGAGTTTATAGTCTTGCTTCAAGTCTCTGAACCCATCTTGATTCTCAAGGTTTTAGTTGCTCTTACTCAAAGTATTATAATCACTTGTAATTTGAAGATGCTCTGAACCACCCTTTTTATCTTCCTCACCACCTTGTAGAGAGCTCTTATAAAGTGGGGGGAGGGGGTGGGGGGGGGGTCACAAAGGCTTTAGCAAGACTATTGAGTTTATTGCATATTCTGGTATATCTTCATACAGGGAAAACCTGTGCATTGTGTAATGTGTATTGTGACTTACTGAATACAATAAAATGAAATTAATCAATGTAGAGCTGACACATAAAGCACATACGGTGAATCCTCAGCTTATTCAGATTCAAGTTGGTGAAGAAATAAATATTTCCAAGCAAAGAGAAGTAGATTATTCAAGCTTCTTTGAGCTGTTGAAATAGTCCTATTTGCGATGATTTGATGAAGTAGAGTTATTTCACAGATGTGAGATTTGGGGTTAAACAAAATAGAACATATCTAAGTTAATCTCAGTAACATCCATTGATCAAAACAAGTGGAATCATTATCTAGTACTTGCACATGTACTGATTTCTTTTTAGAAAAACTGATCTAAATTACTTGCGAGATACTGTTCTATGCTAGAAAATGTTGAAGGATCCAGTGCTAATAGATCATAAGTATAGAGGGGTTTACTCTATAGTTAAAGCTAAATAACACGGTAAAACCTGTGTATAGTGAACACCTATGAAACTACAAAAATATGATCACTCTAGGTGCAGTGATCTCCCCAGCATTAAAGCAAGTGGGTGCACCTATAACAGGCTTGCACCCACCTGCAGATATATTTACACCTACTTCAAAATGACAAGAATGATGAAAAACTGGAATATTTTGACCAGTTTCCATCTGATTTCTGATGAGAATTTTGCACCTAGTATTGCAATCCTTTGGAGAAACACTAAGACAAGTGTTCATTACAGATAGGATGATTTGTACTGAAGTCAGTAGAGTATGTGCAGAGGAAGGGTGTCTACTGGGGACAGGTGTTCACTAGAGAGGGGTGTTCACTAAGACTGGGTTTTCTGTGCATAGAATAAAGGAGATAGGGGGAAGGATGTAAAGGGATTTGAAGCAATACTATTTTAATAGTGCTTGTATTGTACGAATTTTATTCAGATTCGAAAAAAATCTTGTGAGAATACACTAAACAGTGAGTGATCTCCCAGCATTAAATCAAGTGGGCGTAGCACCCACCTAAGATTTTAAGAACAGGCTTATACCTACCTGAAAATCCATTTGCACCCACTTGAAAATGAGAAAATCATGAAAAATGGGCATATTTTGGCCAGTTTCGGTCCGAATTGTGAAAATGAGAATTTTACAACCACTTGAGAAAAAATCCTGTGGAGACAATTAAATTTGACACTTGTTTATCCTTTAAATCTTTTTGAACGAGGTTGACATTTATGTGTGTAGTAAATGTATGAAGTATTTGTAGAGGGTTTGCAAACATTTGTGAACCTAACAAAGTACAATACAACATTGTCAAATAACCCAAAGACAAATACAGTTTGTTATGATGTGGTTAACATGAGCCTTTAAAATATGGGGAGTCAGCGATCTCCTTACCAAGACCCTGAGCCCCCTTATTTACTAAACAACAGTTGTTAAAGAAGATGGGGGATAAGGGGAGGGAAGGGGGGGGGGGGGTTCAGGGTCTCGAGGCAAGGCTATGATCTCCTCAGTATTGAGGCAATCAAATTGTTAACCATTAACATCTACATGTATATGAAAATGGGGATAATCATGTTATTTGGTATCTTTTGACCAACTTCAGACAGTTGAAATAAATTTTTTGTTAAATATTGGAGAAAAATCCACAGAGGAAATCTAAGGAAGAATCCTGCCCTGATGGTATGGGGGGGTGGGGTGACCCTGAGGTTTTTCAGCAAGAGATGGTATATCCCTTCAAAAATCATTATTTCGCAAACAATTGAAGAAATTAAGATCTAGTTTCAGAGTTTTGCTGATGACAACCTCCATTATCAAATGAGTTTTTAAGAATTATCCCAGTTTAACATCAACTCTTTGGCTGCCAAATAATACAATAGAGTTTATTTAAGAAAGAAGGAAAAAAATTTTGAGATAGATTTACAGAAGTGTCAAATTGCAGTTTATAATAAACACTTTTTGGTATGTTCTATGACCTTAAGACATCATATTTCAACATTGACTTCCTATAGAGAATCAACACCACATTCTTACAGGGTGTGCCAAAAGTAACAGGACTGGTGCTGGAATTTTGTTTGTTAATACTGCCTGTATCATGTTCAGATTTTCACAAAATGTACTTTGAAGTATTGGAACTCGAAGAACAGAGACTGATGATATATTTCACTGGGGAGTATCGTGATGCAACAACACCGTGTTGTTGCATCAAGATGGCCAGACTTCCGGTGATAGATTTTCGTACGATATTTTGTTTCCCCAATTAAACCCATTTCTAGGACGAGTTGCTCAATAACCATACACGTGCAATTAGCGCACGATCTATATTTAAAGAAACTGTCATTAGTATACATGTACCATCACCAAGAAGCAATAAGTTCACGGTTTTAGTTCCTCACTATTGATGCAACAACACCAAACCGAAGATGCAACAACACCCCTCTAGATTTGAGCAATGATGCAGCAACACCAATTAATAGTATAATTTCAGAACACCATAAATCTCGAGAGGAACAGATTTTTAAATGCTACTATTGCAACGTTACCAATTAGCCTACCCATATTTGCGTTCTTCTCAAGGCATTCAAAATACACGTCCTGCGGGCGAAGATCCTTTATATGTATTTTCAAAAATGTATACTTTTACATATTATAATGTACTGGACGTTGTTCTATAACATAGTTCAATCGCCTTTAACATGGCAAGCTTTAGTAACCCAATCTATTTTCATAAACCATTGTTCCATAGCTTGATGACCCTGACTCCAGTCAGTATCATTCAAAATGGTGGACAAACATCTTTCGTTCTCGGTAAACATGATGAGCTATTGGATATTATCATGATATTATCTGTAATCCATCCTTGGAACAGTGATAAACTAGAAGATGTACGTTACCACTGTTTATCAAATTATAACTAAAACAGCTTAACTGTGACATTCGTGAGTTTATGTTGATGGGATGATTGCTTCATCTATGATATAATATGATATGATTCTTTATTTCCTCCAATTTGGAGAGCCAACGTGTAAAAATGTCTAATTGACTTTATTAGAGAGGCCGCTTAGTTACACGTAAATGGAAATCTTGCACGACGCACATGTAGAATTATTGCTCTCTTTGGATTCCTTCTCTCCGACTGAGTAAAAAGGTAAACAAAAGTGAACAAAAAGATTTAGGGCCCAAAAAGGTAAATTGATAGGGGTACAGTTATCCCAGATATCCCGGGCCCTCGGGAAATATCATATTGTCTCTCGAAATAAAACCAATATTGAATCCCTCTCAGTAAATAACCTTTATATAATAGCATTGTATAACTGCAATGTCACTAAACCAACACTCATCCTATACTTGAGAACGATGTACAACTCCTGGATAGCGTAAACTCCTGAGCAGCGTATACAACTCTTCAGCTTGATATATGACATCATACTTTGGGTGGGATAACAAAGGATATACAATATACAATTGTAGACCTCTCTTGAGGTCAACTGGCAAAATTGTATACCGATACTGTAATCCTTGAAAGTTCGGAGGTCGAGGTCAACAGTACTCTCAGGGTTTACTGTTGAGGTATACACTTTGGCCAGTTGACCGAATAGAGAAGTTAACAATTATTTGTTAGTCCGAAGAATATAATAATTTGAAAGGTCAACTGGCAAAATTGTATACCGATACTGTAAACCTTGAAAGTACTGTTGATCAAGACCAGAGGTCGAGGACACTTTTGCCAGTTGACCGAAAAGAGAGGTTAACAATTGTTCTGTTAGTCCAAATAATATAATAATTGGACGAATATATAATCGAATATCACGTGAACATATTTGATAAAGGTATCATATTTTAGAAAAAAAATCCCCAAACCGTCGAATACTTGTAATTTTTTACACAACTTATTTTTTCAAAATTAAAGAAATTTCAACATTAAAAAAACAATTTTTCAAAAATAAGGGTCAACAGTACCTAGTAGTGGTCAACAGTTTACAATTGTTGACCTCCCCAGAGGCCAACCGGCAAAATTGTATACCGAGACTGTAAACCGAAAAACTACTGTTGACAGAGACCGAAGGTTTACAGTCGAGGTATATGATTTTGACGGTTGATCGAATGGAGAGGTCTACAATTGTTTTGTTAGTCCGAGTAAACTAATAATACATATATACGAGAGACGACAATCATCAATCTTCATTTCACAACCTTTTCTCCGAACCACGTTAGCAATATTTCTTTTAGAATATATGGAGACAGTGCAAGTAGCTTAACTCTGTATTTGGCACATCACGGCGTACTCGTTAGTGAATTTATGTTAATTTTAAGTTTCTATTTGTATTTTTGCCTATACTTGTCGCCTAGTAAAGTCATTTTCATCAACGTTTACAAAATGTCCGTCATCCATCCATGTTTTTTGTGACGTCATGAAACTTTTTTTCAGAAGTAGCGGTCAACAGTACCTAGTAGCGGTCAACAGTACATAATTTTGACCGCTAATCACCCAATCAGAATCGAATATTTCAGTGAATTGAGTATTTCAATTGAGGTACTAACAACACAAAATGACTGATATCTGTTGTCTTTCCAAAATTATATTAGTTATTTGTAAGCAATTTCCATACGGTAAATCAAGGGTATTTAATTTAGAAAATGTATAATCTTTATTTTCAGATACAATATCAATGAGATTGCCTCCCGGGGATTCTGTACTCTATTTAGTTTGCCTTGTATATCCTTTTAACTTTGATATAGACAAAGAAACCAAACAAAATACGTTTCGTTCATGGACCACTGACTCACGCGTTTTATTCATGTCCCGACCTACACCTGTAAACAGAACATAAAATAGTTTCTCTTGTTGTTCAATGATACATTATATTGGCGTTTTTGCATCAGCACATTGGTGTTGTTGCATCATCGATAAGAAACAGAGTGGTGTTGTTGCATCAATAGTGAGGAATTAAAACCACGAATTTATCGCTTCTTGATGATGCTACATGTATACCAATGACAGTTTTTTTAAATATAGATCATGCGCTAACTGCATGTGTATGATTATTGAGCAACTCGTCCTAGAAATGGGTTTAAATTGGGAAAACAAAACATCGTACGAAAATCTATCACCGGAAGTCTGGCCATCTTGATGCAACAACACGGTGTTGTTGCATCACGATACCCCCCAGTGATATTTGGTGCTTTCCTGAAAATCTAAACATGAACGGAACACTTGACCTAGTCCTGGACTAGGTGACTGATTTTATGTAACTTTTAACAACTGATGATATATTTGGTGCTTTCCTGAAAATCTTTTGGGGTACCCTGTATACAAACAATTCTTCTTTGACAAGACTTGAAAAATTGTTTGAGTCACACCAGTACACTTCTTAGCTCTGCTGGTCTTTCTCAAAAACTTCCTTGATAGAGGGAATGGGGGGGGGGGGATAGGAGGGGATGTAAGAATTAAAAAATTGGTATTTCCAGAGAACTCAAAGCAAAAGTATTTGTAACTTTGGGAAATGTTGTTAAATTCAATACTAGGTGCAAATAGAATTTCAAATGGGTGCAAAGGATTTTCACCTGGTTGCAAAATGATAAATTATTACCCGGGGAAAAAAATTATTTTCAAGTGAGCATAAAATGCCATTGTTTTTTTTTTAATAGTATCAATTGTTAAAAACAAATTCAAGCCAGAAAATTAAAATTTTATTAAGGGAACTCAAAAGTGACCTCCCAGAGCCTGTTTTGTTTACCATACAAATGCACTGGCAGCATTGATTGGCCTTTCATTTCAACAGATGATTTTTATTAGGTTTGTTTTGAACAAAATTGCTTGTTGAATCCTGCAACCGTTTCTATGTAAAATTTGTAATTTTCACTAATTTTGCCTTTTTGTTTCATTCATTCATATTTTGCTTGTAGTTAGAAATTCTAATGAAACAATACTAATATACTTAGGGCCATGATTCATCGAATATTCGTAGAACAACATTAACTTCACATGGCAAAACCAAAACAATATGAGCTTCTATAAATAAAATGTGATGTTTGACATATCAACAAGATGTTTACAAAACTCTCTCTTTCTGTCAGTTGGATAAAGGGTTAATTACCATATTTATGGAGCTGTCACATTTACGCATTTGGTCTATGGCGGCCGTACAGTGGCCGTAGCTTCACAAAATTGATATAGAAAATCTACATCGTAGCCTTTTTTTATACTTGTATTTTATGCTGCATATTTGTCTCAGTTATGACCGCTGTCCGGTTGCTGTAGATCAAATGTGACTGAGGCATTACTGGTGATCCACTCGATTACGCCGGTTACCGAAACGGTTCGTTTTGGTAATAAAATGTCGGAATGTCGAAGGTACGAACGTGTGAAATAAGGAAAAAGAAAAATCGTACCTTCGACGTCCCGACATTTTGTTACCAAAACGAACCATTTCGGTAACCAGCGTAATCGAGTGGATCACCAGTGTGTAGTCTCACCATTCACCACTGTGTGAATACTTTTGGGCAGACGGCAGGGCACGGCATGGACACACAATGGGCAAAACAATTAGTTTTCCAGCAATACAATATACCCCATTACAAAAATTTAAAAATTAATTAATTAAAAAAACGCCGCTAAAAATTGGCCACACGATGGCAAACAGTGAACCCACACGGCTAATAGTCCATAATGTGAAAGCTACTTTAAACACAAAGTTATGTATTTCTGATGGCTTTTAGCAATCGATTTAAGCTACTTGAGGAGAATCTCAGATGTCAGACCTCCTTGAGGGTAGTACAGAAGTATATTACCCTTTGTTTTTTTAAAAAAGACACCCATAGAAACAAGGTCAAATTGACTCATATTCGCACATGAATAGAATTACAGACATTGTAAAAGTAGAAATCATAAGTACATCTACTTATGCATTTTAACATCAGGCCATATAATGAAAACATGTTGTAAAAAGGTGTTGGCGGTTGTGTTATACAATGTCTCATTTTGAAGCATATATCATGTTTCAACGAAAGTTTAAGTCCAATTTGTTAAGTCATTATTAGTTAGTTTGAACCATACTTCCACTATGTTACATCAAGATAATTAAAAATGTATGCTTTGTAAATTTGTACATTACAATAACTGTTCTAACATGACATGCTTTATGTATAACAAATTTTATTTTTTCAAAACATGGAATCCATACACCCCTCGGGGTGTCCTTTTCATATCACTTGTAAATTAATATTGTATGAAAACTAGAATTGAATAATAATAATAAATTGAATAAATTGAATTGAATATGTATATATGACGTGTTGTATCCTTTGAATTTATTGAATTATATGGCACTTGATTGAAAATATGCTTGCAGCCTGTCAAAAGGTCTGTAATCTTGTCTGTAATCTTGTCCAGTTCATATGTTATCATTTAGGGGTGTAAATCTGTAATCTTGTTTAATACATGTGTAATATTGTCAAGTACATATATAATCATGTGGGGCATGACTGTAATCTTGTCTCGTACATGTGTAATCATGTGGGACATATCTGTAATATTGACCAGTTTATATATTATCATGTAGAGGTGTAAATCTGTAATTTTGTCCAGTTCATGTGTAATCATGTGGGGAAAATCTGTAATATTGTCCAGTACATATATAATCATGTAGGGAATATCTGTAATCTTGTCTAGTACATGTGTAATCATGTGGGACATATCTGTAATATTAACCAGTACATGTGTAGTCATGTGGGGCATATCTGTAATCTTGTCCAGTACATATGTAATCATGTAGGGAAAATCTGTAATATTGTCCAGTACATATATAATCGTGTGGCATATCTGTAATCTTGTCTAGTACATTTGTAATCATGTGGGACATATCTGTAATTTTTTCCAGTACATGTGTAGTCATGTGGGGCATATCTGTAATCTTGTCCAGTACATGTGCAATCATGTGGGAAAAATCTGTAATCTTGTCCAGTACATATGTAATCATGTGGGGCATATCTGTAATATTGTCAAGTATATGTGTAATCATGTAAGTTATATCTGTAATCTTGCCTAGTATACATGTAATCATGCAGGGTATACCTGTAATCTTGTCCAGTACATGTGTAATGTGGGGTATACCTGCAACCTTGTCTACTACCTGTGTAATCACATTAAATCAATGTGTAATCATACTTAACACATGTCTCATCATAATTTCAGAATTAGGTCAACTCCGCCTGAAGAGATTGGATATCTCAAATAACAAAATACAGAAGATCCCTTCTTCATACAAGAATATAGATACACTAGAGGAACTGATTGTGGAGAACAACCCTCTAACTTGCCCACCAGCCCATGTATGTATAACTAGTTCAGTATATTTAAAATGCCCATCAGCCCATATATGTATAACGAGATCAGTATATGTTAAATGACCTCCAGCCTTTGAATAACTTGTCTAATATATTTAATGTAAAGGTTTCTAATGTAAAGAACAAATCTGTAACTCCCATCCATCCCTATTATGTATAACTAGTTCAATATATTTTCTCAAAATGTTATCAATGTTTATATCAGAATAACACTTCCTTTAACTTTTTGCATTAACTTGTTTTATGAAAGAAGATAGAATTCTAAAAATGACAGTGAAGTATGGCCTGAAACGTATAAGGAAAAAAACTGATCTGTACTGAAATCATAATCAACAAGCATAACTTTGTAATACAACGTCAATGAATGTTATACACGATTGAATGAAAAAACAGATATATTTTACACCAAGACCCAAGATGAGGAAATCAATATATTCAGATGTAATGAGTCATTGCTTTGCTGTTTATTTTGCTCTAGCTACGATAACATGAATCATAGCGGTCTCAATATGTTGAGTTCTATGTTTCCCAGACCATGTTTAATCCATGTAATTTGAATTGAAGTGAATGTCTTGATTCCTGTCACATGATTTAGAGGGTAGTTGTCATGATACATAATTGCTTACTCTGTTTTTTGTCTACTTAGAAATCATTATTTTTCAAAAATTTAGCCCTATTTCTTCAAGGCCCAGACAGCTAAATGTTATCTAATTTTAAATCTGTGATTTTAAAGATTTTTCTTTGAATGAAATAATAGATATATACTTGTGGGAAAATGTCACAATGGTCTGTTATAATGTATTCATATATTGAATACAGTGGAAAAGGGTGGAATCCGCCAGGAATCAAGCAAACAGCCCAGATTCCTTATGTAATAAGGTCAGAGAAAAGATAACATAATCTGCCTTCCTTTATTTGGCAGTTGAATGGCTTGTTAGGGTTAGCTACTGTAAAATAAAAAGATAAGTGTTATGCCAGTATGGCAATTTTGCATGGAAGCAGTCTCCAGTCTAGACTGTGTAGGATGAATGAGAAAAAGATCAATACTAAGTTGTCTTTTGAAATAAATTAAGGTACACCTGTTATAAGATAGGAAGGGCTGGATATGGGTTTAATCCTGAGGGAAGATATCATATCACGAAGGAAAACTAATTTACAATCCCTACAATTAAATGACCAATTTGGTGAAAAATTATATTTTCCTCAGGATAAACACCATATCCTGCACCTGCTATGAGATATTATTTATATCCTAGGTTTGCAGTAAAGGTAAAGAACACCTAATGAAGTATCTCACCATAGAAGCCATTAAAGAAGACAGAAGGAGGGGTGTAATGAATGACAATGAACCACCAAGACATTATAGGAAACCTAGGTCAATTTATCAAGTGTGAGTGAAAGTTTCATTTATTCGGGGGGGGGGGGGGGTGTAATGAATGACAATGAACCACCAAGACATTATAGGAAATCTAGGTCAATATATCAAGTGTGAGTCAAAGTTTCATTTATTCGGGGGGGGGGGGGGGTGTAATGAATGACAATGAACCACCAAGACATTATAGGAAACCTAGGTCAATATATCAAGTGTGAGTGAAAGTTTCATTTATTCGGGGGGGGGGTGTAATGAATGACAATGAACCACCAAGACATTATAGGAAACCTAGGTCAATATGTCAAGCGTGAGTCAAAGTTTCATTTATTCGGGGGGGGGGGGTGTAATGAATGACAATGAACCACCAAGACATTATAGGAAACCTAGGTCAATATGTCAAGCGTGAGTGAATGTTTCATTTATTTATTCGGGGGGGGGGTGTAATGAATGACAATGAACCACCAAGACATTATAGGAAATCTAGGTCAATATATCAAGTGTGAGTCAAAGTTTCATTTATTTATTCGGGGGGGGATGTAATGAATGACAATGAACCACCAAGACATTAAAGGAAACCTAGGTCAATATATCAAGTGTGAGTGAAAGTTTCATTTATTCGGGGGGGGGGTGTAATGAATGACAATGAACCACCAAGACATTATAGGAAACCTAGGTCAATATGTCAAGCGTGAGTCAAAGTTTCATTTATTCGGGGAGGGGGTGTAATGAATGACAATGAACCACCAAGACATTATAGGAAACCTAGGTCAATATGTCAAGCGTGAGTGAATGTTTCATTTATTTATTCGGGGGGGAGGATGTAATGAATGACAATGAACCACCAAGACATTATAGGAAACCTAGGTCAATATATCAAGTGTGAGTGAAAGTTTAATTTATTCGGGGGGGCGGTGTAATGAATGACAATGAACCACCAAGACATTATAGGAAACCTAGGTCAATATATCAAGTGTGAGTGAAAGTTTCATTTATTCGGGGGGGGGGGGTGTAATGAATGACAATGAACCACCAAGACATTATAGGAAATCTAGGTCAATATATCAAGTATGAGTCAAAGTTTCATTTATTTTGAGTTTGAAGGTGTTATATATGAAAATGAAAGTCTAAGACAATTTAATGAGCCTTGGTCAATTATCAAATGTACGTTAAAGTTTTATTTATTTGGGAGGGATGGTGTAATGAATGAAAATGAACTTAAACCATGCATTTTAAGAAGCCTTGATAAATATTATCACTTGTGAGTAAAATAATTTCATTTATTTTTTGGGTGTAATAATTGACAATGAACTACCAAGCATTTTAAGAAACTAGGGTCAATAGTTTTATCTATTTTGGGGGGTGTATCATCATTTTCTATTCAGAATGAGGAACTATTTCCTGTTTTTAATTATCTTTAAAGGCTCACATTTGACTCCACATCTTGTTTAACAGGATTTACATTGTACATTACAGTATTAACAAATAACAGTTTTGTTTTAAGTTTCAAGCAAATACGAGGGGTGATCCAAAAGTCTTGGACGCCCCGCTCTAACTTTGCTATTTTTTAATATAACTACATGAAACTTTCAGATAATAAAGATCAACATCTTAACAATTTTATGTATAAGTTTCAACAGAAAGTAATATATTTTAGCCACTTTTCTACATATCTTTTAATACCGGGTCACTGCCACCCGGAACGGTATATGAATATAGCAAATCACGTCACAACTGTTATAATATGGCAACTACTTTAGGTGCAGGTGCACAACCTAACACCAGCCATGATATGAGAGAATTTTCGATTTTCAATCTGAGTGTCATCTGCCATCATCATCTTCACATATTAAGACATACTTTTCAACATATTTTCCACGAATTTGAACACATTTTTCATACCACTTTACCAATGAATGGAAGGCATTTATGAAACCGTCATAGCTTCTGTGATACAAATGCTGCTGGAGTGCTACTCTAAACCTCATTCAATGAGTAAAAAAAATTTTCTTTCAACCATCCTTTCAACTTGGAGAAAAGGAAGAAAATTACATGGAGCCATAGATAGACTGTATCGTGCATATGGTAGCTGCTCAAGGTCAATAATAGTGAAAATATCTTGTAGTATCATTTGTTCCACTTTGATTTCTTTCATGTTCTGCCTTTCAGCAACCATCTTGGAGCAAAAATGATACCAGAATGAGGGTTGCTTGTCTGATGATATTTTCTTAGAATTTGACACGTGCGGCCATTGCCATATGTGACATTATAATTAAAACACAATTAATTGGTTGCCTAGTAACAAACGAAGTAAATTAACATGGTTTAACATAGAAAATTCAAAGAAATATAGTGGTCAAGACTTGCGAAACAAGTGAAATGGCGGTAACATTTAAGGCTGAAAGTTGCCATGTGCGAATACCGTTCCGGGTGGCAGGGTCCCTGTATTACAAACTATCTAGAAAACTATACAAAATATATCATTTCTCCATGAAATTAATACACAACGTAGTTAGGTTGTTGGTCTTTATTATTGGAAAGTTAAAAGTAATTTTATCAAATACCAACAAAAATAGAGCAGGGCGTCCAAGACTTTTGGATCACCCCTCGTAAAAAAGATCAGTTTCTCCACAACTTTTGATTGATTGATAAAACTTCCACAAGTGTAATTTTGCCACTTTTCCTATCTTCCAACATTTTTCATGGAAAATCCAGCATACATGTATGCACATTTAATTTTGGGTATTTTCTATAGGAATTCTATGGAATCTAATGGTATTGTCGAACCACAGAGCAAAAATGACAAAAACAGACGCTATGTCAGTGGGGATTCTGGGTATAATACTACGGAAAATCTTCATGAGGTGAACGGGGATGCTAAAAAATGGTCACCCGAGGTAAGTCATAATATAGTATATTTTTATTTTTCCAAATTTATTTAAATCCGATGAATTTCTTTTGAATTGATAACAGCCATGCAGAAGTTGAAATTATTGTTTTATTGGCATATTTACTTTTAATAGAAAGTTCATCTTTTAACTATATATTTTTTTTTCTTTATTCACTAGTTCAGCATAATACTCAATTTTAAAATAGAGGATATTATTATTTTTATATAACATAATTTCCATATTGTTTGTTAGTTCATTTGTAATTTTGTTTGTTTATTTTGTTTATTTTTTTAAATATATCTTAAATATTGTAAATGTTGCTTGTCACATAGATCCAGCAGCCGAACAAGAAATTTTTGCATGTTCATTTTTTCAATGTTTTGTATGTATTGCGCAGCTTTATATTTTGTCCACCATCAAGATTTATTTAATTATTTATTTACTTTGCAAACATGAAAATCAATTTCTCCATATTAAACATGAAGTATGATATTTAATTATTTTTACCATCTCATTCAACTAACTCACTATTCATTCACATAATATGTTTTAATTCATGAAACTTTATACTCATTAATTTTGCTCAATCAAAATTCCATACATCTTTGATCCTAAGGGCGGTGTTCGCCTAATCCTAAATGGGTTTTGATCAACGAAAATCGTTAATCAAGATGTATTCCCATATTCCTTTATTCTGAAAAGGTAAAAAGTTGAGGCTTGTTTTATTTAGTTGTGGCATCATCGAGAATCGTGTCCTCCGGGTATTTTAAGTCAAGCTATCAGCAAACTCTCACACAGGATCTCTGAGACATTTCACGATGTAAGTGAAGGAGGTGTCAAACCCACACTGCTTTTCTGTAAGACTGGGGTATCTGGGAATTTCGTCCTTCTCTGATTGAAAGAGGTGTGATGCCAATCTGCTTTCTGTAGGGCAGGGACAGCTGGGAATTTCATCCTCCTCTAAGTGAAAGAGGTGTCATACTCAGCTGTCTTTCTGTATTACTGGGGCTTCTGGGAACTTCATCCTTCTCTGAATGAAGGAGGTGTCATACCCATGTGCCTTTCTGTAATACTGGGGCTTCTTGGAACTTCATCCTCCTCTGAGTGAAGGAGGTGTCATACCCAGCTGTCTTTCTGTAATACTGGGGCTTCTGGGAACTTCATCCTCCTCTGAATGAAGGAGGTGTTATACCCAGCTGCCTTTCTGGGCAAGGAAACTCCCAAGTGCCCCAGACTCTATAGTCTAGACTTACTGAGGTTTCTGGGAAGACACACTCCTTTTGTACGAAAAGGCTCTTTTAAGGGCCATATTCCATGGTTGCAGTGCTGGCTTTCGGAGCACGAGCACTGATATTATTCAAATACCTGGTTCAAACAATACTATGAAAGCTTAGTCTTGCTTCAAGCCCCTGTGACCCACCCCCTCCCCCTTGATACACACCTTACCTTAATTCAAAGAGAAGCACATGTATTGGGAAGGGGGGGTACAGAGACTTGATGCGAGACTATGAATGCTAGTTAGGCGTATGAAACACACATGAGCATACTCATGAAATTTTTGATCTGAGAATCTTGAACTCTATTTGTTGAGATTGATATATTTTGTGTGCTAAATATATCCTGCTGTCATGTGTGTTTGTGTGTAATATATGCTGTTATCTGTGTATATCATGAATTGTGTGTGATTTATGTCTATTTTTTTTTTGTATGTTGAAATTGTCCTGTTTGCGTGCATGTATGTGGATATATTGTGAAAATTTAGAATAAAATATACGCTGTGATTTGTAATTGTGGTGTCGCAAGTTGCTTTGAAATTGTATATACGTGATGGATGTGAAATGTTTGCTTGAATGGCAAGATTGAAGCATGTTTCATATACTGATATAATCATTTGATTTGTTTTATCTCATGTTCCAGAATGTTAATTATCAATTTTCAGCTTTGGGGTCAGATTTGTGTAGATTTTAGAAATTAGAAATATTCCAATCTTTAAATCATCAAGAATTGCAAATTTGATGTCTTAAATCAATGATTGAAGATTTTTCAGGGAGGGGAGGGGGGGTGGGCTGAAGAATTAGCCTAACAGAATGTAAGTTATGAGAATACACAGCCTAGAATTATATATAATGTGAACAGTTTTCCAGACCCTGTAAATCATATACAGTAAACAGTGAATTTAAACAATGCTGATAGTGAAATTCATCCATTTGATGAACACTTTTCAGATTCCGATGACAAATTGACTTTATGTTAATGGAGCTATGTTAGTGGAACAGTGAACACCTTGCAAGTGGAACACTTTTAGAGATGCCAAATGTGTTCTACTTACACAGGTTACCGTTTCGCTGTACCATTTTTAAGACCAAAAATACCAATATGAACAGATTATCAGTATATGAAACATGAGTGTAGTATATAATGTATTGAACCAGGTATTACATGCACATATTATTGCTTTGGTGTTGGATTTGAGCTTATACTAGATTTACTTAGTTAAAAAATCATTCCATCCTTCTCAGTACCATACAACACTAAAGTTCAGTTTTAATTTTGTTATATCATCCAACAATGTTGGATTTGAGCTTATACTAGATTTACTCAGTTAAAAAATCATTCAATCCTTTTCTGTACCATACAACACTAAAGTTCAGTTTTAATTTTGTTATATCATCCAACAATGTTGGATTTGAGCTTATACTAGATTTACTCAGTTAAAAAATCATTCAATCCTTTTCTGTACCATACAACACTAAAGTTCAGTTTTAATTTTGTTATATCATCCAACAATGTTGGATTTGAGCTTATACTAGATTTACTCAGTTAAAAAATCATTCAATCCTTCTCTGTACCATACAACACTAAAGTTCAGTTTTGATTTTGTTATACCATCCAACTATGTTGGATTTGAGCTTATACTAGATTTACATAGTTAAAGAATCATTCCATCCTTCTCTGTACCATACAACACTAAAGTTCAGTTTTGATTTTGTTATACCATCCAACAATGCTGGATTTGAGCTTATACTAGATTTACTTAGTTAAAGAATCATTCCATCCTTCTCTGTCCATATTCCATACAACACATTATATAACTTCAGTTTAGATTTTATTTCCAAGTTATCAAGTCTATATTTTTGGACATTTGTTATTGTTCTGTATTTATCATAAATGATTCAAACTTTAATTGATATTTCTGTTATTAAGCTATTTAAGTACTGAGGACTTGTCTCTATACGGGCCTGGTATATATGATGATGCCTTTTAGTATGGCAACCACATAGTTAATATGAAATATCTTTGGATTTATACGCTTGCGATCAGCTGCTTCCAGTCGTACTAATATGATATGCACTATTTGCCTATCTATGACTTCTTTCTACAAAATTTACTAATTCACAAGTTGATTTCGATGAATTTAGAATAATTAAAATATAATTGGTAAAAGTATTTAAGGCAATATTAATTCAGTGCCTCTTTGATGTAAGATTGTTCTAAAAATTAATTTACATTTTAAGCTTGTTCCTTTAATACATTCACCTTTCTGACCCCTGATAGTTTAATTGCAAATTATTCATTACATTTGATTACCACTTTTTCAATTCAAAGTTGCTTAATCAAAAAGTTCACTTGTAATCCCTTAAATTGGCAATCTAATATAAAATGGAGTAGCTTGATTTATTAAAGGTAGAATCAGACATAAATTGAAACCATTGTCAAAATTGTTTCAATTTCATAAATTTCTAGTGTCGTGCATCTGAAAGAAATCTACCATTTGGTATATCAGATGCTGGCACACTTTTGCCGGAAGTTTGCAAGAAGTAACTTTTGGCAATATAGTATGTTAGAGTAACCTAGTAGGTGTAAGAAAATATAAGGTGATGGGCTTTAAAGTGGTAAAAACAATTTTCACAGCCGAATTGGACTTCAATTCCTTCTATTTCAGGGGGTACTATAATATTATTTCATAACATAAAGGATATATTTGCTATTGTTCTGCTTTCTACTGCACACATTACTAGTCCAGAGATGAATAATATCCTAAAGTTATAGGCCGAGATCTGTATTAGTCTCAGAAATATTGCAATTAATAGGAAAAAAATATGCAATTTTATTCATTTTTAAGTCTCACCTATTTTATATTTGTAGCTTCCAGCAAAAGATGGCAGCTTAAATAGCTCAAAATTGTTTTCTTAAAACTAGTTCAAGCTTTGTTTGATATTGTAATACAACTATAATAATGATAATGTACTATTTATGATTTTTAATGTGACTTTATAGTACCCTACCCCTGGAAAGTGGGCGTGGTCGATGTTATCATTTTGCAGCATACTATTAAAAATTTGCTTCAATAGAAAGCGAATCAATGCATTTCAAACATCTTCAATTGTTACTTGACATTGTAATTCATTTATTACTAGAATATAGGACTCTACATTTTTTATATATACATTTTCAATTTAGTACAATGTTTTATAATGAAACCTAATAGGCTGTTTCAATTTACCAACTTTTTCTCGGATCACTCTTACCTTTTGACAAAATGATCTACTATATGACCAATAGCCACAAAAAAGAACTGATCAACATTTAAACTGCCCCCTCTACCCCAATGTTTGTTTTGTATGGGGTCCGCCACAATGCAACAAGTCCATTTTCAGTGCTTACTATCACATGAAATATAAGTCACAATGTTTCCACAATACCCTGGCAATGAGATAGTGCCATTAAGAATACATATGCACAGATTCAAGATCATAATGTAAATACTTGCCGATCTATCGGCTTTCAAAAATGAGGAAAGCTGTCTCGAGTGCTGTTTCAGCTAATTTTGAATTAAAACTGCTACTTATGCATTCTTTTCTCAACATCTGTGATTTGGTAAGACTCCCAAACACAGGATATCAGGACATAGTGCTACCAAATTCTGGTATTGAAAATTTCAGAGCTCTAGATCAAGTATTCATATCTGCATGGACTCTTAGAAAGACCCAAAAGACAAAAAATGCAGTCAGATATCGCGAAGAATGTGATAAAATGCCCTATTCAGAACAATTTATCTGTTAAATTTTACTTTTATTTACCATAATTTCTGATTCTGCCTCTAGTTAGTGATACCAATAATACATATGAGTAGACTTAAGGTCATAGTAAGTGTAGTTACAGGTTTTATTTAGAACTGAAACTTTTAGTACTTTCTCAGAGTTACATCTAGTTATTATTTATTAAGTGACTTCAACATCCGAATTGATAAATTCACTGATATGCTTAAGACCAAAAACCTATTAAGAATGTTATTATTGAATACTGAGAATACATTGTTTTTGCATTACGGAGCTTAATATTTCTACCTGAAAGTATTTTGGAACATATCTCTTGCTTAAATATTTTATGCAATGTTACTTTCCAAAACTTTCCAAGAACAATAAGTCCATCCTATACTTTCACATGTTATTCTCCATTTCATTTTCAAGTGGGAGCTTTAAAGTCTATAAAATAAGAGCTTAATACCAATTATACCATGCACCCTCTTTGCCCTCCGTCGCTTTTTCTTAGGATGGACAATCATATTTCGAATTGAATTGAGTAAAGTCAGTTAAAGTGATATATAGCTGTATATAACAAAGTATCTTTCACTTGATACTGTGATGTCAAGCTTAAGCATTCAAACAGTGTATTTTGTCCCAATATACAATAAAGTACTGATTTCATTTATTTATCAATTCAGATGCCTTGGAATTAAAGTAAATACTTGGTATATATTACCAATATTATTTTTACTTATTATTGGTAGTGCAATGACCGGGTTTCCTTTCATGTCTTTGGTCTTACGGTGCAGTTTGTAAAAAGAAAATCCAGAAAGTTGCAGTCTTAGATGAAAAACTGGTGAAAATCATATTTGCTACAGCTTTTCCCATTTTCAGAAGCCAATAGATCTGTAACTCCACTTACTATGACGTTAAGTCTTCTCATATGTATTATTGGTGGTACTAACTGGAGGCAGAATCAGAAATTATGTCAAATAAAAGTAACATTTAAGAGATAAATTGTTCTGAATAGTGCATCTTTCATATTTTTCTCGATATCTGACAGGTTTTTGTCCTTTTGGGTCTTTTTAAAAGTACATGCAGAAGTGAATATTTGATCTAGAGCTCTGAAACTTCCAAAATCAGAACTTGGTAGCATTATGTCTTAGTATCCTATGTTTGGGGTCCAAAAAAGTCACAGATGTTGAGAAAAATATTCATTACGTAGCAGTTTCAGTTCAAAATTAGTTAAAACTGCACTCACGACAGATTTGTCTATTGTTGAACGCCGATAGATCGGTAAGTATTAGTATTAGTACCTTGAATCTTCTCATATTATGTAGTCTTTGTGGTACTTTCTCATTGCCAAGGCAATTCGGAAACACTGTGACTTACATTTCATGTGTTAGTGAACACTGAAAATGAAACAGCCTATTAGATTTCATTATTATACATTGTACAAAATTGAAAACGTATATATGAAATATGTAGAGTCATATATTTTAGTAATAAATGAATTACATTGTCAAGTAACAAGTGAAGATGTTTTAAATGCACTGATTTGCTTTCTATCAATACAAGTTTTTAACTGCATGCTGCAAAATGATAACATTGGCCACGCCCACTTTCCAGGGGTAGGGTACTTTAAAGTCATATTAAAAATCATAAATAGTACATTATCATTATTATAATTGTATTACAATAACAAACAAAGCTTGAATTAGTTTTTAGAAAACAAACTTGAGCTGTTTAAGCTGCCATCTTTTGCTGGAAGCTACAAATATAAAATAGGTGAGACTTAAAAATGACTAAAATTTGCATATTTTTTCCTATTAATTGCAATATTTCTGAGACTTATACAGATATCATCCTATAACTTTAGGATATTATTCATCTCTGGACTAATAATGTGTGCAGTAGAAAGCAGAACAATAGCAAATATATCCTTTATGTTATGAAATAATATTATAGTACCCCCTGAAATCGTAGGAATTGAAGTCCAATTCGGCTGTGAAAATTGTTTTTACCACTTTAAAGCCCATCACCTTATATTTTCTTACACCTACTAGGTTACTCTAACATACTATATTGCCAAAAGTTACTTCTTCCAAACTTCCGGCAAAAGTGTGCCAGCATCTGATATATGGTATATCATTGATCTTTTTAGAATTTTGTCAATCTCTCAATATAGATTCTACCTTTAAACTTGTTATTTTGGCTTATGTTGTTCTTACTAAGTTGCATATATTGAACTAGTTGATATTGTACATCAGGGTGGACAGGATGCTCAACAGGTGGAGACACTGGTGCTTCAATCGGGAGAATCTGTCAAAGAAAAACGTCAAGAACGGGAAAACGAGTTACAACGTAGAATCTCGGAGCAAGCGCGAGAGTCGATTCGTGAAGCTGATTTAAGGACTCATGGGAGATCTGCTGATGGATTATGGGACAATACAACTTCGGTGCAATTGGTACGTCGCCCTTCTAGTGCAACAGGAAGTGGACAGTCAAGCGGTGTTGGTGGCAGTAGTGGTGGTGGCGGGAAAATAGTAAATAAGACATCGGTGCCCTCTAGTGGGAGATCTACACCAGGACGTACAACACCATCTTTACAGAGACGTGTATCGGGAGATTTAATGCCAAATATGGGCGTATCGGATACCAACGGGGATGCTTCAGACAGTTCGGAATTCCAGTCACAGATGAATCTTGAAGATGAATTTACAAGGGTTGGTTTTAAGATTTATTTTAAACAGATGTGTTGTTATAGTAAGGGGTCTGCATGATTAAAAATAAAGACCCCTTACAAACAACACAAATCTATGGTCAATTTAAAATTTGCTTAAAGTTGCTTTTTATTTTGTTTTGCTTTGGTCATACATACTTACAAGAAATAATTTCTAAGGTAATATTTGAATTTTTTTTCAAGTTATTCTCAAAATTCTTAGAAATAGTTCCCTATATAGAAGCTTTAAATGTAATTTGACTATGTTTACCATATATGGGTGTGTAAAAACTAACTCTTGCTTTCTTTGTTTACACGTTTTTCAAAGCTAATAGATTCAAAAAGAGTGGAATCAGGCTTGTAATAGTAGTTACACGCTGTGTGGGAATATGGTATATTGTTTCCACATCTGGAAAAAAACTCTGAACATATCTTTTGATACCAATGAAATGATTCAGTCGTACCACTGCTGACAAAAAATCTCAGAACTAAATGTTCTTAAAAATCGAAACAAGGCCTTTTCTAGTTTACCTACATAAAAAAATATGTTTCACTCAATGTGGATCAAAATATGAAAAAAGTCAATAATATGAAAACATATTTTTCAATTTCAACATAAAAATATTTGACGCTTAGTCGCTTACAGAGAATCTCCTCCTTTTGACAGTCCATTCATGCTGAGTCTTATTTGAGCAAGAATTTTGCGTGAATAATATAGACAAAAATGATACGAGAATTTTAACATTTTACGTGCCCATATATGGTTATCATTTGCATGGAATCCCCACATTTCATGTATATTAATGCTGGTACATGGATTTTATATTTCTTACATCCATCATGTAAATAAAGTCAAAAAAGGGGGGAGGGGGAGAGGTTTGACCCACAATTCAAATATGAATCTATTGCAGAATAAAGATCAATCTGTAGGTAATCTTTACATAAAGATTGGTTCTTTGAATTCTGGGTAAATCCCTCTCTCAGTGAAACATCTGAAAACATCTTTCATCAGTTCTCTGCATCCCCCTTCTCCACCCCCCCCCCCTGCTCCACAAGCGTGTGGCTAGGGAGAAATCGAGCAAGGGGGAGGGGCAGAGGAATGCAATACTCAAAATTGGTGAACTTGTTTGAATTTTGATAATGACAATTTTGATTGTGTTTTTGTATTGATATGGCTATGGGCTTTTATATGGACTTGGGTATGGCTGCTAAGTTTAGGCTTTTTATGTGGAAATGATAACACAGGAGCTTCATAGACGTTTCCAATACACCCTGTCAACGTTTGGTACATCAAAGAGCTATGATATGTTGCCTAGATTAATGATGTCAAAGGCTGTACTTAACAATAGTCTGTAGTCAGTCATTTTACTGCATGGACAGATTGCTACCTACAACCAATGACATCATCAATTTAGCCAATTTATCATAGCTTCTTTGATGTATCGTAAGGTGGAAGGGTTTATTGGAAAGCCTTTTTCAGGTCAGCTGTCAGCAAGATTTGCATCTGGGCTGATGAATTCAAATAATCAAACCTTCCTTTAAGTACTTATATACAGTGTTCTCTCCATTAGTCAATCAACTACATGTAGGTGGTGCACCCCATTGAGAATGTGTAAATCACAAAGTTAAAAATCAGTGACCAAATTGAAAAGTTGGAATATCATCAAAAATTTTAATAATTTTTCTTTAAATGGATATTTATACCCCTTGGCCAAAAATTTCTTTCGAAATCATGCAGTTTTTCAACAATTTGAGCACTTTTCAAGTGATTTTGGATCAAAATTGTCAAATTTGAAAACCTCCTGAAAGTTTTTAAAACCTGAAAAACTGATATTGGCAAAAGCTGGCTGTAGGCCTGATGTTTTCACCCTGTTTGATCACATTTCTTTGGGAGAACACTAGTGTAACTTTAGGGCTGATTGGTAATCACATGAATTCACCAATCCAGACCAGGAGCAGATTAAAAAAAGAAAAAAGTCCTGATTTTTATATTTTACTATGGGGATCTGTATTTATATTTATAGGAGCTGAACAGGCAAAAGGCTCAGTATGATGCTAAGAAAAAACAAGCAGAACAACTCCGTCTGCAACAACTGCAGGTCAGTCAGAATACAGTGTTTTTATGTCACCGCCACGCGTGTTTACATATTGTTACAGTCTCCAACTTTTTTATGGACAATGTTCGGGAGATGGTGTTCCATGGTTGGTGTTTGGCATTTGGCAGTCAGTGTCTTTAACAAATGGCAGGTGGTGACATTTTCCATGTTAATGTCTTGTTAGTCTTTATTCTGGCAGATTCATAAGAAAATATATCAATAACAAGTCTAGTTTGTCCCTGGACTACTGCATATATGTTAATTCATACCACACTGTTTCTCATATCCCATGGGGCACATTATCCGTCCCAAAAATAAGACAGCCCCGCTGTTTTTCTCCCGGATGAAATACAAAAATGGACGATCAATGAAAAAGTTTCCTGGTACAATGGCCCTATTGCTAGAAGCAGTTGCCGCAGCTGCTGTTGTCCCGACTTCATCCACGTTGACGTAAGCTTTGTGTTGGAAAGCAGATACCCATAAGTCTTGTCTTCCATCTATCCCTGAAAATATTGAAAAATGACCTTATAGTACAGATCGTAGATATAGCCTAATACATAAATGGCAAGTGGTGACAGTTTGCATACTTAAATGCCTTGTTTAAAGTATAATTAGTAAAAATGATTAAGTAGACAGCTGCTTCTAATTCTAATCTGTTTTCATTGGAAAAGATCTTGACGTGTTGATCCCATGCTTTTGTAATTATCTTTTCGTTGATATACATTTTACCGTCATTATGATTAAAATCCTGTTAAAGGTTAAGCTATGTCATGTGTTCTAAAATAACACAAAGACATAAAATTTTTGTCATGCGATACAATATTGACCAATGAGAGAGAAGCATGTCAGTGATACCTGAGAGGTCAGCTGCAGGGGTGAAAAGGTCACGCAATCCCATTGAGGTCAAGGTCGGTTTAAGGTCATAAGCAGCAGCCATGTTGTACTTTGGTAGTCGTAAATCAACAGTTGTGTTACGCATCCTCTTAAATGCAATCTCTAAAATTGTTGTATTCTTTAACCCCATCTCTACTTTTTTAAGCCCGTTAATTTCATTTGGTAAGATTACATACATCGCAGTTTGGTTGCCAGAGTAGGGGAGTTCTACGATTTTACAGTCAAGTTCTGGGATCATTCCAAACCTTAAAATTAAAGAAAGTAGATGTAGGAGAAAAAAGTATCTAATTCAAATAAAGATGGCATACTTTTCATTGGTTTCACAATGAGGAAAAGAAAAACTGATTATGAAGGATCTTATTTATTTAATTCAAATAATAGAAATCGCATGATCCAGATATTTCTGATTTTTTGATCATTTCTTACATTTCATTTTAAACAATAAACAATGAAATTTGATATTATTTTTTAAATTTTTGTTCAACTTGGATACATCTTCTTAATTAAAAGGGGAATTACCCAGAATTCATAGATGAACTTATCTTCATATGAAAATGAACCTCTTCATCTTTGAATTCTGGGCAATATCCTCTTTTGTTTATTCAGAAATAAATTAAAACGAATTTACCATAAATGAGTCTTCATAGACATCACAGTTGCATTTACTTTAGCTTTTGGGTCTCCCATGAGATGAAAGGTGGCGTTAGTTGTCTTTGTTTTATTGAACCGGTACATCCAGTTACCTTGGAAATAGATGGCGTTGGTCAGGACTAGTTTTGTAAATGGAACAATACTGCCCTCTGGTAACAAGTTCTGGAAACACACATTGAGAAGCACTTGTAAAATAATGATAGTGGATGGTTGTTAAAATTAATAAAATATATAGAAAATTGGCCTACTTCGACAAACTTTTGTTTGAATTGTAGAAAGTGATAAAAGGATTTCTCATCAATTTGATTTAACAAAATCCTACTGGCAGCACTATTTCCAACACATTCCAAGAATATATTGAAATTATTGAACAAGAAGTATTCACTCATGTGTAATTTCAAATATTGTGTTATTTGACATAATTGGCTGGCAATGTAGTAAACCACAATTCAGAATTATGTTACCACCGAAAGTTGTGACATGTTGTTATAGTGACCATCTTTTTGTGGGTTGTATTCAGTGGTTGGCATTTGGCAGTTAGCGTTCGATGTCTGTAATAAATGGCAAGTAGTGACATTTTGCATGTTAATGCCTTGTTCATTATTTTGCCAAGATAACTGCCCAGACTAGCTTTACTACGTAATGTCTTACTCTTTATACCTTTATTTTATCCTCAGTCTGTTTTTCAACCCATTTGTTGATAAATTCTCTTGAAGCATCTGGTTTGTGTTTGAAGTCTAGTTGTTGGAGAGAAGCATTATAGAAGAATTTACTTTGCTTGAGGTATTTTGGTAGAAAGCCAAATCTGAAATCAGTCAAAAAATTTTTTTGGAGAGAAGCATTATAGAAGGATTCACTTTGCTTGAGGTATTTTGGTAGAAAGCCAAATCTGAAATCAGGCAAAAAAATGTTTGGGAGAGAAGCATTATAGAAGGATTCACTTTGCTTGAGGTATTTTGGTAGAAAGCCAAATCTGAAATCAGGCAAAAAAATGTTTGGGAGAGAAGCATTATAGAAGGATTCACTTTGCTTGAGGTATTTTGGTAGAGAGCCAAATCTGAAATAGGACAAGAAATATGAGACCATAAAATTATCTATATCTTAGGTTTGGACTTTACATAGGCATGGTTTATATCATTAAAGAGTTCATAATTCTAAAATGTCATGACTTAGACTTTGTTAAATCACCAAAATTCCATATTTACAAATAATTCTACTTACCAAATATCACGGGGTACCATCGAATAATTTTGGCAACGTACCGGAGAACGACAATTTACTAAGAAATGGCAATAATTTAGCACAATATATTTTTTAACTAGAGTTCTATTTTGATTTTGACAAAAGTAAGTATTCCATGCAATAACTATTTCATTCATGAGTTTGTAGGAATTCTGTTGGAACCCAGTTCTGATCAAGTACGAAGTTATTGAAATCGGCGCAGACGGACTTTACTCCGAAAGATGGTTTTTCGATTATAACTTTTCACAACATTTAAGTATAGACTTTTGAATAAAGTACAGAATAGTCCTTATACTTTTGAATAATTCTGTTATTTCTGATTCCCACGACTCTGATTTGTTTAATTAAAAAAAAGTTTTAAAAATATTACTTAGGAACGTAACCGGAGCTGGGAACGTAACCGGAGCAGATCAGTTGAATTATTTAATCAAAAAATTAAAATCTATGATTTAAAGCACATATACTAATTTAAAAACATACGGGATTGTTGGAATGCGTATTTATTACATTTTATTTAAAGAAAAAAATTTATCCATTGTGAAAAAATAAATTTGGTATTTACCATGCATAAGTGCACTTACCTTAGAAAGGCTATCAAACATAGAACAATCATTGTAGGGAGAATGAAGTGATTAAATGTAGTAAGCAAATAATTCCATTTGATTTCACCCATTGTATTTGTTCAGCGAACTATTAGAACCCACTCTGTTATACTAATTTCTAATTAATTTCTAATTTATATACTAATTGCCATGCATTGATTTTCCTGTAAGTGAATGGTAATAAATGCTCATTTTAACATTCACAGGTGTTTGTGAATAATATATATGCTTTAAATCATATATTTTATTTTTTTAAATTATATAATTCAACTTATCTGCTCCGGTTACGGTCCCAGCTCCGGTTACGTTCCTAAGTAATATTTTTAAACTTTTTTTTTTAATTAAACAAATCAGAGTCGTGTGAAGCAGAAATAACAGAATTATTCAAAAGTATAAGGACTATTCTGTACTTTTTTCAAAAGTCTATACTTCAATGTTGTGAAAAGTTATAATCGAAAAACAATCTTTCGGAGTAAAGTCCGTCTGCGCCGATTTCAATAACTTCGTACTTGATCAGAACTGGGTTCCAACAGAATTCCTACAAACTCATGAATGAAATAGCCATTGCATGGAATACTTACTTTTGTCAAAATCAAAGTAGAACTCTAGTTAAAAAATATATTGTGCTAGATTATTGCCATTTCTTAGTAAAATGTCGTTCTCCGGTACGTTGCCAAAATTATTCGATGGTACCCCGTGAATATGGTAATTTAAATATGTCGAAAATCAAATTGATATTACAATGAAATATCAAATAAATCTAGTTAAAAAAATATGACATTTACCCTTCCTGGCCGAACATTCTATTGGCTGTTTTCAGTGTAATGTTCTTATTGGATTTCTCCAGCGATGCCCCCAACATCCTGTAGGCCTCATGAGTGGCTCCCCCTAGTGATTGCAAATGCAGCGCATTTGTCATCTGATTTGCTGTGTTATTCCTAGCTCCCAATAAGGTCATCGAAAGCACGGTCGATATACTGATCGGGGATATGAAAATATTTGGTGTTTTATCCAATGCAGTTAAATGGCAATAAAAATCAAAGGCAAAATCCGATGTGCTTTTTCCAAGAATTTGAAGCGGATTTTGATACATTGCCGAAGTTGTTGATATATAAACTATGACAAATACTCCGACCCCTATCCCCTTCATTTCAATACGCGCCATTTTATTCTGAATTTCAAGTTCAGTGTGAGTATTTATAAGACCAGCTAATATAAAGACAGAGCCTTGAATGTCAGTTATGACCAATTGTAAGCTAAATAGGGATACATGTTAAACATGTTTATACTTATCATTTTCTCATATCTGAAGGGGCCTTGTCCGATATTCACTAGAGGTAGACAACCGCTGATTTGTTTTGTTCTTTTTACCAAAATCAACCATTGTATGAAGAAATTTTTTGACTTTTTGCATGTTACATTTAAATCCCAATTATTGTGCCTTTTGTTGGAAATTTATGAACTCTGGTATCATTTTCGAATTAACTAATCATTTAGGGGGTAGGCAAGAGTGGGGGGGGGGGGGCAGGCCCGTAGCAAGGATTTGCCAAGGGGGGTTCACTTTTTGGAAAATTCCAGGGGGGGCTCACTTTTGACAATCTTGGACCAAAAATGGCCAAAATCACTTAAAATGTGCTCAGAATGGTGAAAAACTGTATGATTTTGAAAGAATTTTTGGTCAGGGGGGAGGGGTTCACTCCAACCCCCCCTATGGCTACGGGCCTGGGAGGGGGAGTTGTTTGTGAAAATAAATGAAAATTGAGTCAGAGTAATACTACTTTTCATTGTTTCATCATGTTTAAGAAATTTGGTGAAAAGAGGGCAATATAAGCCTTCCTTGATAGCTTCACATAAAGCATTTGAATTATGACATGCTCCCTTATCAATTCAAAGTTGTGTCTTTCAGATAACTAAGACAATCTCATTGTTTTGCTTTGTTTGGTTATCTCCTGTTTATGTTATTGAATCTAACTGTTTGACCCCCTCCACTGATACCCTCATATGGCCTATGTTACCAGCAAGATATGTTACCAGTGAGATATGTTACCAGTGAGAAAAATGACCTTGCCTATAATTTTAAAACAAAATTCTATGTTTTTTTTTTATAATTTTCTATGTTGTATAGTAAAAACTGCAATTTTCTTACAATACTTTTTCTTGAATTTTAGTTCCACCCCTTCTGCACTTTTTCAGTAACTTCTGAAAGGGGGAAGGGCATAGAAATGCAAAAAAGTTGAAAACAACTTATCCTATGTTGTTATTTTCCCATCTGTAAAACTCAGTCATCACTTTCAGCCTAATTTTGGTAACTTCCAAATTTGGGTTTTAATCTAAGATGTCTTCTTGTATAATATATCTATGCAATAAAAAGAGGAAAACAAGATCATTTTTAAGAAAATAAGTCAGATATTTGAAAAATGTGTTGAGGTAGGGTCCTAATCCATGGTTTTCGGGAGAGACAAATTGATACTGTTATAAATCAATGAAATATATTGATGAGATGTTGAATTTATGGTGGGAAAATACTCAAGGTCAAAGATATGACTTAAATCATTTGTCCAACCATACCTGGTCCCTTTAGAAATATACTCCATAATGAAATATTGATCATAAAAGTATAAACCACTTTCATATTGACATAAATCTTATTTTATTTATGATTTTAAAAATACACTTCCCAATAAAAAAAATATTGATATCAAGTATTAAGAGAGTGGTGTTTACTTAAACTATTACGCTTGTGATAGATTTTTCCCTTTTAAAGTTGAAATCATATCTATAAGTACAATATATCTTTGCATTCAAAATAATGAAAAGGCCTGCCTTTTTGGTAAAAATTGGTTCATAATTTGGGAAAATGAGTGATAAGGGGTGGATTAGTGACAACTTAAGAAATAATCTAATCGACTTTATTAAAATTCTAGTGTCCCTTACTGAAGATAACACATGGGACTAACAACTAGACCTATTTGTTTTTATGGTCACCAAATTCTTAGAACTTAAGGTATAGCTGTCTGAAAAAGCTTGCAATATGCCTCCAGCTCCTTTGAGAAATGGGCAGATTTTTCTATTGTTGAAATCTTAGGCCAGTGAAGGTCTTACACAATGCAGATTAGTTAAACTTTGTATTTGTACACCATACTGCTTTTGGAGTTGATATTTCAACTTCGTTTAGTCAATCTTGTTCCATATAGCTTTAATTATCCCAATGAACGAAGTTCGGTAGGGATATAGTGAAGCCCTCCGTCCGTCCGTCAGTTCGTCAGTCCGTCCGTCCGTCCGTCCGTCCGTCTGTCCGTCCGGAAGATAACTCAAATATTAGTCGACGGATTTTCTTCATATTTGGTGGAAAGATGTATATTGATAAATAGTTTTAGGCAAGATGGCCGCCGCTTTAAAAATGACAGGACTTTTTCGTAAAAATCATAAATTTTTCATTCTAAACCAAAGTTATCAATATTATTGTTTGAAATTTTGGTAGTATATTTGCAACATCTATCTATTTCAGATATATTCTGTGTTTTTCATCCTGACCCCCAGGGGCCGTGTATGGGGGGTCAGGAAAACAGAAATTTTCGCTAATTTTTAGATCTTTCTGAAGTATAGTTTTATTATACTCAAATGAAAGGCAATTAAGAATAGATTGCAAATATTGTATCTTTTTCTGATTCGAGCCTCGTAAAATTCAAAATGGCCGTCTAATGTACGATTTCGCAATAATTTTTCGATCCCTTCAAAGTATGGCTGTATTATACTCAAATTGAAGGATTTTTGGAGTAGATCACAATTATGGTATTATTTGTCAGATTTGTACCTCAGAAAATTCAAAATGGCTGCTTTGCTGGAATTCGCAATTCTAAAATCTAAATTTTTCGATTTTAACCAAAGTAATGAGTATAATTGATTGATATTTTGTTCGTTGGGATTTGCTACTCCGCGGAGTTGCCATTATCTTTTTTTTATTGATTTTATTGTCAAAATATGACAGCATTCAGTTTATAATGTATATTGACAACATTAGCTGCAGAGATTTGTTAATTTTATTGCTGTTTACATATATTGCTGATGCTAACTGGAGATTTTTTACGCTTTATTCATCAGTCAATATCACAGTTAGACCATGTAGTCATAGAACTTGCTATGCTTAATAAAATGCAACAAAAAAAGGACATACAAGTTGTATATTGGTCATACTTACTGGAAGTTAGTAGCATTGAATTAATCAGGAATTTAATATAACTAAGTGTAGACTCTGTGGTCCGAGTACAGTATGCTTAAAAAAATGCAACAGAAAGGGACAATACTTTGTTTTGTTTTACTCACGGTTGGATTATATGTAATACTCAGCAGATATGTTTGGGTGATTAACAGCGATACCCACAAAATGAAGATGTATCAAATGGATGAAAGAGATAGGATTGTACAGTTGAAATATCAAAGTGAATCTATTGTACAGTTGAAATATCAAAGTGAATCTACCGGCAAAGTGACTGTTCAACCCATTGGCAAACATAGTGGCAAACTTACTGGCAAACCAAAAGGGGTTTACTTTCTGAAAGTGCATAAATGCGGAAGTACAACCCTACAGACTATTCTGTTGCGTTATGGACTTCTCTACAACATGACCATAGGCATGCCATGTTCGCATCCACAAAGTGTACGACAAATCATGGGAATTCCCGAACCTTTGAAATCTGAACATATAATGCCATTATCGACAGGTTTAACACACTATGACCTGATTGCACAACATACTCGATACAGTATAGACGTTAAGCAAATTATGATGCCTGGTACCCCATTTGTGGCCATACTTCGTGACCCGATTACACACTTTAAGTCTTTGTTCAGCTTTTTCAAAGTATACATAACTTATAGGAAACATATTTCACTTCCGAATAACGCAACTGTTCGAGAAAAGTTTAAATATTTCGTGGATAGGATAAAAGACATGCCAGAGTTGACTATCTCTCCTCCAGATGGTTTACCTGCGAGGAATCCACAATTGTATACTTTTGGATTGACTGACCACCAGACTAAAAATCTTGACTTCGTTCAAGATTCATTAAAACAGTTCGAATCTGACTTTGATTTAGTGATGCTTGTCGAACATTTTGACGAGAGTTTAGTTTTGTTACGGAATATTCTTAACTGTGATTTGCGTGATTTGATTTCACTTAAATCATCTTATGTTTCTCCTGATAAAGGAGCTACTAAGCTAACAACAAAACAAAAACAAAATATATTAGAATGGAACGCTGGAGATAAAATACTGTATGATCATTTTAACAAAACATTTTGGAAGAAAGTCGAACAATATGGTTTTGATAGGATGTCTGAAGATGTCGCCAAACTACAAGAACTGGCTAGGATTGAAAAAGAATCCTGCCATGCTATTGGCAAAATTATTGGGGCATTTGAAGTGGGGCTGGAAACACAGCGATGTAAACTTTATAATGCAGATATATGGAACCTTGAGCGTTTTGTCAGATCAAGAATGACAAAAAGTGGTATTTATAATGTATCATTGGCTCAAAGGACCTGTAAACATCCACCAACACTGGATGGTCAATGAACACTTGATGATTAATGAACACTGGATTGTCAATGAACACTGGATGATCAATGAACACAGGATAATCAATGAACACTGGAAGGTCAGTGAACATTGGATGGTCAATGAACACTGGATTGTCAATGAACACTGGATGATCAATGAACACTGGATCGTCAATAAACACTGGATGATCAATGAACACTAGATTGTCAATGAACACTGGATGATCAATAAACACTGGATCGGAATGAACACTGGATTGGAATGAACACTGGAAGGTCAATGAACACTAGATAATAAATGAACACTGGAAGGTCAATGAACACTAGATAATAAATGAACACTGGAAGGTCAATGAACACTAGATAATAAATGAACACTGGAAGGTCAATGAACACTACATGGTCAATGAACACTACATGGTCACTGAACACAGTCAATGAACACTAGATTTCAATGAACATGTGAAAATAGTAGTAGCATACTTGGGAGACTTAACAAGAATTAATAGATATGTTAGAATTAAAATAATTAGACTATGAATAAATGGGACCAAAATGTAAATAAAAATTTGTCTCTTGACAACTATATTTCAATGTACTACCAAAACACGGCAGTAATGCACAAATAATTGAAGGCCAATGTTGTTCTTCAATTAATTTCTCATTCAGGATAAGATAGAACAGCAGTAGTGATGGGCTCTCAGCCCTTAGCTAGGATACTTGGTGGGTTTGAGTGACACCCCCCCCCCCCGGACATAAATTCTTTCAAAATCATGCAGTTTTTCATCATTCTGAGCACATCAAGTGATTTTGGCCATTTTTGGGCCATAGTTGTCAAAAGTGACCCCCCAGGATTCTTTTAAAAAGTGAACCCCCTTGGCAAATCCTGGCTACAGGCCTTCTCTGATTATTATGTCACCATAAAGTGGTGACATTATGTTGTTTTTTATGAGCCTGGGGGCCATTAACAGAAACTTCGTAAAGTTAAGAATTCATAAAGTCCATTGTTCTCTAACTGTGATGTCATTATATCCATGGTAACAATAATTAATTTACGAATTCATAATTTTACGAGTTTTTTTTAATGACCCCCTTGTTTATCTTATATGACAATTCTGTAAAAGAATAGTAATCTTCAAGGTGTGACGAAACACTAATGAAGTCATGGAAGTCATGAGAGTCATGGGAGTCATGAGAGTCATGGGAGTCATGAGAGTTTTGAGCGTAAGGAGAGAATCAGAGACTAGGAGACTTGTTTTGATATTGAAGTTCCTGTTTAATTTATGTAATCTATTTAATATATATGTACATATACATATTTTCTATCCTTTTTATGTAGGATGAGACAGACCGTCAAAGGAGACCCTCGTATAAGACCCCTGAAGAACAAAAAGTTCAAAATGACGAGGTTGAACGTCAACGACGTGTGGCGTATAAAGTACAAGAAGAACAGAAGGCCTTGATTGAGAGACAGCGTGAAGAAGCCAGAAATAAACCTGAAAGTAACAGGTAAATTGTACATTTTATTAACAGGACTGGTCGGTGGATTTGAGAATTTAATCTACATGTACTATGAAGTTTTGATTCAGTTATGTGATTTCATTCCTTAAATGGGATTTTTATTGATATGGGTGTTCAAAAATATTTGAGAAATTTTAGGTGTAAAATATTATTGGTAAATGTATTTCAATATAATAATTTGAAGATAAGTTGAAAAATGAATGAAATGTTTTTCTCATAGTTTATTGGACACCCTTTACATTGGGAAAAAATATAACATTATTTTAGCGTGGATACCCTGTATATTGAGGACCATCTATAGAATCAAGCATGTATCATTCATGCATGCTGTTCAACTAACACTGTAATTCTGTATAGATATATGCACTAACAATGATAAACAGTAAACCCTGTTTTTAGACCCACCCCCTCCCTGTTATATTATAACTTGTAGAAAATGTATTTTACACCTTAATGAATTGAAAGTGTGAATGATAATGGAGATTTATAATCTGTTGCACTTTTATTTTTATGAATGCAGAAATGAAAAATGGGGATTTCGGGAAAATGTGTTTTATAACATTTTATGGTGATCCTAGAGGGATGATTAGTTGAGGATTCAGGATTGATTCATTAGGTTTATCAGTCAAATTGATATTCTACTTTTCTTGAGTAGTTTTTTTTTCTTTGTGAATTGAAGTGGAAGTTAGCTGTAGATACATTTTTTTAGACCAAAGACAAAAATATTTTTATTTCAAAAATACCCTTTTCATCCCCGATATAGGATTTACTGTATTATACCATGCATTCCATTTTCATATGACATCATAGCCTCATTTTGACATTTCTCGATCATCTAGCACAATTAGGAGAGCCGTGATTCCACGTCCACGTAGATTGACAATTGACAACTGCTACAGGTAGTGGTAGCTCCGCACTGAATATTGTAACAGGACCGCACTGAATATTGTAACAAGACCGCACTGAATATTTGTCTGTTTCCTATTGGCCAGTGGCTTTATGTATTATCATCACAAGAGGTGTTAAATAACAGTTCACATATTTATCTACATTTTTTTTAATAGTTTAATTTCGCATCTTCAAGGAAGTTGCATTCACAAATTCAACTGCCAGCTGCTGGTTTGATCTACTATTCTATGACCAACTTATTTAAATATGAATGGTACCAATCAGATTAGGCCGATCAAAAGTATGTTACCTAATCAAAATGTAAAGTATTTTTATGGTCATTTAATAAAAGCACATTCAACGAAATAAATTGATATACATGTATATAAATTTTTTTTTAAAAATATGTGCACTGTAATTTGTCACTTTTTTCATCCTTGGTCATCCTTGATAAATAAAATGTCATTCTGATCAAATGGTGGTATATATATTTATCGTATGATCTGTTAAATGAAGCCCTCTGATTGGTCAGTTGGTCAGTTCTTCTGCTATACCAATCTGTATTGCTACTGAGATTGTCCCCATTGATCATCTCCGTCGCAATACAGAAAATATTGGTACGGAGGGGACAATCTCAGTAGCAATACAGAGGATCACACGATAAAAACGTTATTGAATGATTTGAGATGCAATACAGGATATATTCTGTCTCGATATTCTGTATTGGCACTCGACTTCATCTCTTTCCAATACGGAGTTTCTGGAGCAGAATACATCCTGTATTGCACTTCAAATCATTCAATAACTTATTATATGTGATCATCATAAACTTTTGATTATCATAAGCCCTTGTGCAAAACCCCGCTCCTCCCAAAAAACATACATACCAATGAAAGGGTATAAAATTGTACCGTGAATCCTGTAAATTGGAACACCTCTAGAAGTATAACACTTTTCAGAGGCCCAAGACCAACTGTCTAAATGTTAAATGAACACCTCCCAAGTAGATAACTTAAGAGGTACCATAGGTGTTCCACTTACACAGGTGCTACTGTAAGTAGGGGGCAGTAGATGCTTTTATTAAATACAAAGTAATTAATTTTATAAAATCTAAATTAAAATCATTATAACATGCCAAATCAGAGTGACATTTCATTTGTGTTTGATTCTCACATTGTTTTCATGTATTTGTTGTGGGGTGGTATGGCTTAAAGGCAGAATCTGATCTATAGGGGGTGACAAAATTACAAGCAACGTGCATAATTGACCTACCAATCTATTTCTTACAATATCAAATACAATATCTCCCAAAAGATTCACAATATGTTATAAATTGGTGAAGTTATTAATCATTCAAAGTGCAAAAATGGGTGAAATATGTTTAAATTCTCCCAAATAATAAGAATGGTAACCATTCTTATAGAAAATAATACATTATTGTAAAAATCTTTCGTTTTCCTTGAATAAAGTATGCACTTTTGTGATTTTTAGAAAATAGACATGACAAGGAATGACATGAGCCAAAAATATTCTAAAATTGAGACAATTTTTTGTTTAGCCTGCTCGCTATCTCTGATTCTCTCTTAAATATGATTAATTGTATAAAGTGATGTCACTTTGGGAGCAAGGTGAAGCCCTTTGGCTGTGAATGTGACAAAAATGTAATGTAAAACGTTTGATAAATATGTATATATAACACTTACAGTAGAACTGATTTCATTTATTTTTCATGTAGTTCATAAAAAGTACTATATTTTTTGATATGCTAATTCTCTGAATTTTGTTGTAGTCTATAACTGACCACCGTTTTCTTATTGACTTTTAATGTCACCATCACTGCAAATGGTGACATATTGTTATAGTCTTTTTTGTGGACGATGTTCAGCAGGTCCTGTGGTTGGTATTCATCGTAGGTGTTTGGCTGTTGGTGTTTGGCTGTTGGTGTTTGGCATTTGGCAGTTGGTGTCTGTAAAATGGTACATGGTGACATTTTGCATGTCAATGCCCTTCTATTCTCACCCCTATAATGACCTAACTTACCTTTCCAGTGTAGGAATGTTGTTTGATTGTTATTCTGAAATCTTATTCTATGTTTTCTTTGGAGTTACTGACCATAAGCCCACATTTATTATGAATTTTGTGTCTGCGTACATAATGCACAAACCAATGTAATCTCACAATTAATTAATTAATGTTGGCTTACATAACAGAGAAACCAGTGTTCATTCTACCAAAGCTTCCAGTGGCTTTTTTTATTGTTTTACATGTACACCTTGCTGTTATACCTTACTGTTCTACCTCACAGTAAACCTTGCTGTTATACCTTACTGTTCTACCTCACAGTAAACCTTGCTGTTATACCTCAGGCCTGTAGCCAGGGTGTATGGGGGCTCGAGCAAAATTCTTTCAAAATCATGCAGTCTTTCACCATTTTGAGCACTTCAAGGGATTTTGGCCACTTTTGGGCTAATGTTGTCAAAAGTGAACCCCTCCTGGAATTTCTCAAAATGTGAACCCCCCTTTGTCAAATCCTGGCTACGGGCCTGTACCTTACTATTATACATTACTGTTATCCCTCCTATATCCATTTTGTCAATTTTTTATACTGTAAACCTTGGAAATTAATTAAAATTGTGCCATATTAAAGTGTTGTAACCTTTATTTTGTTCTCAATAGCTGGAAATTCATAGAATCACTTCCAATTGAATATTTCAAAGTTATCTTGGTTTACAGTATTCCTTTCACACTCATATACCATAATATATTTTGTATGTCACCGCCTGAAGTGGTGACATATTGTTAGAGTCTCTAATTTTTTGTGGACTGTGTTTGACGGTTGGAGTTTTGGGGTCAGTATCTGTAACAGATGGCAGGTGGTGACATTGTGCATGTTAATGTCTTGTTAATCTATGCGTTATTTTTGATAGAATATGCAGGGTTTCTATAGCAACCTGTATGTGGAAAATGCTAAAACACTAACATTGTCATTTCCTCTGCAAAGTTTATAAAATAAAAATCAAAGTAGTGATATTCCAAATATTTTGTTTTAGTTATATCAGCCAAAACAGTGCAGTAGCCTACAATCATGTCACTGAGGACTTCAATCAACCACGGTATGTTGTTTTTTTATGTTGTTTGTAGGCCCATCTCTATATACTGGATGAGCGTGGTGTAAAAGTGGTTTTGAAAAGTAGCAAATTTCTCTTCATATAGGTTATTTGTGGTTTATTAATATACATTGATTCTGAAATCATTGGTGTCTAGTTTTTCAGCGTTTTGGAAATATTCAGATTTATACCCCCTGGTGTAATTTTAAAGGGGGTACTTGGAAAGCCATATATCATTCCTAGAATATAGAGCCAATCATCTTGATTTTTCCAGGTAATCATGTACTTATCATGTCCTACCATTATGACAAGTTTCATTAAAGTTGATCAACTGGTTGCTATGGAAATGGAGATCATATGTTAAAAAGTACACATTTTTGTCAAAATGTAAGATACCCCATGGGACAAAACACATATTATTTTCATGAAATTGGAAGGAATCACCATGAAACCATTTTAGAAAACTTATTCAAAGTATATTTGATAATATTAAATCAACTGCTGTTTTATCTTATCCACACAGTGGAATCTATTGCTGATGATTATATGGCAATGCATGTAAATTCAGAAAGGGGATGTGGCACTTTTCCAAAGAATTCTTTATTTGTGTTCAACTTTTTGAAGAAAATAAGTAACCATTTGTCCTGAAATTAACAGATATTATTCACATCATTATGTTTGACTATCATGGAAAATTTCATCAGTGTTGGATAACTGGTTACTATGGTAAACAGATTTATACCCCATTGGTATTATTTTAAGGGGGGTACAATGAAAGCCATCTATAATTCCTAGAATATACAGCCATTCATCTTGATATTTACAGGTAATCATCTAGTTATAATGCACTACCACTATGACAAGTTTCATTAATGTTTAAATCTTGGTAGCTATGGTAACAGAAATAATTTATTAAAAAGTACACATTAAGGAGATACTATGTATAATTCCTGGAATATTCAATTAATCATCTTGATATTTATGGGTAATCATCTGCTTATCATGTCTTACCAGTATGACAAGTGCCATCAATGTTGGTCAATTGGTTGCTATGATAACAGAAATAATTTCTTAAAAATTGCACATCAAGGGGGTACTATGTATAATTCCCAGAATATTTAATCAATCATCTTGATATTTACAGGTAATCATCTGCTTATCATGTCCTACCAGTATGACAAGTGCCATCAATGTTGGTCAATTGGTTGCTCTGGTAACAGAAATAATTTGTTAAAAAGTGCACATTAAGGGGGTACTATGAAAGCCATGTATAATTCCTAGAATATTCAATCTATCATCTTGATATTTACGGGTAATCATCCGTTTACATGTCCTACCAGTATAACAAGTGCCTCAATGTTGGTAATTTGGTTGCTATGGTAACAGAAATCATTTGTTAAAAGAGTAGTACATTTTCGTAAAAATCTAAGACTCATGTAACCTTTGACATTAAGCACATAATATGTTCATCATTTTGGGAGAAATAAGCATGGAAACATTTCATAAAACTTATCACATCTTATCAATCACAACAGTGGACGCTTTATTGCCATCACTGGTCATCAACGTGTTACGCGGTAAACACGATACAAATATATGTCATATTCCGCAACGAATATGGCATATTCACTTGCGGTGTATGACAGATTCACCTGCGGTATATGGCATACACACTAACCAATGAGAACATGATACGGAAGTGCGCAATTGTCAATTGCATCGATTGAACGAATAAGTAAAACGTTATAAATTATTATAGTGATTACTGAATCAACAGTACTGTGTATCGAATATATTAACTAAGCAGAAGTATCAGTCACCAATCTCGCGTAATAAACTTACTCAATCAATCCAGGATTCATATATTAGTACTCGACGCACTAACTATATTGGTAATCCAACGTAGTTTTACATTTAGAGTCGATTCTCGCAACCAATCAAATCAAGGCTTTCTGTATCACGTTTTCACCTGCAGTATATGTCATATTCACCTGTGGTGTATGGCATATTCCGCAAGTGAGTATGACATATTCCGCAAGTGAGTATCGGGTATTCACTGAAATCAATGTATCGCATATTCACTGCGGAATATTGCATACTCACCTGCGGAATATGCCATATCACGCCCGGTGATCGTGAATATGGGACGGAGGGGGGGAGCAGGCAATTCCTGCTAGGAAATTCAACAAATCTGGAAGATTTATTTTTTCAAGAAAAAGTTTACTATTGAATTGCTAAATGGATAGGCGCACGGTATGGTAGAATATGTTAGGTTTTCTGGGATTTTCTGAAACGATACGCATCTAAGGTATGAGATCTATTAAAAAAGGCGCAAGGCCATCAACAGGCACAAATCAACGTTTTTGCTATAAATCAAGCAACAATGGTCTGGACGACCTGTAATAAATACTTGTAAGTGATGTTATCATAACTAAATTAATGTCATTGCTGAATTTATAAAATAAGTTTCCATATGTGAAATAAAAAATAATCGAAAATAATGAATTTGGGACGGAGGGGGGGGAGGGGACGGAGGGGGGGAGCAATATGTATATAAGACATGATTAGAGATGTTTTGCGACTTTAAGTCCTTTTAGTCCAAATGTCCCCATTTTTCAGTCTCCAGGGGTATATCATCCAGTTTCTTACTAAGTTAATGAGTTCATTTTTCAAATACAAGAATTTGTGTGAAGTTGTTTCACTTTATAGAATTATTACTCTCCCCTCCGTCCCCTCCCCCCCTCCGTCCCATTTTAATTATTTTCGATTATTTTTTATTTTACGTATGGAAACTTATTTTATAAATTCAGCAATGACATTAATTTAGTTATGATAACATCACTTACAAGTATTTATTACAGGTCGTGTAGTCCATTGTTGCTTGATTTATAGCAAAAACTTTGACTTTTGCACGTTGGTTGCGTTGCGCCTTTTTTAAAATATCTTATATCTTAAAAGAGTATCGGTTGAAAAATAATCCTAGAATACCTAACATATTTTATCATACCGTGCGCTTATTCAATTTGCAATTCAATCGTAAACTCTGTCTTAAAAAAATAATTTTACCAGATTTGTTGAATTTTCTAGCGGAAATTGCCTGCTCCCCCCTCCATCCCATTTTCACGATCACCGGGCGTGCATATACCGCAGGTGAGTATGGCATATTCACCCGTATCACAAATACCGCGTAACCATGAATGTATGCCATATACTGGGTAACACAACGGACATGTTTTACACTCAGAGTAATACATGCTGTTGTTCTCAACTTTTTTTATGTCTGATGGTTTTTTTCAACTGTTCATTGTTTTTAGAATTCATTAACCTTTAGCGTGCTGCCGGCGGACTCGTCCGCCGAGACTAAAATGTCTCTCACAACTGCCGGCGGACCCGTACGCCCGATTTCAAACTTTTAAAAACTTTACTTTTTCGCGCCATTCGTATTGTCCAATTAGATTGCCCGATTTATTCAGTGCCTAACATGACTTCCTGTTGACCTAGAAATGGCGATATTTCGAAAAATAATTCTCAATTCAACAATTTAAACAGTGTTTTAGTCGTTTTTAGTGAATGAATCGTACAAAATGGTGGACAAATACGATCACAACGAAAATGTGGAGGAAATAGATTACGATTTCGAGCTCTTTAGGCTCTTGGAAGCCGATAACGGTCATCGAAAATAGAAACTAGAATATTTTCTGAATTGAAAAATTGAACATTCGATCGCTGCAAATTCAGATTTGGATTCTGACCAGACGAAGAGGCGGAGCGGCGGATTCCGGAGGAGTATTCATGGTATATTTATGCCCAGTCGTGTTAATGTACGAAAAAATTCATGAGAACATTTTTTTCATGAGCCAGGCCACTGTATCTTCCCTTTGTGAAAATTTTATCCAGATTCATTCAGTAGTTATTGAGATATTAATTATTTAGTCCAGGTACATCATTTTTTGCACTCTTTGAAAAATAAGCCAGTTGCGTGGGATATATTTGCTGAAATAAGGCAGCATGGTAAAGGTTAAGAAGCATTTCCAGTATTTTTAATTGGGTGTAATAGTTGTATTTATCTCTTAGTTTGTTTATTACAAGTGACGTGGTAACTTGTTGATGGCAAAATAGAGCCATTCCGCCTGATGATCTCATAGACATATATTCACATAAATATTGCAACAGATGCTTTGACAGAAGTAGACGTTGACAGATCTATGAATGAGGATTTTGATGCAAATGATATAAAAGATGACTAAGTGAGATCAGCTCATAATTTACTATGTCCCTACGCATAATGTGACAGCCGCATTCTGCATAGTTTTATTATCATAAGCAAATACAATATATCAAATGGCCCAGATGAAATATCCATTGATTAAATATTATCAGACATACTCAAAATAGGTTTTTAAAAATGTTTTCATGCTAATTCCTCCTAATTTGATGAAGATTTTCAATGTCTTAGGGTGTGTCTTAAAATTTTACGAAATGTGTACTTTTTTAACAAATAGATTTCTACCCACATTTGACCCACATTGATGAAACTTGTCATCATGGTAGGACATGATAAGTAGTAGATTGTCTGTAAATATCGTAATGATTGTTTTGATATTTAAGGAATTATAAATGGCTTTCATAGTAAGTCCTAATGTGTACTTTTAAACAAATGATTTCTGTTACCATAGCAACTATTTGCCCCGCATTTATGAACTTTGTCATAGTGGAAGAACATGGTGAGTAGATAACTACCTGCCAATAACAAGATGATTGGTTAGATATTCTATGAATTATATATGGCTTTCATAGTACCTCCCTTAATGTGTACTTTTGAAAAAATGATTTATGTTTCCATAGCAACCAATTGATACACATTGATGAAAATTGTCATGGTTGTAAGACATGATATGTAGACGATTACCTGTAAATATCAAGATGATTGGCTGTATATTCTAGGAATTATAGATGGCTTTCATTGTACCCCCATTAAAAATCATACCAAGGGGTATAAATCTGCATAGTATAGTAACCAGTAAACCAACACTGATGAAACTTTCCATGATAGTCAAACATAATGATGTGAAAAATATATGTAAATAACAGGACAATTGGTTATTTATTTTCTTCAAAAAATTGGACACAAGTTAAGAATTCTTTGGAAAAGTGCCACGTCCCCTTTCTAAATTAATTTGCATTGCCATATAATCATGAGCAATAGATTTCACTGTGTGGATAGGATAAAACACCACTTGATTTAATATTATCAAACATACTCTGAATAAGTTTTCTAAAATGTTTTTATGGTGTTTCTTTCCAATTTCATTAAAATAATATCTGTTTTGTCTCATGGGGTGTCTTACATTTTGACGAAATTGTGTACTTTTTGACATATGATCTCCATTTCCATAGCAACCAGTTGACTAACTTTGATGAAACTTATTACTTTTGTAGTACATGATAAGTACATGATTACGTGTAAATATCAAAATGATTGGTTGTAAATTCTAGGAATTTTACATGGCCTTCCTAGTTCCCCCCTCAAAATCAAACAAGGGGGGTATAAATCTGAATATTTCCAAAACGCTGAAAAACTAGACACCAGTATTTTCAGAATCAATGTAGAATCATAAACCACAAATTACCTACATAAAGAGAAATTTGCTATTTTTCAAAACCACTTTTACACCACGCTCATCCAGTAATACCCCTTTAAGAAAACAACCTCTTGGTAAATGCAAACACCTTTGAAAATAAGAAATCTTATATCATTAGGCGTGAAATGTGATTTAGATGAGAAGGGTGTTTGCTACTCGTTTTTCCTTATTATGAGTTTTCTTAAGGCATTCACATTTCCGTAACGACAATTGTTTTTATTTGATATTAATTTTGTATTTATTATTTTAGTTTCTGTTTACATGTATATTTAAATTTATCTTTAATAAATCTCTGGGAGTGAGAATTTTGTTGGTATGCTGACATTATATACCTAAGTAAAATCTTAAGGTTAAGGTATGTCTATTAAAGTCCCCGTCTAAAGTTTGAAAATATTTTTTTATCATTCATTTACTTTTTGTCAGGACTTAAAAAGTGATTTTAGAGATTTTTGAACAAAAAAAAAAATGTTGAAAAAAAAGTTGTGAGCATTTCATTTCTCAAATATTCAAATTTCCCTCCATTTTTCAAAAAAAATTGAAATTTCTTAATCATCAAATATTTCTTAATGCATTTCAAAAAAGATTATCTTTTTAACACCAATGCAAAGATTGAACAAAAGTCACACTATTTCAATAATAAAATGTCATATTTAATGGGCCACTTCAATGTTTTAGCTTATCAAAAATATTTTGAAACATTAGTGATGTCACTAAGGTAACAAAAACTTTTTGAAAAAAATTGAATTTTTTTTTTCGATGTCAATCTTTTCTAAATATGCTAGACTTTCATAAAAAACCAATGTTGATTGTCTAACCAGGTTAAAAATAAGAATAAATTATGTTTTAGATATCATTGTACCATTGGTTTCTTTGACAACTAAAATTTTGAAATGCATTTTTCTCAGAACCATTTTCATGCACTGGTAAGTTCATTTCTCGCTTGTTTATCAACCGATTTTCTTAATTTTTTCGGCAAAAACATGGGAGGATAAATGCTATGCATTGGTATGAATTGTGGCTAATTAGAAGATATGAGTGACCTCTAAAAGTTGGTTTTAAATAAATTCACAAATTTTGGTATCAAAAACCACTTTTTGAAATTAAAAAAAAAAAAAGTTTCACATATCACACTTTGATAACATTGGGTAAGACTACAATATAAGCCAAAGTGGTTTAAACTTTACATGGGGCCTTTAAGATGAATTTTAGTGTTGTAAGTACAAGACTTGAGTGTACAAATCTACATAACTGGCCTACCTTAACTACTCTCTCACTGAGATTTTCTAATTTGTTGTTGTTCTAGTGTGTTGGTCATGCTTTTAAGACTCAATTTTTTTGTAAAGTGTTTTTGATAAACCGATTTAGGTCAAAGCAACGGCTGAGACCTAGAAATTTCAGAATCATTTAGAAAACACTGCGCCATGTGGAAAATTCTAAAAATCATGATTAATTAGGATAAATGATCAAATATTTAAGAGGAAATGTTCAAAAGCATGACAAACAATCTATTTCTTGAGCTAGATGTATTTACTATGCATTTTTCATGGTAACTATATTTAGTAAGCTGACATCATCACAAAGTTTCCGTGACAACCGTACAACTGAAGCAAACCCTTCCCAGCAGGCATACAGGCGAACTGTCTCAGATACACACTTCCAGCAAAGAGGAGGAGAGACTACTGGGATATCAGATCCTGTGTTACGAGAGGCCGTTCCAAATTCTGTCCCGACGCAGCAAACCTCCCCCACTGCCCCCTATTGGAATAAACAAGAGTTAGTTGTTGTTTTGATGTTGTTCATTTTCATTTAACTTTTGCGAAATTATTATCATTTTTTGACTTGCAAAAACATATATTTTGAATGGATGGACGATGCTTGATCTTATGTAGGGTCTTTCTAATTATTTTAAACTTCATTATTTTATTTGACTCTTATTTTACTATAATTAGATTATTTTATTTTATGGGTCCATAAGTAATGAAGTATATCTTGATTTGTATAGGAATATAGGACTTGTGGATGTTATTGCTGGTAGATTGATATAAGTTGTGCATTTTCCAGTTGATTTAAAAAATGACGTCAAAATCAAGTACATGTACAACGACAAGATTGAAAAATTACATTTTTTTGTTTTGTTTTCTAGGGGTAGTCCAGTTGGATCAGCCAATGAAAGCAGTCCTAGTCCAAGATCCCAGCCACCGGCCACACAGGGTTCTAATCTTTCAACAGTAAGTTCTCACCCTCCTCTGGGTTTGATTTTTGTTAATTCTGCTTCTGTTCATGAACTGATTTCCCATTATGTCATTTATTGTTTGGATGGTGATTTCATTATTTGTATGGTGATTGTGATTATTTGGATGGTTAACGTTTATCTTATCATTGATTGGTTGAATTGCACAGTCATAAAGGTGCCAACTATGCGAACTTGAGGGGACCTTATATTTCCCAATACATATATCAGGGTTGAAAAAGAAATTGCTTGGATTATTTGAAGATAGAGGAAATACATTCTGTGTGGTAATCATTGTATTTTGAATCAATTGATTAGAAAATGATTATTTTGTAGAAAAATAAATAGGGTTTTCTAATTTTAGGGTTGTATATAATTTTTGTGGCAGTTTGGCTCAATATGGAGAACATACTCTACATTTTATAGAACTTCATGGTTATTTATTTTGTTGATTAGAGTTGGAAAATATTTTGTTATCAAGTGTGAAAAGTAGAGAACCCTCAAGATCTAATTGTTTGCCCCCAGAAGCGAGGCACAAATAAAGCTTTGTTTTGTACTAATTTATTCTGCGTTTTCTCCAGCATTTCATTTTAATCCAGTGATCATTTTCACCAGTTATTATGCAACATTATCATTTTAATTAACTGCATTTATATATCTGTGTCAATTGAGCAACAGTGTCTTGTTTGCTCTATTTTCATGCCAGAATTGAGCGACAGTGTCATCTTGCTACCTTTGTTTTTAGAAAATCAGACCTGCTCTTACATGGACGTTTAAAATTAAACCCATAATGCAACACACGGTATGTACCAGAGGAGGTGTGTCAATCCCATGGCACGTGGCACCTAATATTTCAAAGCATGCAGCAATGATGATACAGTTTTGCTAGCGCCCTCTTCCCCTGTTCTTTCCCTGTTTCGTCTGAAACTCACTTTAGTGTTGCGTCAAATCTCTTGTCGACCCCTATATCCCAGGCCTGTGTAATAGAGGAGGGATGATAAAGAGGTTTGATGCAAAGCTAATACAATACAATCCTTCATTTAGTAAAATCAGTCTTACAATAAAGCTTGACTAACAAAATATAATACTGTTTAGTTTCTCTAACTTTATATGTTGACTGATTTTCCCAAAGTTAAACTAAAATATCGAGATTCTTTAATTTATGGCTGAATATATTATGACTTTTGAGTGTTTTAGGATCATTGTTAAAAATCAACCATTTTTGTGAATGAGATCATGAGTAATTTTTTTCGCAATTGAATTACCTCAAACCATTATTGAAGATCAGCATTTCAGCATTTCCCTCCTGGACACTGTAGATTTCTAAGCATAGGCCCCGGAAACATGTTCCCGGGGCCTATGTTTCTAAGATTTTTTGGAAAATCAAAGGTCATTTATATGTGATAGATTAAAGAATCGTGGCCCTTGTTATGATTTTAATACAGGAATACAAACAAACAACCCAGGAGTCATTGTGCTTGAATTCAACCCACTAAGTCCATTATTCACAATGTATTGTGACATCACATATCTTGTATGATGTAATATAAGGCACTTGGGTCCCTGGCAACCCCTCCTCAGATAATAGAACATCTCGGAAATAAATGTCAGTTAATTAATATATTGGGATATACAAATACAGTATACATTTGTCGGGAAGTTCCTAAAAGCATGCTTTATTGTCATACTTTAAATTATAATATGCTATTTTTCAATTTTAACCAAAGTAATGAGTATAATTGATTGGAATTTGGTAATTGATATTTTGTTTGTTGGGATTTGCTACTCCGCGGAGTTGCCGTTATCTAGTATGCTATTTTGAAACAGAAATTGGCTTCATCATTGCGCTTTCATGACTTTCCTAATTATTATTATTATGTTACGCTAGCTTCTGTCGCCTTTTTGCAATAAGAAGCTTTATCGATTTAGTTCCATCGTTTGTTCCTTCCTTCCTACCTTCAGATAAAATGTTACAATCTTGGTCTTTTCACTTAATTTTTGTAAATCCATCTCCGAATTCTTTTGGAAAACGGGTGTCCAAAGATTGACACTCTCTCAAAAATTGTCTACCCTAGGCGCGGATATTAGTTCTAAAGTAACCTTTGAACTGTTCAGGCAATTTTACAGTCGTCCTTCTGGCAACGACAAGCTCTGATTGGCTGGATGAGTTTCATAGCTTTCAAGAAGCTAGGCCAAATGGATGCCTAGGGTAGTATTTTGACATTCAAATGAAAGAAGAAAAAAGAGTGAAATAAGACCACTGTGATGTTTTACACAAAGGCATTTAATGCTTTGTGTTACCAAGGTTACTTAGGTATTACCATGGTTGTTATAGTTACCAATGTTTTACCATGGTTATATTGTTTAACCATGGAGACTAATGTGTTACTATGAATGCTATGTTACCATGGTTACAATTGTGTTTCCATGGTTACTAATGCATGTTTTTGTGGCGTTACTAACAGGAAGAAGAGTTCAAGCTAAGGCATGAGACGTTAGCCAATCAGAGAGCTCAAGAGGCAAAATTAATTCAGCAGCGTGTAGCTGACGATAAAGTACGGAGAAAACAGCTGCAAAAGGATGCTGTGTTTGATTTTGTTCGAAAGGTTTGTAACGACTCATCAGTATTGGTTTCCATAATATTTTTTGCTTATTGTAAAAAACATTCGAAAGGTCTAATGCATGATTTGTGTGTGATCCAAGATTACCCCAGGATTCAACATAACGAACAAATTCAGCACGACCAATGAATTCAGCATAACTAATAAATTCAGCATAACTAATGAATTCAGCATTACCATTGAATTCAGCGAGAGCTTTTAAGCAGGCTTGCTTGGGCTTAGCCTTATGCCTAAATTCACATTTTTATTCTCTAATAATGATACATGTTCCAGGTTTATTATTTTGCCAATATAAGATCTCTCATATTGACTTGAACATATAATTTGCCAGATAGTATGGAAATACTGGTTGCAATATAACCTTGTATTAGTGATATAGTAATCTCTCAATGGTATACATTCAACTTGCTTCAATTGATATTTTGTGAATGTTTTTTTCAGAAATGAATGCCATTTAACTATTATGTTTTTCTTTGTCGATAACTCATATTTTGTACAATGTCATTGCTTGTACGATTTCAAAAAATATGCAAATGAGCTCATTTGCATATAATTATGACATCATACAGAGATTGATTGTTTTGTATTTCAGCGCACAAGCACCTCCTCCCAACAAGACAGTGATGACAGTTATAGTTACAGCCCTAACAATGGTAGCCCTAGCAACAGTTCCTACAATGCCCCTAGCAACAACAGTTCATACAGTAACCCTAGCAATGTCAATAGCAACAATAGTTCATATAATGGTCCAAGTGGCAGCACCTATAGTGCTCCTAGCAACAGTACATATGGTGATGCACCTACCAGCAGTGTGCCCAGCAATGGTACATACAGTGCCCCTAGCAACGGTTCATACAATGGCTCTAGCAACAGTAACTATGGAGGACAATCCAGTATACCACATATAAAACCAAGAGGTGTATTAAACTATTATGGTAAGTCATATTGGAATAATTGTGTTACCAATAAATTTAGTTATCAAGCATGATTGATTTTGCCATAACCTTTCAGCTGTTTTACCTAGTATGGGATTCAACACTTTTATGTTGAAGTAGATTTTGAGAAATCTCGGTAACTTTGAATGTTGGCTCTCCCTTTTACCATAATACCTGGTAACAGGAATAATGAAACCTTTTACACATGAATTGGCATAATAGTGTTATATATGCTATAGATCTATAATATAGCTCTATACAATGAAGTGGAGCACCTCTATAAGGGGAACACTTTTCAGAGTCCCAAAACCAACTGACTTAATGTTAAATAAACCTCTATAAGTGGAACACCTCCAAGTAGAACATTTTCTAGAGGTACCAAAGGTGTTCCACTCAGACAGGTTTTACTGTATGTGTGTTTCTATTCTGCATTCAGGTTCGGGAAAGACAGCTGGAGATTATGAGAACCTTAATCCTAACTTTACAATGAGACGAGAATATGACTACATTCGCAAGGAACTTGAACAGATAGAGCAACTAAGAAAGGTATGTGGTGGACTTGTTCAGTACACAAAATTATGAATCGGCAACGAACAGGCGTATAACAGGCGTATAGGGAACACTGATTGTCGATGTCAGTAATCTTCAAAAGACTGATAAGCCCGTTTTTAAGGCAGATATATACTGTTGTTGTTCAGAAATGCAAGAAAAAATTGCAGTTCGATCAAGTTTAAAAGAAGAAAATGGAAAGCCAATACTTGAGAGAATGGCCAAGCATGTTGTTAACACCCTTAATTCTATAGAAATACTCAAATGAAGAACAATAAGAATAAGTAATTTTTAATTATTCATAAAAGCACCTAGTACATATCTTTGTATAATGGAGAAAAAAATGTAATAAATTTTTTAGTGATTTTTCAAAGTCGGGTTGATTTTATTCATGTTATGTTATTTTTTGCAGACTATCGAAGGACGTCTTAAAGTGACGCTTCCAGATGATGTACCTGGAGCATTAAAAGATGGCGTTGTTCTTTGCCATCTAGCCAATCACATTAGACCACGATCAGTCAGCAGTATCCATGTGCCGTCACCTGCTGTGGTATGTTTTGTTGCACATGCATACATTTTAAATACTGTACAGGGTGATCACTAAGTTCTGGGAATTTATCTGTCATATCATTATTTTTCAACAAATTTACTTGAAATTTTCAAGGTAAATGGAGAATATAATTTTGGGTTGGATAAAAGAGTCTCATTGTCATCTGATGTCACAATGGATAATTGCTGTTACTATAGCAACATGACAAATGGCGTAGCGGGTCAAGTAAAATTAAAATGAATTCAAATCTTGCTTGATTCAAAAGTATGGTTAATAAATACCTATTTGGTGGACATATTTCTGTGATTTTTCATATTTTCAAATACTTCTAACTTTAGTTTCTAAAGTAACATCTGTATTGTTATATAAGAGTGTACTTTGCTCTATTTTCGTATCATTCATTAGCATCTCAAAGTCACAATCATGACTCAAAATAGCGGGGAGTTATCTTCCATTATGAATATGCTTCTTCCCATTACTCAAGCTGCCCATTCTACTCTTGAAGAGCTAGGGTTCACACTAGTTATTACTGCCCCATATTCACCAGACAACATTCACCAGATGAAGCACCATTAGGCTTCACCACATTTTGGGTGCTAAAGCATTATATGAGAGGTCATAAGTTTGATTCCGATATGGGACTGATTTCAACGGCTTGAGCAAATCTTCAAGGGATAACCAAAGGGAGGACTGGAACACATCTTTATGGACTAAGTTTGTCAACAACACATGTGTGTCCAGGCTAATGGAAACAATTATAAATGAAATGATCCTCTCAGCAATGAAGAATACTTCAAGAGTACTGTTCTGCCTCTAGTACAAGTAGTGTGAAGACCATCTAGACAAGATGAATATGTTTTGGCAGGAAATTTTCAGATTAACATCAGTCAAAATTTGCTGACCCGCAGACCACTTTTACTTTTTTGTAATTACAATAAAATAAATTGTAGATGTGATATGTATATGAAACATTGCTTGTCAATTCAGAATTATACAATGTATACCTGCTGAAAATTAACCTCTCAGATTAGACATTACTTATACAGAAATCAAAATATGTCAGGTTGCTTAAATACATTTTTCATATCTCAAAATTCTCTTATTGATCAGAATGAAAGAATCTGGCTTTATGTAAACGGCTTATTGTTCATAATGTGTTGCCCTCGTCTGCTATTCGTGTGAAAATAGGAGTTGTTTGGGAGTTTCTTCTTTCCCTGCACTTACAAGAATGTACTTACGAGACCATTTAAAACAGTGTACTTGAAAGGCAGTGCATTTACGAGACCTTGCACTTAAGACCATTAGTACCACTTATAAGACCATGTACTTACAAGAACATGAACTTATGAGACAGTGTGCATACTCCTATCCATCATCAGTTTACTTATTCATTATTTATTTATTTTGTTTTTATTCCAGCCAAAATTGACAATAGCTAAATGTAGGAGAAATGTTGAGAACTTTCTAGATGCCTGCAGAAAGATAGGGGTAGACCAGGTGGGTAGTTGCAACAGCTCTTAAATACCATGACGGTCTTGTTTTAAAATGCAAAATAGAGTGGAATTAGCAAGGAATAAAGTAAACAGGCATGTAGTTAATACTCTAAATTGTATAGAAATGGAAGAAAATCAAACACTTCATTCAAATTTTAGAGAGAAATTCCATGAAATAACCATTCTGCAGACGGACATTCTAAGAAAGTTATGCTTTTTTTGTTCAAGTTGTAGAGAGAAATTCAAAGGGAATAAGCATGATTGGATTAATTATTTCAAAAATCTGGGATATGTTTTTCAAAAGATTCTGAAGAAATAGTCATAAAATTGGAAATTATCTTTGGAAGTAATGTTTTGAGAAACATACCCCTGTTATTTGCACCTTGGGATTTTCGCTTGTTACATTTTGATATTTTGATCATATTTTTCTTCTGCATCATGGTTTGATATATGATTTGGTAGTGAATCTTGAGGTGTCCCATATTCAATCATGGGGTCATGTTAGGAAATGCAAAATAGAGTGAAAAAGAGTGAAATCAGCAAGGAATAAAATAAATAGGAATGTAGTCAACATTATGAATTATATAGAAATGCTAAAAAATCAGGCAATTCATTCAAATTTTAGAGAGAAAAAGTGTGGATTAGGCATGACCATATTTGTTTTTCCAAGAGTAGTTTTCCCCATTTTCCTAAAGATCACATCAAATTCAAACCACTTTGTCGTCCTTCACTTTTTCTAAACTTCAGAATTTTTAATTCTTAGATATGCCCCATCAAATTAAATTCTTGTGTTAATAAAATCCAATTCCTACTAAACATGTGTACACATTTAAGTTTTTAACCTCCGTCTGCTACTTAAGAATCCTTTGCGTGCAATAGATCAAACACAACATAGGTCCACCAGTAATTAATTATGCCAATTTCTGGATGGATATTCCTTTGAAGTTGCCTCTATGCGTAAAGAATTCTTAGAAATCTGAAAGTATCTGAAGTTATATCATAACAGACCCCCTAAAACCGACTGATTCACTCCAATTACAAATAATTAATCGTCACAGTTTTATCTAATACTTACTCTTCACATCTTTTTATGCACTATTGGGGGCAGCCAATATAATTATGTTCCTAATGTTACATTTATGTTCATGACATATACATTTATGTTCATTACAGGTACATTTATGTTCATGCGATGAGATCGTGGATGATTTCCGCGCGGATTGTGTGGCTAAAACTGTCCTCTACTTAGTCTCAATTCCTCAGAGTTCCAAGGACAAATATCTTTCCATCTTTCTGCTCTTCTTTTTTATCTCTACCTGTCTCTATCTCTTCTTCTTCCCAGCACCCGAGTGATGTCATATTGAACATTGTGATGTCATATTGAAAATTGTGATGTCATGCTGAGAAAAATCTGTGTGACATCATTTTGAGCTCATGGTGATGTCATATCGAGCAGACTGTGTTGTCTTATTATTAAACATTGTGATGTCATGCTTAAAAAATCTGACATCATGTCGAAAAAATATGATGTGATGTCATGCTGAGAAAAATCTGTGTGACATCATTTTGAGCTCATGGTGATGTCATATTGAGCAGACTCTGATGTCTAATTGAACATATAATAATGTCATGTTGAGACATTGTGATGTCATGTTGAGTAATGATGTCACATGAAATAACATCACTCGAAGTGCTTGTGTTAGATGATACCTAACTGTCTGTTAAATGTTGTAGTGTAAGTTTGTATAAGTATTATAACAACATATAATTATAAAAACGTGTAACACTGAATAGCAACGCTTTGCACTTCAATTTCGATATATGATTACGATATATTTTGATTTCCACATATTTTTTCTGTAATTTTCATAATTTTTTTTTATTTTCACTTATGTTAACTGTTTTTCAAATCCATTCCATGCTTCTTGAAATAATTCTGTTTTTTGGGGGTTGGGAGTAGAGACTTAAAAATCAAATCTGGTATTGTATAAATCAAACCTTGATACATTTAATTGTATGTTTCCAAGACAACAGTATTATCTTGACCAAACTGTTTCCATTCCAAAATTTTAAAAAAATTATCAAATTCTGAATATTCATGTACAGGGTGATCCAAAAGAGGTAGCCCACCTATTTATCTGATAGGATTACCTTTTTTGGCTCACCCTGTACATAATATGAATATGAGTATGTAAATAATTATATGGTAACTCCTAATGATAACCGGTGAACTAAGTACTATATCCAGTGACCTATATACTGTATACATTGTGACCTTAGTCTGAAACACAAGTATTGTATTCATTAACTAGCTAGGCTGAGGTCCGAGGGGAGGGCCTTATAGCCTTTTGGAAAAGATTGATGAAAATCAAATATTCCATGCTCCAGAGCTTGTTTATATAAATAACTCAACGATACAAAATATGTCTAAGCTACGCTACTGCTGCATTATATTCTATGACCATTATATTATATTCAAGATTTTTGTCAGTAATTATATCTTATAATTTTTTTAATTATAAAAACACATTCCTTAAAAAGTTGTGATTTACAATGCATTGATACAACAATATTCATGCATGTACCTGTATATGTAGTACAATAGATTTTAGTATTGTAAAATATTAGTTTAATAATCAAAACTAGTAATTTGATAGAAGTTAGGGTTTAATTTATTTAATGAAAGAGGACTGCCGACTTTTTTTTTTTAAATTTTACTTATTATGTTTTATTACGTATAATTATTAGAAATTGAAAATTTTCAGAAATCAACTTTGTATTTGTAGCAGTTAGGTAGGGGATATTCAATCAAGGGGATGGGGGCCGGGAGTTGAAAAATGGACGTATGTAGGGTTGAAAATATTTACAACATTTGTGGCCATTTATGTCATATTTCTGGCTGTCAAGACGACATGCTATTAAACAAATTGCATATGAATGTGAATACCTTTCACATCAAAAGAGTTTTGCTGCTTGCCGACATTTTTAATTACCAAATTGGTGGAGATGAAATTAAATTGCAACATATTTTACCCTTCGGATGATACCTATAAGTTTAGATATAAAGTGAGATTTTTTAAAGGCTTTTTCATTTGACCAAAGTTTTACCACCTTCCAAATGTTACGTTCCAGTTAAGCCTCAGTCACATTTGCTCTATGGAGTGCGTACTGCAGCCATAGGTTCACAAAATCGATATAGAAAATCCATATCGTACAGCTTAGTGTTTATCCCTATATTTTATGCTGCATATTTGTCTTGATTTTGGGAAGCTACGGCCACCCTACTGTTGCCGTAGATGAATGCTTCTCTAAAGCCTCAGTCGCATTTGCTCTACGGCAGCTGTATGGCAGCTATAGGTTCACAAAATAGACATAGAAAGTCTACATCCTACTGCTTATTCCTATATTTTATGCTGCATATTTCTCTCGATTATGGAATAAAGCCTCAGCCACATTTGCTCTACGGCAGGGTATAGTGACAGTAGCTTCACAAAATTGATATAGAAAATCCACATCATACTGCTTATCCCTATATCTTATGCTGCATATTTTTCACGATTTTGGGAAGATATTGTCGCTGTAGATTGCCATAGATCAAATGTGACTGCAGGCATTTATATTTTGATATTGTAAAAAAACAAAATCATGACCATCATCACTGTTCCACAACTAGATACTTTGATGGAACGTCAATGTAACAAAATGGATGAACTTCCTGGTTGCGAGTTTTTTGTTTTCTCGATTTAAACTTACGTGGAACAGTGATCATAGAAGCATGTTAATGTACCATAGCTCACTTGCCAAAATTAACTCATTTACTCCCATGATGTTGTTTGTTTCCCATTTCTTTTGTTTGCTTCCCATTTCTTTTGTTTGCTTCCCATTTCTTTTGTTTGTTTCCCATTTCTTTTGTTTGTATCATAAACAATTTCTTCTTTCCATCTTCCACTTTCTACTCTTTAGTTCCTTTGTTAAAACTGTTGTTGCATTTTTTGAAATTTTAGTATTTTTCGTTCCTTTTTTGCCAGAACTGAGCATTGTTTTTTTTATTATTAATATTGTTGACTAGTTTTGTTGAAATTATTCTGAATTGCTGATAGAAATGATTGATTTTATCTTAAGGATATTATAGTGTATTTGATGCAATTGCTAGAGTTTTGTAAAATTCTTGATAAGTTTTGCTTGCATATGTTATGATAATCTGTTCAGTTCGTAGGCAAGGGAGGTATTTACCTAAGTTGCTTCAAATGCCAGCTTATGGACCAGAAATTGAATGTCCTTTGCACAACCCTTGCGAAATTCAACCAATGAGAAAAGAATTCAAACTGATTGTGCTTAACATGTTTCGTCCTTTTTCCTATAAAATTTGAATGAACTGCCTGAATTTAGAGACCATATACCTTTTTGCTTCATTCTTTGTAGATTCACAGATTTCTTGCTTATTCCACCCTTGTTCTTATAAAAAGCGAAATTATGATGGAATTTGAACTTTGAGACTAATAGAGTGTCACAGTGCTAGCCATTGCATGTGTTACGTCATCTTTTTCATGAAAAATGCAATGTACTCGAATTGTGTTATTCATGAAAAAAAGCAATTATGCTAAAGCATGTATTGTAGTGGTCCCATGATGCAATTCTCTGAGAGTAAGGTGCATTATGGGATTTCATCTCTTTCATTTGATGATATTGTGTGCATGCAGCGAATCAGAATGCAGATGATATTAACCTCCTTTAAAGATTTAAAAATTTCATCTTTCCAAAATATTGTAACAAGATTGATTGTATTTATTTTACTTTTAAAAAATCTTGATACTCAATTATGAATAATACAGAATTAATTTTTCTTGTAGTATACAACATTGGGATTCATGGCACGCACATAGTTTCATTGCATCAAAAATAAATATCATCATCTATATTTTTTATGTTAAAATAAGACTATATAAGTTGGATTTTCTCATTTATTTTTTTCGATACATTTGCTTTTAGCTTTAATGTTCACCAAATTTTGAAAATTAAGTTGTAATTAAGCATGGCAAGGTTTGACCTTAAAGTTACAAAACATGTTGGCCAACCCTTGTATGCTAGAGCACCAAAAGGACTGTTCAAAAACTTTTGCCAAAATTCATTTTAGACCAGACATGCTACTAATGGGGTTTAGAGTAAAAGTTTCAGTGTCAAGGGGTTCATATAAAGTATGACATATTCACTTTTCTTACAAGAAAAATCACAATTTAGAAAATGAAGTCTAATTTTGAAAGGTTTTCACTTCAAAAATGGAATTTTGTAATTTGGGATGATGAGGGAAAATTCAAAAATCTCACGCATGATCCTTTAATATTTTATTTTTCTAAATGTTTTTGTTCAGTCCTTGTATGCTGTGTCTCGTCTGTTGTGCTTGTTTGTTTGTTTGTTTGTTTGTTTGTTTGTTTTTGTTTGTTTACTCTAGTTTATTTTTCTTACTCTATTAGGAAAGAATTTGTTCAAGTGGGGACATACTTGAAGAGAAGGGAATTTCGAGATTAACAGTGACAGTACAAAGCCTTTTACAACACACCACAGTGGCCAAACAATCTCAAGTATGATATCCATGCATATGAGCGTTATACCAGCGTGTACAAGTACGAATACACTTGAGAATGGACTATGGAGGCTGATGGTGGCAGTACAAAGCCTCTTACAACACACCACAGTGGCCAAGCAATCTCAAGGCTGATCTCCATGCATACGAGCGTAATCTCACAAAGTACCAGCATTTGAAGATAAGAGACTATTGTGATTGACAATGACGGCTGTCAAGATCCATTTGCAAGTGTGATCTAGGTGTGTACTTGTGATGCACAGTACTGTATACCAGTATGATTGGTCGATTCCAGCATTGCCATGCAGTCTCAGATCAGAATCATATAAGACCATGTACAGTATGGCAAAATGGGGCAAAACAGTCTCAAGTTTGATCTCGTGACATATCCATGTGACTAAACAATCAACTATAGCTAGAGTCAAGCGTGGCCAAACAATCTTGTATCAGACAAGCGTGGCCAAACAATCTTGTATCAGACAAGCGTGGCCAAACAATCTCAAGCCAGAATCTCGCACAAACGTATTGTGTCCGATTAGACAAAATTGGTGCTGAGTCTAAAATGCAACATTTACGTGGCTTAAGTCATAAATGTGACATTGTTCAAATCTGAAAATAAAGCGTAGTATGTATGGCTTAAACAGTATTTTGCCCTGATATTTCCCCTAATGTTTATACCATACCTGAATTAATTTTACTGGAGAATTTTCTTCATGCATATAGCTACTAAGACCATGTACGTGTATTCAGAAAAGTTTTTAGTCAAATGTCTGATTAATCAAGACAAATTTCTAGTAATTCTGAGAGTTGAATGATTTATATAGGAAAATTTCATAACTCAGTATTGTATTCACCTAACTGTTGATTACTGCCCCTGTGAAAATATTAAGAACTGTTCTGGAACTGTTCCTGAACTATTCTTGAATAGTTCCTGAATCGTTCCTGAACTGTTCATATCTATTCAAGAACAGTTCATGGATAGTTCTTGAAGTGCAAAATGGCACTATTTCACTGAACTATTCATTGAATTTCTATTGAATAATTTATTCTGCATATTGTAAATACGAGGGTTGACCCAAAAGTTCTGCACCATATGTACGCAAGACTTGCAGTATTTTATAATGTGTCTGTATGTATGTATTGTGAGTGTATGTACAATATAACTTGCAGTCTAGATGTTGTTATTATTAAATTATTTGTAGTAGGAAATCTGTCCAAATGTCTGTTTAAAATAGGGGGGGGGTAGTGTATGAAGATCTCATCAGTAGAGAAAAAGTAGGATTGGCTCCCAGAATGCAATCTCGATATTATCCAAAAATGACTCTGCTTTGGAAGGATGTTGTGATTTTCAAATTTTGAATCACAAGTTTTTCACTTTCAAAAATCAAGATATGAGCTTGAATCTTTTGAATTGCTGATTATGAATTTATAAACATTTAAAAGACAATAACGATCTTCTGACATTTTCATTGTTGGAAAATATCAAGATTGCATTCTGGGAGCCAACCCTCCTTGAGTAGAGAATGTTGTTATTAGCTCACATGGTGAGCTTTTGCAATCGCTCACTTTTTGAAAAATTCAAGTGAAAGGCAAATCAATATTTTAAAGGCTGCTTTATGGGAGAAGGGGAGATGTAAAAACAATGATATATATTTAATTTAAAAATCCTTGGCATTATGTAACTATGGAAACCAAATACTAAAATTCGTCATGTTATATTGGATTCATTAACTTAACTATACCTTACGAACAAAGTAAATATATCAATGTTCATATACCCGGATATGTAATTGTAATTAATCACATTTTTGGAGAGGGTAAAAGAAGAAAAGTACAATGATGTTACTTTAGCATATATTGTTTTTAAAGGAATTGATTTGTATTTTGAAAGAAATCAATGTATGGTTCAGTCTTCAAAAGATAATTACATTCTAGGATGCTCTGTTACATTATAAGGAACTATTCTTCATACTAAAATCTGCAGTAAAACCTGTCTTTATGGAACACACTTTGCAAAGGCCAAATTTATTCCTAGTAAATGGGTGATCCTTATAAATAGACCGAGAGGGTGCTTTAATGTGTAAGACAATGGGACTTATGCTTCTTTTGAAAACTAATTCATTTTACCTGGTAAGTAGGTGTTTCATACAAAGAGATGTTCTGTCACACAGGTTTTACTGTAGTATAATATAATAATTAGAAATATTAACTGAAATATTAATCATAATTAATAGCTGAAGGTATCCCTTTCAGTCCCCGAAAACAGTTTGTGCAACTGGTTGACTTTAAAGTTTGAAATCACATACCTGCAAGATATTCTATGTAATGTGTACCTCAGTGTATATATGTATGCAACTTAATAGAAAACACGGTCATGTAGAATCAAGAACAAATAAAGCTAGAATTTAATATATGAATTTTATGTATTTTTTTTGTATTGACCACTCATCTAATGCCTGGGTCACATTTGCTCCGATCCATCGGCCGGCGCCTGGCCGATTGAATGTTTTGTTCAATATTGTATTCAATTTTGAACAAAATACTCAATCGGCCGGGCGCCGTAGTGAAAATCGGAGCAAATGTGACCCAGGCATAATACTAATGCCTGGGTCACATTTGCTCCGACTCATCGGCCGGCGCCTGCCCGATTGAATGTTTTGTTCAATATTGTATTCAATTTTAAACAAAATACTCAATCGGCTGGGCGCCGTAGTGAAAATCGGAGCAAATGTGACCCAGGCATAATACTAATGCCTGGGTCACATTTGCTCCGACTCATCGGCCGGCGCCTGCCCGATTGAATGTTTTGTTCAATATTGTATTCAATTTTAAACAAAATACTCAATTGGCCAGGCGCCGTAGCGAAAATCAAAGCAAATATGACCACTTATCTTACCAGTGTCAGTTGTCATGGTATCATTGGCTATTGGAGCATTTGAAGAACTACCTGGTTAAAACCATTTTTATACCACTTTGTCAAAGTCACCAAACTTCAAGGAAAACTGCATGGCAGTTGGACTTTTTATGTCTCCACCACAAGTGGTGACATATTGTTATGGTCACCAACTTTTTTGTGGAAAGATTCAGCGATTGGTTGTTGGTGTTTGTAACAAATGGTGTAACAGGTGGTGACGTTTTGCATGTTAATGCCTTGTTTACACATATAAGAGGATACAAGTGCCAAGATCTGATAAAGTTTTGGGCAAGCTGGGTAAATTAATTGGTGGCCATTTTGAATTTTTATTACTGGGTCTAGTTTAATCCAGTTGTTAGTGTCAATTGACGGTCGGGCTACCACCCTCATTCAAAATCTGATACAAGACATCCATGCTTAAATTTATCCACAATTCCATTGAGCCCTGCACTTAAATCCTTCACTGAAAAACTCACTTTCCAAGTTTCAATATAATGGACTGGCACACCATACAAGACCTTTCCATTGAACCCTTAGCCATCTTTTGATTGGCCAAAGAAGTGGGATGTCTTGGCAAGATTATGAAGTCATAATTACACCCTATGCAGACAGAGCCTGTGGGAAATATTGGGTGCGGAGCAAATGAGTGGAGGGTGCGGAGCTAACGGTTATTTTTTAATTTAAATTTGGGATATTTCTGAAACTAAGCCGTTTTGGGACTTCAAATATACCAAGATATGTGTATTTGACACCAAATATCAATACAATTGTGAAAATAGTAGCGCAATTCATTCTATAGTGACGCAGTGTGCCTTAAACCTTTCCCAGACCTATATATTTTGAAATTATCCTTTTAATACTGAGTCCCCAGCATTCATAAAAAATGGTGTTCAAGGTACACTATCTATACAAATTATTTTTGCATCTTTGAAGCCAGGCAGTATCTGTGTGATTTTATAAAAATTCTGAAACTTTTTCAGATATGAGCCCCCTCTAAATATTGGGTGCGGAGCAGCTCCATAAACGTAGCTCCGCACCCAATATTTAGAGGGGCTCATATCTGAAGAACATTTCCGAATTTTTATAAAATCACACAGATACTGCCTGGCTTCCAAGATGCAAAAATAATTTGCATGGGTAGTGTATCTTGAACACCATTTTTTATGAATGCTGGGGACGCAGTATTAAAAGGATAGTCTCAAAATATATAGGTCTGGGAAATGTTTAAGGCATAATGCGTCGCTATAAAATGAATTGCACTACTATTTTCACAATTTTATTGATATTTGGTGTCAAATACACATATCTTGGTATATTTGAAGTCCCAAAACGGCTTAGTTTCAGAAATATCCCAATTTTAAATTCAAAAATGACCGTTAGCTCCGCACCCTCCGCTCATTTGCGCCGCACCCAATATTTCCCACAGGCTCTGTCTGCATAGGGTGAAGTAGTATCTAATTAGCTAAGGTTATAGTTTGCATGTGTTCAAATTTATAAACATAATTCCATGAAGTTTGAGAACATTAAAATTTTGACATCATAAATCTAGTTAATGTTCCACGATTATTTAGTGTACACAAGGAGGAATGGCTCCCAGAATGCAATCTCAATATTTTACACAAATGAAAATGTCAGAATGTTGTTATTGTCTGAGATTAAACTCTATAAAGTCATAATCAGCAATCCAAAAGATTTGAGGTAAAATCGTGATCACTTCTTGTTGTCATAAGACCAAAACTTGTGATTCAAAATTTTAAGTGAACATCATGACATCCTTCAAAATCCGATTCACTGTTGGAAAACATCAAAATTGCATTCTGGGAGCCAAGCCTCCTTGGTGTATGAATGAAGAGGGTAGGATTAATTAGAACATGAACACTGGGAAATAACTTATTCGGCCTATCAATTTGTCAATGAATTCTCAAAGTCCCAATAAATCTGACAGTACCAATGGACTAAAAATTTATGACGTTATGTAAGACTAGTGATTCATTACATTACATTGGATTAGAGGAACATTCCCCCATATTGTATCCCTGGACTTGGAAACATTCATTTAGAATGACACAAGCAACAATTTCAAGACTCATAATGCATTATATAGCATTGAACTGAACACCCCCTCTGAATAAGAATACATAAGCATGTGATATTCTGTATGCCATATTTGAGTTTCAATGGAATGGGCTGGAAGTACTGCTGGACAAAGAATGTGAGGTAACAAAAGATCTACATTATCAAACTATACAGTAAAACCTGTCTTAGTGAACACCTCACTCTAGTGGACACCCTTCCTCTGCACATACTGACTTCTCTATAAATTACCCAATCTGTAGTGAACACCTACCAACACTGAACATGGATATTTTTTCTTGATAAAAAAATGTTCAGTATACATGTACACAGAACTGTATATTAATTCACTTTCATACTTCTGCTTAGATACATGATATCCTTACTATCTTTCCAATAATAGAACAACTCAAACAATATAAAGTTTACAATGTGTATTACTATTTATAATATTTTGTTCTAAGTTATTACATCAATAAATGATTCAAAGAATTTTTTTAACAGGACATGTCATGCCATCTATTTTGGACACAAATCTGCAGTCCATTCAGTGTGAGAACTTATGAGTTTTAACAAAATTTCGTTATCCTGGATGAAAATGTTCAATGTTTTTCTTGGTTGTAAGTATTCAACAGTTCAAGGGGCCAAACCTTACATATCCACAGTCCAATCAAATACTATATAGCATTATAGTCAAGGGCTCAGTTAGTATCTAAACACAAGTTGAATTTCCATTCACTGTGAATCCTTATTAATATCCACAATATAGGTATTTTCCAATAGTTCTAATTTCTTCAAAATGGACACATTTCTCAAATCTCCAAATTGTTCTCTTCATTAATTTTCACAAAATGAAATCACCAAACTATTTTATGGAAACGGGGTAATGATGGATATGTTTACATGTCTTCTGTCCACTCAAATGGCTCTGGGGGATCAGGCTCAGCTTCATCATCATTTTCAGACTTAGGACCCATGGCTGCAACCATCTCAATCAGATCCTCCTTTTCAGTTGGTTTCGTATCACGCAACATAATAATCCCTCCAACATTAAGGGGTTTCAGTGTGGTGTATCGGGCATCTTCAGGATTCGTAATTACCTTCAGTTGTGCCTGCATGACGCGGGCAGGATTCGTTAGCATCTCAGATGTGGGTTCTGGTTTTTTCTTCTCTTTTTCTTTAACTTCTTTTTCTTCCTCTTTGTCTTTGTCATCTGTTTTTGCTTGATCTTTACCTTTTTCTGTTGATGCATCCTTCTTTTCATCATCGATTTCCATCTTTTCAGTTGTGTCTTTCGAAGTGCTGGCTACAGCGCCATCTTTGCTAGTAGAGGCACTACTTTTAGCAGCTGCTTCTTTTTTCTTTTGTTTGGCAGTAATACTCAAAACGGCGGTGGAAACTTTCTCTCCTTTTTTATCTTTCTTTTCCTCGAGATTAGCTGGGTATGCGTATGTTGACGGCTTTGCGTTGGACCTAAACTCAACTTTTGGCATCTTTAGCTCAGAATTTAAACCAATCACAGATGTGGGAGTGAATGCCAAAGACAGGAAGTGAGTTAGCGGAAACCAGTACCAGAATTGGCAAAAGACGAGTGTACCAACTACAGCAGCCATATTGGTGTGACCTGTGCGTGATTGGAGAGATATTGTTGTGTTGCGACCACCTGCGTCTATTATACCCTGGGCGATAATAGAGCCGAATTTTGCCATGACGTCTTCATGTTTGTCAGAAATGACCTTGGCGTATAACTCTCTGTAGTGTTTCAGCTGAAAGAAAATATGAAGATATTGTATGAACAAGAACACAAATATGTACAAAATGTCCCCACCTATTGGTGATCCCGTCAAATGGTTATCCTGAAAATGAGTAGACAAGACTTTACCGACACAATTTGAGGACGGAAAATCCAAAATGGCCACCTTAAAATTTACCCAGAATGCCAAAAAACTAATCAGATCTAGATTTTCATACTAAGAATCATCCCTGAAAATTTGAAATTGATCTACCTAACGGTTCACCTGGAAATGCGTAGACAAGACTTTACAGACAAGATTTTAGGACAGAAAAATCCAAAATGGCTGCCATGACATTTACCCAGAATGCCCAACAACTAATCAGATCTAGATTTTCATACTAAGAATCATCCCTGAAAATTTTAAATTGATCTACCAAACGGTTCACCTGAAAACGTGTAGACAAGACTTTACAGACAAGATTTTAGGACGGAAAAATCCAAAATGGCCGACAATGCAAAAGTGATTATGAGTTTTTGCTGACTTCGTTTTACAAAATTATCACATATAACTACTGTTAACAATAACATAGGCTTTTACAACAAAGTACACCTAAAATTATTTATAAAGCTACTAAATAGTTAAAGTATGAAAACTGAAAAACACCATTCAATATGATACAAAGTATTATCGTGCGCTAACTTTTCTTAAAACATTCAAAATGGCTGACATGACTGAGCTAACAGGTCCAAAACCTAATCAGATCAAGAATGAAGTGAGCTGAACAAGATATTAAAGTTTTAAAAGCAACTGTGAAGCCGTTTTTCTTAAAGTTTGCAGACAAGGATTTTAGCATTTGACTTCAAAATGGCCGACAGGAAGTAAGTATCGAGTTAAATTTTTTTCATCCACATCTGTATGCACTCATAAGTTATCCCTGAAAATTTGAAGGTGATATCTGTAGCGGTTTTGGAGAAAACTGCCGGACGTACGGACGGACAGACAGACAGACGGACAGATGCGCCTAGGCCGACAATATGGCCCCACACTATGTGGTGGGGACATAAAAATGTAATTGATGATCATGTTTAGATCTGTAAAATTGATTAAAAAACATAAAATCAGCAATCAGCAAGGAATAAAGTAATTATTCCTGTAGTCAACACTCAAAGTTGAAAATGCAAGAAAATCAGGCAGTTTATTCAAAATTTAGAAAACTGGCGTAATAAACTGGACATTTCAAAGAAACATACATCAATATCAAAGATCAATAATGACGACCTTTGTTAAGATAATTTTTACGCACCTTGGAGCAGGTGACCTCATTCTGTTGAACCATAATCATAGCAGATGCAACCAGAGCCCCCTGGCGGACATAATTCACACTATCGTTGGTCATGGGCTCGATCAAGCCAATAGCTTCTTTTAGGCCTGTTCCCGCACATGCAATCCCAAGAGCCATTGCAGCACCATAGCGGACATGTGGATTGTAGCTCTCAGATAAAAGGGAGACAACTTGAGGGCATTGCTCAGGGGTCCTAGAAATTAAACAAATACATGTAAAAAAATTAAGTTCAATATTTGGCCTTAAAGTTCAGAATTGTATAAAGTTTCTTTGGGGTCCTAGAAATCAAACAAATACATGTAAAAAATTCAGAATAAATAAAGTCCAGAATTGTATAAGCTTTATTGATGATATATAAATTACGGGGCCATTGCGATCTATGGTCATTGTAAAGTAATATATTTTACATTTTCCAGTTTCCACGGTAATTTGTGATTTTTGGTAATTAAACTGTTTTGATATTTTCACCAAATTGTGATAAACAATATTGTATATTTTAAGTATAGTATTGTTTCATTGCTCTATATATCTTTTATTGACTCTTGATGTCATCACAATGATAGGAGTGATCACAATACAATGTACAATATGCTATCTTAGCTATTAAAATGGGTACATTTTCAGATTTTACATTTTAAGAGATACATTATCAAAATGTTAAAAATTTCAACATACCTAAAGAACAGGAACCCTAATGATGTCACAGCTGCCCTTCTGACATCATCATTGACATCACTAACGGCAACATGAAGGAGTTTTCTGATTGCTTTATTATTGGCTGTCCCGCAATAGGCCATTCCTATGGTATACATCGCACTCCAGCGTAGGATTGGGTCTTTGTCACGTTGGAGACTTTCGATCAGAGTATCAGCTTCTTCCAGACGCCCATACATGGTCATGGCAATTCCGACAGCAAGACCACGTAGGATTTTCTCGTGCTGTGTTTCTTGTGCATACTGTTAAATAGACAACATGTAGTTTTTCATAAAACGTTTAAGATATTACAATTCATAAAAGAATGCTTCCACTACATGACCTTCAATTATTCATGCAATTTATGTGGGTTGTCCATATAATTAGCGAATAAAATTTTCACAATATTATCTTCAAACAGGCTCAAATAAGGAAAATCATGAAGTTTCAAAGAAAAATTCTAGCAGATCGGGTAACCAGGTTAGAGTAGATGATGCAAAAAAAAAAATTTGGGCTGATATTGTGCCAATCATGACAAACCCCATAGCAATTAGACTTACCGCGACCATGTCTTCAATGGCATTGGCTGATTTTGTGCCAATCATGACAAGCCCCATAGCAATTCCAGCAGCTTCTCCTGTCACTGCGTCATCTTGGTAGAGATTGAATTTCAACTGCTGGTAGACATCTAAAGTAATTTAAAGTGTTCAAATTGAGAAACATTCTTATTTACAGAAACATCATTAATATTGGAGTTCATTTGCACAGTTTGGTGAACAGCAATCATTGATATTTTTTCATTTTCACACTGTGTTGAGTCAAATATCAATGTGTTAATTTTCAGGAAGCTAATTTTCTTCAAGGGGTAACCTGTAAGAAACATTACTGAGTGGTAAATCTAATCAAAAAGCTGATTTAATAAAAAGAAAAGTAAGTAAGCCTTTGTATCTCAATATAATGTCTTATTTGAAGAAAATCTTTGATAGGTACTTTTGAAACTACTGTAGTTGAATACAGTGGAACGAGAGAAAATTGAGTATCTGAAGGCTCAAAGATTACCTTGTCTTGCTGTTCCCATGGCAGCAAGTCCCAAACCTAGACAACCTCCATGTCGTACCATCTGAAAATAAACATCGTAAAGTTTTCACTGATGTTTTGCATTCAGAGAATTCAAGACCAAATGCTCAAAATGACTTCATCGACCACTTATACTGGTACCAAAAGAATATGGAAAATGTCACCACCTCCCATTTGTTACATTTATACCAACTGCCAATCACCAATGGCCGCACACTGATCGCCATCCACAAAAAGGTTATTCGTTATTCCATGTTTTAAACACATGTGCGAAATGGTGTAATTGTTTGCTTTAATGATTAAAAAAGTTCACAGACAAAATTGTGACAAGTTTAGCAAAGATTTGACCATTTTTCTTGTTTCTAAAAAAACAGAATAAACGTTTGTGGTCCAGGGTTTTGAAATCTTGCAAAAACGAAAGGCAGTGAATAATTAATTAGACTCATGAAATTATTGTATGGTGGATTCAGAAAATAATAACTTACATCAGATGAAGCATCCTTCAGTTGGTTTAGGAGATACTCTGTAATACTACCCCCATGGTTTGCATGTATCAGCCCCAGGGCATATAGACCCCCACCCTCAGAATAGGCTGACCCTGGGGATGTATCCTTGGGGAGGTAGGTAGACATTAGGTTCAGTGCTTCTTTCTCATGGCCCTGTAAAATAAAAATATTAATACAATACAAAACAAAAAAGTAATATACCAGGTATATGTGTACCTTATAATTTTATTTCCTCCAAAGCCCATCTATTTAGACGTCAGATCTGACAATGGGTTATTTTGTAGTTAATATTCATTTGACAGTATTTAGTATAATATGTAGATAATACAAACATTTACTTTGGGTGTCATAGCCATATAAATGTATAATGAAAAATAGAAATAAAAAATTATGAATATTAAAAAAAAATCCTGTTCCTACTAATAACAGTACGATAATTGCAATGTTTAAATTAGGCTACATACCTTGTGTATTGTGCCTAAACTGGCTGTGGCAGTAAACTTGGCCCAATTGGTAGCTCTAGCTAGCCATTCTAAGTTATCTCTGTAAAAAAAGTTACAAAGACAAATTACAAATCACATTTTACGTGTCAATTTTAATATAACATGTGTACTAAGGATTTAGTATATTATGTACTTGAATTCTAACATTATCAATCTGCAATATTTGTTACTAAAAGGGAAGTAGAAGGGATGGAACAAGTTAAGAATAAGTTTTGAAAAAAGTCAACAATATCACAATATTTTTGCTGTCATCATTCAAAAATAGAGTACAGAAAATAGTTCTGTGTATCAATACCTCAGGAATGAGTCGCAAGTAGTTCCGGCATGCATGAACCCATTTGCGATAACAGTGGCTGTATGACACACAGAGTTCCGCACAGCATCCTGAAATTCCAATTTAAAATTGTACAAGCTAAACATGGTATGCTACTCTGTTTAATATACAGTATCCATAAAATATTGTGAATGGGTAGTTAACACCAAAGTAATTTGGATATCTCGTAACATAAGTATTCAATCTAAATTCAAATTGTGAAATTTTTTTTTTTTATTCAAATTGTGAAATAATCTATTCATTTGCGCACTGGTTTGTGGAGAACATGTATCTTTTAACATGCATATTTTACAATTAAAAAAATCTTACATTCTTAGTCTCAGGATATTTTTTTTTTCGATTTACCTTAGTATTTTTTAAAATGAGTAAATCAGTTTTGTTGTTTCGTATTAGGAACTGGAGGTGATGTTCTATTGTTGTGTCGCCATTTAGTATTGTAATAAGTTTAACAACCCTGTCTTGAAGTTTCCGGTCATTCTCACTCTGAAAATAAATATACACAGAAAATTGAGAATTTCACAAGCAGTTACGAAATCATTTACATTCAAAGAAGAATTCTGAGAAAGAAGTCCGACAAATTACAAAGTTGAAAAATGTTTTGAACAGCAAATCAGCCAAAACAAGTAGCGCCAAATTGAGTAGAAGGACAGTACTCGTAATTGACTGTAGGTCATAAAATGCATTGTATTTCAAAGAACTTAAGTCATTTATATGAAACTTTTTAAACCTCTACAAATGTTATTATAGAGACTCAATTTTTCCACTTTTGGTTTTCTTTGCGGCCTCAGCTTCTAAAACTTACTTTTTCCAAGTAAATTCATTATCATTACCACATTTTATGAATGACTTGATGTCTATCTATTTAAACAAGGAATAAAGACCGAGATTTTATGATTTATGGCGTAATATATGAACGAAAATGTTATTCTGTTCATTGTTAAAAGACAAAAATGGAATAGCGATTGAGGTCTTTGGCAATGGCCAGAATAAAATTTGAGGTCATATATTTGACATGAATCACAAAATTGAGGTCTTTGTTACGATTCCAATATGATAAACAGACAAGAAACACAATTCTTTGCATTTATGAATTTTATTGGTCATACATACTCCAATATAGACCAGAAAATCAATTGTTCTAGATATTGTGACATCACAAATCATATTAGAAAAATGTTAAAAATGACTTTTGTGCACTTACCAGATCTTCTAGTGTTTTCTCTGAGACTGGTTTGGCATCAGTCTCTTCTGCATTGGCTGCAGCTTCCCCTGTAGAGGATGATGCGGCGGCACCTGAATCTATTGCTCTGAAACATTTTAATACACATGTCCAATATATATGATTTAATGCTGAGACATGATTAACAAAACAAGGCATAAACATGCAAAATGTCCCCATCATTTGTTACAGACACCAACTGCCAATCACCAACCGCCATCACAAAAAACCTAATATCATCTAAATTAATAAAATTGATGTTTTGAGGAAAACATTTTCTCATTCTTTACTAAATAGAGTTCAGTCATGACAAAATCTCCATAGTTGAATAATAATATAATATGTAATATATGTTTTTTGAATTTTTTTTTTAATATACATGAATGAATATTGATATCTCTAGGAGTGACAGTTGATTCAAGGGCGAACGTAATACCCGGATCGTTCGCAAATTGGCGTTCGGTTTTTTACCGCATCCGATTTGAATTAGCCAATAAATGATCGGGGTGAGATAACTTGAATTTTTTTCTGACGATGTGTCTTACCCCCCTTTGGACATAAAGTCCAGAGCTGAATATGTCAGCACATGTTGATGATTGGTAAGTGAAAACAATCTATCCTTATAACGTAACCTATTTTCGATAGTCTAGTGAATTACGGTCACCAACCGTTCGGATACAACAGTTAAAACGAAGATTGTCCGCATCCGTTTTGATTGCGCTGACGAGAAACCAACGGGGTCTTCTCATTTGCATAATCAGGTCACCTTATACTGCGCTATAGAGCTGGGTAAGGGGGGTAAGACTGACTGACAGAAAACACAATCGCCACTTCAAGTACATTTTCCTGTTTATTCTGTTAGTGTTAACCCTTATTTACATATCATATATAAGTTAATCAATTATGTAGCTAATGATGTGAACGGATTGCAATGCCATAGAGTAAAATAACCGCAAAACGGTACAGAAAAAGGTACCTAGTTCTGAGAAATCCTACCCCTTTATACACCATTGTCTAATGAAGACCAAACAAAGCCCCGGATGTCGTGTCGTTTCTCGTTTCGTTTGGTACACAAGTATGCCCCGGGTATTAAATAAGCCCTTGGTTGATTCAAGGATCTTGTGTTAAAATATATCTTGTTTCAAATATATCTTCATGTGATACCAAACATAAAATTAATCTCCACTTACGATTCAGTAGCTTCCTTGGTTGTAGTTCCTGTATTGGTTGACCCAGGGGTCAGTAGGACAGGCAGGGGGGCAGTACCCCTCAGGGCACCCTGGACCCTCTGTAGGAACTGCTGGGTGGCACTCTCATACAAGTCAAACCCGATCTGGTATGCCATAAGCACATTATCCTAAAATACAATATTTTATGTTTTAAACTAAACCTATTCTCTCATAAGCAGGCTATCTAAAATTGGACAAATTTTAGATGAAATAATGTCATTCTGAACCAAGTAATGTATACAACTTGAGCATGATATTGCTTTGCTATGCCATTACAGCCTTAAAGGCAGTATATGCATAATAAATACAATATTTAAGAGATTATCATTTCACCCTCTAGTAAAGTAGACAACTACAGTACAATAACCCCCCAATTTCAAACATGTCAAAATGTCAAACATTTGTTTATTCCCAAAGGTTTAAAATGCAAAATTAAACTACACTAAGGTTTTCTCTTACAGCACATGTTTTATTTCACAAATCACCGTTAAAATATCATACCTCAGATTCCTTGAGAAGTTTCTCCAAGATGTCTGCAACTGACTGAGGCTCATCCAGGAATATAAAACACTGAAAATATAAAACACAAATGTCTTCAAATTATAAACGATTATAATATTAAATACAATGAAAACAATACAATAAAATACAAATAATAAATAAATACAAAAAAATATTAATAAAATATAAATATTGAATACAATGAAAACCTCTGTGACTGAACTGGGTTCAGCGAACACATTATTCGTGAATTCAACTTTCGGCTGTCGACTACCAGATTAACCCAATGTTTTAAAACCAACTCAGGTTCTATTCATATTTAAATGAGTTCCTCATAAAATAGTAGGTTAATCCAGTAGCCGACAGCTGAAAGTTGCATTTGAGAATACAAGCTTAAGTCATTAAATTGAACCCCCACACCCCTATGTCAACATATGAACTAGTATATTCAAGCAAAATGGATGAGTCTATGTGTAATCAAACAACAATGAAGGGGTGTTAGCTTACCTGGCAGACGCTGATGAAATCTGGCTGTGGAAGGCCCATGTATAACTTGACCATGACACGGAGTACTGTATTTCTGAACTGTCTATTTTGTATGAGACTCATACAAACTTTCAGACTGTACTGTAACATTGCAGATATATCATCCTGGAAAAAACCCAGTAACTGTAATCAAGTTGTATTTTATAACAGTCAACTTTAAATTACAAATATTTTATATTCATTTCGGTATCTAAGTTAGTTCCGTATTTTATAATAGTCAACTTTAAATTACAGATTTTTCATATTCATTTTTAGCATTGTTGTGAAGGCATGCGATTGTAATATAAAATTGAAGGTTCAATTTAAGCCATATGTAATATTCAGTTTGATCAAAACAAAAAGCACTTTTATTGGTCTATATATATTTCTTTTATTGACAAAAGTGTCAAAGCATGACACATAAGTCTAAAATGGTCTATAAATAACATGCATTAGAACACAAATAGAATGAAATTGAAATTAATATTATCTCTCAAAAATTTGCCTTCAATTTCATTTTGGGATTTGCACTGGAAAATATACAAAAAACATGCTTTAGCGCACAAAATCGAATCAAATTTAAATTTTATTATCTCTAATAAATTTGCCTTCATTTTCATTTTGAGATTTGCACTGTAAATTTCCACATGTGCCCTTAAAAGGCATTGAGAAATGGGGATGTAAGTAAGGCATGTAAGGGCCCAAGTGAACTGGACTTACAGATTTTTTGATTGCATCCTCAAAAATGTCAATTCTCCTGGTCTCTAGTGCGATTCCTATAGCTTGCTTGTACTGGCGATCATCAAAACACCTACAAACAAGTGAAACAGTACATATAAGTACAAACAATGGAGAAAATGTTTTTTTCATATGTATCATTAATTCATTTAATAAAGAATACTACAGTAGATTTACAGGTTTGGGTGGCTGGGCAAAAGCATTCATAAAAACATGTTTTGAGGGGAATACAGTGATGGGGACAGTTGGTTCAATGTAGTTTAAACAACATGACAAAAGGCTAAGAGTTTGTGTTGTATTTTTTCCCGAGAATTAAAACTCAAAAACCCTAATTTGAGTCAAGAGAGTGATTGAATCTGAAATTTGAAAAAATTAGGAGAATTAGGCACATTTTAAAGGGAAATAAAATGAAATGCAGGATAAAGGCGAATAGGTTGAACATGTAATATAACTTTAGATTTTGATTTCAATAAAATGAGAGCTTTTTTAGTTCTAAATCAATGTATGCAGTACAACACAATTCAACATAACAACAAACCTTTAATCACCTCGAAAATGGATTTCATGAAACATCTTTACATAAAATGTGTTTATAGAAATGAAAAATTTCTTACAAACCTTTGAAACATTCTCTGTACAATAGCCTCAAGTCTCGGGTCAATATCTTTGTGGTCTTCAATCCCTTCAGAGTTCTGCACCCTCAGCTTGGTGTAGTGATCAATGCATTTGGCTATAAGAAACAGAGTGACGTCTCAATAACACAGGTGAAAAATTCAAATTGCAAATATGTTGATGTGTGATGTTGTTAAGTGAATACGAATTACATATTTGGAAATTACACATGTATGTAAACAATTATGGAAAAATGAACCAGAACTGGGTATAAATGAAGAAACAAAATGTCTTATCAAATCTGCTATCAAAGGGTAAGTCAACAGTTCATAAAAAATCAAAGGGTAAGTCAACAGTTATCTTGTTGCAGAGATACGGTGCAAGGGCACTAACCAGACCATAACATTAAGTGAGCATTTGAGGATCCACATTGAGATGAACATACCGCCAATCTCCCTAATACATACATCTTAGCCCATGATAAGGCTTTTGCTTAAAAGCAAGCTCCCAGTATCCCAGGTCTGGTTGATACCCTTGCAGTGACTTGTCACAATTGAGTAAGATGAAGACACAAACTTACAAATTGTGGTGTCGACATATTCAGAGGTATCTGTTACATCAAACAGGTCTCCAGCACCGAGAGCAAATGTCAAAGATTCTTCAAAGGCACCCAAATGATGGTAGACTTTAGATGCGACTAAAGCAGCCAAGTTTCGTTGTGTGAAACGTTCATCTTCATACAGCATTTCACTAAACAAAAATAACAATGGTTTCATTGATCAACAGGCTAAACATGTGAAAACAACAAGCGAAAGTACATGTGCTGGAAATTATAATTTCAACAATGAAACAGTTCATTATTGTAACTTTTTCTTGTAACCAAGCACATACTCTCCACAGGCATTACATTTCCATTTTTTGTAAAAAAAAGATTTCATTATCATTAAGTTAATATAAGTTCTATTTAACTTTATATTTGAAACAAACAAATATAACCATTGTCTGATTCTATGGAAATCCATAAACAAACCTTTCATACAAGAATTTTGTGATAGAAAATCAACATTCACATTGGAAGTTTTATTGTTTTATTGTTATTTCAATACAGTACTTACATTTTCTCAACAGATTCAGATATCTCAGGCCAGAATGAGATTACAATCTGATCAAGTTTCTGAAGTGCAAAGCCCTTCACTTCAGGCTCTGGCTCATCTAACAGAGCGATCACACCAGCTGAAATAAAATGAGTGTAAGATTTAATTATAGCTAAGACCAGAGAGAGTGTGTAATCCTATGTCCTAGGTCCTATGTAATCCAGATCTTGCTATTTATTCTATTTTCAGTGATTGGATTTTCCCATGTTATTCTATTTTTAGGGGTTGAATTTTCTCATCAACCAATGAAGCATACATTAGTCACTTTAAACTATATTTTTGATAGTGGTGCCATCTTTGAGTGAAGTCTTTGCCAACCCTCATGCGAGCAAAAAATCGAACCAGGAAAAATGAACCATGCGCAGATTGCTTCTATTTAAAAAAATGTATATTTGATAACTTCGGGAAGGTAAGTGACATTCTCATTCTTTAGCTTAGTCTTATTTTAATAATCAAGGTTGTCAGAAATAACACTTTTCTGATTGAAGTCTTGGTTCAAGTTCATTAATATCTCACCAGCATGAACTATGATAAGTTTACCATGACTGAATGTCAAGAAGACTGACTAAAGACTGAATGTCAGGAAGAATGTTTTCGGAAACAGAATTGTGAAGGACTGGAACAATCTCCCACAGACTGCAATAGATGCTGACAATGTCAACCAGTTCAAGGCGCAAATTGACAAACGCTTCCACAACCTAAAGTACCAGTACAACTAGATGACAGCCCCTTTAACCCATGTCCAGTGAGCTTTCAAGAAAACACTCGCCCTCCCGCTTATAAAGACCTTACATATAACAAGATCTGGATAATGTAGGATCCTTCCTTCTTCGAGAAGAAATGGTATACAGGTATCACTTTTTCTTTTTACCGGAAGAAACTTGAATTTTGCAAATGTATTTGACATCCTCCTGGTGAAATATTCAATTGCGCCAGTTTACTTTATTGTCTGATGTCTAAGTAGTGATCTGATTGGTCCAACACAGCAAAGTGTTTGACCGTAGGAAACTTTGTAAAACAAATCGTAATTCCATTGACATTTTCTGTGATTGGAAATTTTCAACAAAATGTGACTCGGCAAAAAATATTTTTCTATGATATTTTCATTTTATGGAGTTATTTATCGAACTTGCCAATAGTTTGGGATTTATTTAAATAGTTTAGCTAAAACGACATACCTGCTGATGTGATATTCATCCTCATGATGATCTGCGCTGTAGTTTCGCAGAAAACGCGACTTTTAATGACAAAAAATTTTCACCGGCGATTTTTTTCCAAAATGGCGATTCTTATAGTCTCAAAACCAGGACCCTCAAAACCATTCTTAAACTATATCAGTTTATCTTAAAAAGCAAAGATTTTATCTTTGTGTGTATCAATTACTGTAAATACTTATTGAAACATTAGATTTCGCTTTTTTTAATCCTTTTAGGGTGAAATTACTAAAACGATTCGTAATATTCTGCTGGAGACTATATAATGGTAGCACACACTAGTTTTAATTAATACTCATTGTAGTGGAACTTTTGATCAAATTTGGATAATTTTCTCCAATTATCAAATCAAATACAATGTTATGATCACATATTTACACATCATTATAATATTTATGCTATCTAGCTTCTGCATGTCAATATTTCAACTGAGGCTAACTTACATAGTGCAGTAAGCCAGTAGCAGAAATGGCTTCTTATCCAAATCAAGAACAACGACCCCTAAAAAAGCCAAAATTGGGGCAGTATGGACCAGATATTTATCCACAAGAGCCAAAACAAAAGGAGGTGAGTGTAATTCTTACTTATAAACAGCGATTTCAAAGCTAGAGATGGGTTTAAAGGATATATTTAGATTCAAGATTGTAAAATTAATAAAAAATCATTTTATTTTTGTGATGTGAAAACAATCACAAACATTTTCATGGATTGTTGGAAGTTTTCCATCTATTAGACCGAACTTCCACAATCCATGGACATGTCATTCACATTCTGCATCGACTGAAGCTTAATAATCTCAATACCTCAATACCATGATGGTCATCATATGTATCACCCATCAAACTATAGAACATTTGCTGTCGTGAGTATGTAAAGAAAATCTAATTCTGAAATTTGGTATAGAGCTCTCTAAAATACTTTTGTCTTGGTATCGTCAGAAGGAAATTCACTTCTAAGGTTTCCGCAGAAATTAGACTGAGTTGATGACTTGTCACCAGTCGACAAGATAACAGATGATATACAATGTTCTGGAAGCCTTTTTCATTACATTTAGACCCATGGGAATATTTTGTCCTAGGGCTGCTTCCTTAGACCCAGAGATCACGGTAGACGTTCGCCAATTGCGAATTTTCGAAAGAGGTGGCGAAAAATATGTAAAGGTATTTCGCAGTTATGGCGAATTAGAGTTGTCACGGTTTCCCGATATTGGACCGAATTTCGGTCCAGATGCTTCGGTTCGGGACATGGACAGAAAGGGTTAATATCGGTACATAGATTCCTTCACTAAAATGCATAAAAACGTGTATAAATAGCGAGGAACACCTCCGATTACGTTCTGAAATATTTTCACTTACCTCGTACCTAGATTACACTTCTTTGCATTGAAAAGTGTTATTAACGGACCCGCGATTTCAGGTAGATGGTAATGCTTGTTCGTAAATTTCTTCATCGTCGTTCGCAAATCTAGTGCATTATCAGTATGCCGGATGTAGGAAAGAAATTGAAAAATCGAGCCGGCATCTAAGTCGAAAAAGTCGGCAGTTTGGAAGTATTTTGGGACTCCGATATCACAAGGTAAACGAATTGGTAATATTACACCGTGCAGACTATGTGAAATGTCGATCACATTTGCGGCAGATGCTTTACATTCAATTTTAATGGACGTTTTTTTATTCCTGAATATGATTTTGAAAAGTTAAACTGAAAGTGAAACTGTCATCATCAGACATTTCATCATTTTTAATGTTCTGTCCCGTCCCGTCCCGAAAGTAACGTGTTGAGACCATTTGTACCGTTCCGTACCGTACCGAAATTTTCTTGGACCGTGACACCTCTATTGCGAATTCCCTTTTTTACGGTTTTTCAAAATGGCTAATTCATATTTTGGTTGGCTAAAAATATTTTGGAAGATTTAGCCACAATGGCTAACAAGTTTTTTCAACTATCGTGATCTCTGTTAGACCCATGGGGATATTTTATCGTAGGGCTGCTGCTCACTTTGTTGGGCTATTTTGATCTTGCCCTAACATTTACATTCCGGTATTCTTGCCATCTTTGAAATTTAAAAAGATAAATTGAGTCTTCAACAGGAAGACTGGAAAAAGGTTGGGGATGTTGATTATTGGCCAAGGTTGAAGAACTGAAGCTTTAGGCACCAGGACAAATGTTCCATAATTTGATGGAAACCCCCCAGTTCAATAGCTGGATTAATGTAGAGTCTCCTCTTGTGAGTATAAAGGAGGGGGAGGGGGGGGGGGGGTTGATGCAGGATATAGGTCCATGGTATAATCAACAATGTTTTTCAACCATTTTTTCCAAAATGCTATATATTTGTATATGGAATAAATATTATGATGAAATATCTAATCAGTCGTGATTGCTCTCAGACATACTAAATCGCAAGTTGAACTTAAAATTAGAAAAATTTAGGAAACTCAGTAATATTATTAAGAAATGCCCATTGTTTGTTTACAGGATGAACTGAACACAGAGAATGTAAAGAAAGGATTCAGTAACAATCTCGTCTTCAATGATGAGGTAAGTCAGCTTCAGGTAGATGCACAAAGGCCAAATGCGACACAAATGAAGAAGATTGCAAACATGATAAAAATCACGATAAAAAAGCATGATAAAAAACCATGGGTTGCACTTATGCGTCTGCATATTGTTTATACAATGTATAGATAAATGTTGCGTAGGACGTTGCTATGATCACCAGTGCCTCTAGCGGAAGATTGTTTGTAACGCATTTGTCACGTGTGTGGATCTTCATGATGGGAATTATGTTATTTTCATTTTTAGAATTACCAATAATTCATGTAAGAGATTTTTTTTTTTTAATTAATTTATTAACTTATTTAATTAATTTATTCATGAAAGAGATATTTACATGCACTGGTAGGATACATAGTTAAAAATTGAAAAATATCTTGATTGGATTTTGAAATGACATTTCAATTTTTTTTGTTTTCAATTTTTTTTAAAGTGTGGAACTACCTTAAGAACCCTTTACAAAAATGAATAAACTTATCACACTCTTAGAATAAAGATAAACCTCTGAATTAATTGAATAAATCATCAGACTGTGTTGTAATTATGTATTGGAATCCAAAAATTGTTTAATCATCTGAAACCAGGATATCATAATCTATTGTTTAAAATTATACATTTTTCTACTCAGTTATTTCTTTCCAAAAATAATGTATAATAAATTTGGCGTTTCTAACAGCTTTCGTTATCTGTCCATGATAATCTTTATATGATAATATTTTTAACATATCATATTCATTTGAATTATGTATTATGTGAATGACATCATCGATTGTTTTGAATTGTTGTTTTTATTATTTTTAGTATGGAACAGCCAGGCATGTTAACATAACACAAGCAAAGGTGAGTTCTTTTTATAAAGTGAAAAACAGTAGTAAGTAATCTAATGTTAAAGATGTGCTGCAGGTAAAAATGCAGGCCATTTGATTCTTTCATAGATGAAATCACTGTATTTAATATGTTCACTCATTCTAGTCTTCAATAATGAACTATACACAAACAATATAAATTGGTTTAGTATCGATTCAACACCTTAGGATATGTACACAACCAAAAAATAGTGATTCATACAAAACATTCTCAAAGTTATTCAATTCAATTCAATTCAATTTGGAAATCCCTTATATGGTTTGGTATCCATTCAACACCTCATTTCACCCCTTTGAAACACACTGCCCTTTGCCTCTCTATTTGCCTCTATAATTGCCTCCTTTGCCTCTATATTGTTAAAAAAAATTAAAAAACATATTTTCCAGTTTGGGTCATATTTTGACATGACGATTGCCAAGAAGACGGAGCTCAACACATTTGGAGATACAGGAAAGAAAAAACAACAGATAAACCGGGAAAATTTCTGGCATGTAACCCCAAATCAAAAAGCGCAGCAATCTGTGAATAATTGGTTTAGAGACCTTGCTGGGAATAGGAGTCTAGCCACATTGTCTAAAAAAGTAAGTGAGGCCTCTAAACAGGTCACAGTTGTAGACTGCTATTGAGGTCATATATTATATAGTCTTCAACTTTTTTGTGGACGGTGGCAGTTGGCATTTTGATGGTTGGTGTTCGATGTCTGCAACAAATGGCATGAAGTGACATTTTGCATGTTAATTCCTTGTATGATAACAATATTAAAAAAATCATGTGATTTATGTTACCCACCTTCTCTTGAAAACCTGATTGTCTAGTTATTTTTCAAAAAATATGGCTGCCTGACAGTACCAAAGAAATGCTCCTAGAACCGAAATATTGGGATACATTCTTCTCCTTTATAGTTGTAAATCCCAAAAATATATCATGTAATTTTTGATTTCCCACAACTACACATTTGATATTAGTACCCGTGTTAAGCCAAATATCAACTAACGTTGGATTGAAATACCATAGTAACCTTATTTTTGACCAATCAAATAAGAGATGCTGATATTATAAGAATCGATCAGAAAGAATTTTTTGTTTGTACATTGTGTGAAAATTTCATCAGAAAATATCAAAAATCTTTGAGAGCATTTTTCCGGGAACTTATAGAACGACCTGGTACATGGACTTATTTTTTGCCTTAAAGGTTCCACATTTCAACAAGAAGGAGGAGTTGATCTCTACTTTAGTTGAGAATGAAGTTCCAATGCAAAGAGCCACATGGGCAATAAAGATGGCGTCGGCATACAACATGGCCATGTTTGAGGGGAAGGCAAAGAAAAGCCGTCAAGTCATGGACCCTTCAACAGGTAAAATATAAACAGTGTCAAGATATAGGGAGAGAAAATATTCTAGCATAGTAAGAGCATTCAATATACAGTTAGGAAGTGTAACACAGGCATTGAGTTTATTGATTTTCTCCCTATATCATGACATGTATAAAAATATATACCAAAATGTGTCACTGAATTTTAAACTACATATGCTCTAACTTTCACAATGTTCAGGGTTCTCGCCAGGAAAATTTCAGACCCCGGATCTTTCGTGGTATCGTGACAACTCCTCCCCTAAGTGAGATCAGAGATATCCTTTAAGTATACTTTTCAAAATACTACTTTAGATTATCTTCCTATTTTAATTAAAATACACATTTCTAAAAGGTTTCTGACTTCCTATTCCTTGTCTTATCCAGTTTTACCACAAATAATATGACAAAAATGTAAAATTAGACTCTGGAAAAACACTTTAGACCTTGGGAAAGCTATTAGACTCTGGAGCAAGCAGGTCTAAGTACATTAGACTCCGGAGAATCTCCAGAGTCCAAAAGCGCACTGAGAACCCTGATGTAAATTCAGATGATTTTATAAATGTACATATGTAGGTGATGTAATCTTTACTACTTTTACCAAAATGAACATTGCATATTATCACCACTTTGCAAGGCCTGTTCTCGGAGTAGTGTTCTCAGGGTTTTAGTACTAGTTTAGAAGGCTATATTACTATATTACATGTACTATTATTACTATATATTTATTATATATATTGACTTGAGCAATATGTGATGTCATAGTGGCAGGCCGTGTCGCCATAATGGTCATTTCTGTCCTGGTTCAGGGCAAATGACTTTACGTTAAATGGACCTTAGTAAGTGGAACACCCCCCTAAGTGGAACAGTATTTAGAGTTCCTTGACCAATTGACTTTATGGTAAATGGACCTTAGTAAGTGGAACACCTCCTAAGTGGAACAGTATTTAGAGTTCCTTGACCAATTGACTTTATGTTAAATGGACCTTAGTAAGTGCAACACCTCCTAAGTGGAACAGTATTCAGAGTTCCTTGACCAATAGTATAGTTTCCATATAGCTTTTGAAATCTCGCTAAATCTCGTTTTTCGTGAGATTTTAAGAGACTTGCATATTAGACCTCTAATGACTTACATTACCTTCTTTTAAATGGTATATTTGAATTCAGTGGAATGTTTTCTCCTAAAATAGCTTTGATTTACACAGTTATGTAATTTGAATAATTTTCTATGACAATTTAAAAAAAGTTGGGCCAAATGTCCATAGATGCAATGCTAAAATTCTTTAAAACCGTGGATTATTTGTATGTCAATCAACATTAGCATGTTTAATCACAACATGTTCATAAACAGGGTCATCATGTGGTATATTATTCAAGTTTTATACAGATTCAACAAACACACTTTGATAAATCATGAAATTAAGCCACTTTTCCAAGATTTTAGCATGTAAGTGAATGGAGCTCTAGCCAGAGTTAAAAGCTGAATAAAAGATGGCAGCACGAGATTTCATTGATTTTTCTGCTATTTAGAAACTATCCTATTGACTTTATGTTAAATGGACCTTAGTAAGTGCAGCACCTCCTAAGTGGAACAGTATTCAGAGTTCCTTGACCAATTGACTTTATGTTAAATGGACCTTAGTAAGTGGAACACCTCCTAAGTGGAACAGTATTCAGAGTTCCTTGACCAATTGACTTTATGTTAAATGGACCTTAGTAAGTGCAACACCTCCTAAGTGGAACAGTATTTAGAGTTCCTTGACCAATTGACTTTATGATAAATGGACCTTAGTAAGTGCAATACCCCCTAAGTGGAACACCTCCCAAGTGGAACACCTCCTAAGTGGAACCAAATTTGTTTCATTAACTCAGGTCTTGCTATTATTAAATGAAATTTTGAAATGTTTTTCAGAATGGACACAGGTGTTATGTCGGTTTTGCAGAGAGCAAAATGTGAAAATGCATGACCATTATCACGGCGGACCACCTGTGCAGCAGACAGGATTCCTCACGGCGACTCAGCCAACGCAGCTTATTGATATCCAGGCTGTGATGAAAATCTGGGACTACTGTATGGGTCTTATAAGACACATGTATGAGGTATGGATACCATTTATCCCATAATATGTTTTGTTTTGAAATATCCCCAGTAAAAAGAATGTTCTCTTGACAACATCCCTCGTATATAATGCTGCATATCATTCATGAGAATCTTAATTCAGTACATTTAGATGTGAAATGTCCAGATTTTATCTTGAAATAAATCCCATATTGAATCCCCATCATTAAAATAACCCATATTTACTTTCAGGAGGGTCTCCTAGACAGACAAGAATTCTTACAATGGCTCGTAGAACTGTTGGAAAAATCGAAAATATCGGAAGACATCGTCACAAAAGTTGTCATGTTACAAGTCTTACAGGTCTGTTGAGATGATTCTCTTAAAGCTTGGCGCTTTGTCACCTTTGTTAGCAATACATGTACATACATGTATATGAAAATTATAATGCGGTATATAACAGGAGCCTTTATATGAAGAGGGAAGGGGGCTAATTTCGAATAAGAAATATGAAAGTCAAAATTCCATCATGAAAATGACCATTTGAACTTTTTCTAATAATGCCATTAGCATTAAACCCCCCCCCATGAACTGAAATTTTTCCCTCTATGCCATGTAAAAATGAACATTTACAGTGATAAAAGGCACCAATTCATAATTGATGATACATAAGGTTGCTTAGCTTAAACTGTTGCATTGTTTATTTTTAATCAAAAATATTTTAAAATGTGAAATAAATAAATATTTAAATGAAAACTTGAACCTGAATTTTTCAGTACCTCGATGAGTTTAGTTTATCAACACTACTCAGCAGACGCCTTGCACATTTTTGCGCTAAGAAGATGGCGCACCTATGTAACGAGTCAGGGTGTCTCTCCCCCAGAACACAATCACCATTGGTTACCGCAGGAAGTAACGGGTAAGTTGTGTCACTTAAAATATTGATCATGTCACTTGTAGTAATTGTAGTCACTTTAAATAACAGGTTGTGGATTTGCATGACTTTTTCCAAAGTCTTTCTCAATGCGTGATAAATGAAATACAGTGTAGTGTGTGCCATGCTCGGAGATGTCAAAGTAGGCTTTTATTGTATCCTTTCTCGTAGAATGCAGTGTAGATTTTTACTGAGTGTCGTACTTCTCATTGCCTGGAACTTTCAGGGTTTTCTGGACTTTTATCCCCTATCCCAGGAAAAATGGTAAAACATGGAAAAATGGAACATATTGATAAAATGCCACTTAACTTCTTGACTCCCCAGAGTGACAAGATTTCTCGTCACCTCAGAAATAACCTTGAAACCCAGAGTGACAAGATACCAGAATGTCACAAAATTTGTCACTAAATAAAAATTGCTCTTATTTGAACAATTTTTATCCAATTTAAACAAAATACATTTTGAAACGTGTAGAGATGATCTCTGTTGACTAACCTCACTTAATTGAGCATCACTCGTTGGATGTCAAAATCTGGCAAAAATGAAAAAATCTCTGGTTTCAAACCATTGCAGATATTTCTCGCCATAAGCAACATGTAATGCTATCAACATACACCCACCCAGTGTAAGACATATAAAACTGTGATCAAAAGAAGGCAGTTACATCATTCAAATCATCGTTGTCTGGTTTATGGACACCAGACAAATATCTGAGCAGGTGTGTGGTCTAATTATTATGTTTAATAATGCATTCATCAATTACAGTATATCATAAGAGTAAAAAGAAGAAATTACACTTTTTTTGGCTCACACAGTGAGCCTATGGGAGTGACTAGGCCTCCTTTGGTCTGTCTGTCCATCCGTCCGTTGGTCCGTAAACATCGGCTGTACAATTTAAAACTGCTATTGGTATTAAGTCATCATTTTATGTATTATCCTTAGTGCCTACAGTCTGTTACACTGCTTCACAGGCAAGCTGTTAAACCTGAAATATAAGAAATCTAAATAATATTGTGCAAAAATATTTAGAAAAATATATTCATATTGCACACGAATGACATTTGTATATGTTGGATTGCTTGTAAATTGGCTCATAAAGTCTGTAACCTCTTATATTTTGATGCTTCTCTACCATGTTAATTCTCAAAAAAAGAACATGGCGGACAGACCTCAAATTACAAGAGGGCACAGGCTTATTGCACTAAACACTAAATAATCTGAAATATACAAATGTCATTTGTGTGCAATATGAATATATTTTTCTATATATTATGGCACAATGGTCTATAGATTTCTTATTTTTCAGGTTCAACTGCTTGCCTTTGAAGCAGTGTAACAGACTGTATTTGACCTGTCATCGCCATTTCCCAAGTTCGCCCAGTTTCCGAGAAATTGCCAACTTTGACAAGTCAAATTTTCTTTGAATATCAGACACTTTATTGAAGTAGAACTTTGATATAACTGTTAGTAGTCAAAAATTGTGGTCATAAAAAAAGGATAGGTTTTCAAATCAGTTTTTTCCTTTAATTTCTCTTTTTCTAGAAATGAATTCAAATTTTCTAAGCCCCTATCATTTAAAACAATATGTTGGGCACATTTTCTAAAAAATTTCTGTTCAATGACCTTTCCAACAAGCTGACTTTTAACTTTTTTCAGTCACCTTTTTAGAGGGCTGAAAAAGCTATTTCAGTATGGTAAGGGTCATTTGGACCATGAATATTGTGATCCTGTAGCATGTCACTTTGTGAGCATGGGGCCGCGGGCCCTTTATTTGTTTATTTTACTTAAAATACACTATGAATTTGTATTTTCTTTTTATAAAACATCAGTTATTAATACAGTTATCATGGTAAAATGTGGTAAATGTTATGGTAATATGCCATGAAGCACAGTAGTCCCTCACTATGACACCAACAAGTGCAAGTACCGGTATTACCAATTCTGAATTTAATTGATGTAGTATTGTTTTCCGCATGACCTTATTTTAAATTACTTAAATCGTTTGTAATTTTACTCAAATAGTCTCTGCATGATTGATGCATCAAGCTTTAGGGTGTATTTTTATATAATAGTTGAGCAAAGTAATATTGAAGCTGTTTAAAACGCAAGTATTATTGATTTCAATCTAACCCCAATCTATATAAAAGCTAATTTTTAGTATTAAAATATTGCTAGTGGTAAAAAAATTGTGTACAAAAATGTAGCTTTTGTTCTATTGATATATTATAGGTTAATATTTGAGGGTTCATTGAACTTTTAACTGTAAAGCTTATATCATGAATTGACACTTTACTAAACCTAACCCCTAGAAATGCATAAGATACTCTGTTTGTCCATTATTGTATTGTTTAGAATATTTTTGAAAGTACCTTATTAACATCTAACAGTCATCTGTTAAACCATTCATAAGCAGCAGACAAATAAAAACAAATACATAATCATTACTGATAAACCAAATGGGTTGCTCATGTACACCAAATGCAAGGTATAGTAGAGTGATGACTTTTGTAGGTCATGTCTATATATGGTGCTAAATATACCCTGGTGGCTTTACCCTGTTCAATGAGACTACATTTATATACGAGGGGTGATTCAAAAGTAATAGACAAAATTTTATAGGCATGCTTACTCTCACCCAATTTGTATGAAATTTGATATATATGAATATCAACCAATTATCTATAAGTTGTGAAAACTGTGTTACATCAACAGAAATACATTTCAAGATATATGGTACATCTCCCGCATTAGGGTGCTTATACCCGGAATTGACTTTTTAAGCACATTGACATCATGACAAGCCCATAGCCAGGGGGGGGGGGGTTCGCAGGGTTCGGGCAACCCCCCCCCCCTTGGCCAAAAATTCTTTCAAAATCATGCAGTTTGTCACCATTTTGAGCACTTCTCAAGTGATTTTAGGCATATATTGGCCAAAATTGTCAAATGTGAACCCCCCCCTGGAAATCTTTGAAAACTGAACCCCCCCCCCCCCTTGGCAAATACTGGCTACGGGCCTGTCATAATAACATGGATATTCATGAACAGTTAGCTGGTGCAGTACATTTTTCAAGATGGTAGCACAATAAGTACAACCATAATTCACATCATTCCTGATCATCCATTTACATTCAATTTAATATTTAAATCACCTGTAATAGCACTTATTTCCCTCAGTGTCAATCACCTGACTACATTTAAGATGGCTTCTACAAGATGAATATTGTTATCATTGTGATCAGGGTGACCAAGTCTGTGGTCTTCCAGAACACTTAAGATTCAGCACCTTCTCATAACCTCAACCGAAGTGCTTGTACAATCTTTAAAGTCTTACCATGAAATAGCCTTGTCTCCATGTGTGTCTTTGATTTTCTTGACAACAGCCTGCCTTGTGTCTCCAGTTGCTACCAATAAGACTATAGCAATTATACTATAGCAATGTTTTACATTAGTTTGTTGTAAAAGATTTTAATTACCACAAGTGTGTTGAGTCATCAAATGAAATGAAAGAGAAATGACTAAAATATTCAATTATCATTCAAAAGTGGACTCCGCCCATGCTTACCCTAGTTACCATGGTTACGCATTACTGAAAAAATATTGAATGTTGTTTATTAGGAATTTGACACTTAGTAGATAATTGAATGATCTAATGTCTGTGAAAAAATTAGACTGATTGGTTAACGTTAAGTATGCCTATAAAATTTTGCCCATTACTTTTGAATCACCCCTCGTATTTTATACTGACAGTGATTTATTTTTGTTCCATACTAATTGCATGCTAGAAACTTAACCCCGACTGCAAGGTTCAATAACCAAATTGTAAACATATCAAAATATAAAGCAATCAGTTGAATAAAGAATATCCTGAATTAGTATGCCATATGGTAGACGAGAAAAACAATCTATTCTTGAATGTTAAAAATTTGACAGACAACAAACAACATAGTAACACAAGAAATATTTATAAAAACAAATTTATAATTTTCACATATTAAAGTGATATGCAAAATATATTTCACTAGTGGTAGGAATGCTTGGTGTGTTCATTGCATCAATAATATATAGTTTTAACACATATGCAATTGCCCTGAAAAAGACTTTCAACTATACACAGACAGAAGTTGAGACTATAGCGTCAAGTGGAGACTTAGGCCAGTACTTAATGCTTCCAGCGGGACTTATGTATGATAGATTTGGACCAAGACCTCCATGTATAGTCAGCCTTATTCTCACTGGAGTTGGATTTACATTATTATGGATAGGTACAATATTTAACAGATTTTTCGCTGCCAATTCTTGGCTTCAAAATGTCATATATTTCGCAGCATCATTTGGAACATCATTTCTGTTTATAACAAGTGTAGGTTTAAACACAAAAAACTTTGAAGGGAAACATAGAGTTAGAGTCTTAGTGTTTTTTGGTTGTGTATTTTGGATTGCCCCAATGATATTCAGTGCCATCTATCAAGGCTTTTTCGTACAAGGCCACATAAAAGATGCAGAGAATCAAAAATATGGAGATTTTATGCTATTCTTAGCAGTGCTGTCCGTGATCGTTAATTTGTTAGCCATTGCGCTGCTGAAGGAAATTCCAATGAATGAAACATATCAAACAGATGAAACTGAATTAAATGAGCTGTTCAAAACTTTAGAAGAAGAAAGAGATGTGGGAGAAGCTGATGACAAAGTAAATAGTGAGCACTTCAATGAAAAGACAGAATTGATGTCAAAAGAAAATTGTGGAGATAGCAGTGCTAGTCAACCTGATCTGAATAGCTGGCAAATGATATAAATTTTATTACCTCTTTCTGATAGTTATTATTCTCGGTGGAACTGGCGTTACGTTTATTAACAACATCACCATAATTTTGAAATCTGTTCACCGAGAATATGACATCGCAGTTTTCACTATATGCCTTCCAATATTTTGTACATTAGGGAAAATTGTTATCACATTTACAAATTATTACATCCTCCAAAAATGG